GGGACCGCAGACCTGCTTTGCACTTGTCTGTGAGATTGTGTAGCAGGGGCACAGTCAGGACGGGAAGGTAGACACCAGTTGTCATGTCTGCAAATGTGAAGTTGAAGCTGCCGTAGGACCTGCTGGGAACACCGGCAGCAAGGCTGAGAGAGGAGCTGGCGTTGGCTGGGAGGTGAAGAGGGCGGTGTGCCTGCTGCTGAGCAGGAAGCCCCGTGTGATCCAAGGCCCCGTGCCAGGAGCAGAGCGTGTGGGGTGTTCACAGGGCCAGGGCCAGGCGAGCAGGACAGTGGGACAGGAGATGACGTGGGTTACAGTGTTGTGGGCCAGCCTGCAGAATCTGCGACACAAACAAGGATTTTTTTTTCTTTTATAGCCTTTCCTTTTGGCCTTGTTGTGTTTTGTTTTTATTTTATTGGAAGGCAGAGTTAGAGAGTTCTTCATCTGCTGGTTCAGTCCCCAAATGGCCACAACAACCAGGGCCTGGTGAAGCCAGGAGCCAGGAGCTTCTTCCAGGTCTCCCACATGGGTACAGGGGCCCAAGGATTTGGGCCGTCTTCCGCTGCTTTCCCAGGTGCATTAGCAGGGAGCTGGATCATAAGTGGAGCAGCCAGGGCTAGAACCGGTGCACATTTGGGATGCCGGTGCTGCAGGTGGCGGCTTAACCTGTTAAGCCACAACGCCAGCCCCTTCTGGCCTTTAAAGCTGAGGAATAGTGGCCGGCACACACCAAGTGGCCCATCTCAAAGAGTCGCAGACAGATTTCCCTTTTGAAGGGAGCGCGTGCTCTCCAGACCTTGGCAGGCACCTGGGTAGACTGGGTAGACCGCATCCTGTCAGAAAACTGGAGACTGTGTGCACTGGAAAAGAGCTCCCGTAGAATTCTCCATTCGGTCAGGGTGGAAATCATGGACTCTTCGTGTGCTCATGAAAAGAACCTTCTGCTGCACTGGGCCTTGTCCCAGTGAGGGAGTGGTCCTGTGGCAGCTGCTCGCTCAGCCTCACTCTGTGGGCCCTGCCCGTAATCCCGATGTGGGCGCCAGTGTGTGCGCCAGTGTGTGGCAGAGAGGCTGCAGCCCCACCTCTCACCAGCAGGGGTCTCCACGCATAAGTAGCTGTAGGCTGCTGGAGGAGACAGTGAACCTACAGCTTTTCTTTATTTGCCTTTATTTATTTGAAAGGTAGAGACACAGAGAAAGAGAGAGAAGGAGGGAGGGGGGGAGGGAGAGAGGGAGGTAGAGGTAGAGGTCTTACATCCTCTGGTTCACCCCCCAAATGCCCTCAATGGCCAGGGCTGCACTAGGCCGAAGCCAGGAGCTTCTTCCAGGTCTCCCACATGGGTGCAGGGGCCCAAGCACTTGGGCCGTCTTCCACTGCTGTCCCAGGCACATCAGCAGGGAGCTGGATTGGAAGTGGAGCATCCAGGGCTTGAACCGACATCCATATGGGACGTCCTCAAGCTGTTCGGGAGCCACTGCCCACCCCAGGGCCCTCATCTGCTATGCTGTGCAGACATAGGGCCTCCATTGTGTCCTTGGGCTCCCTAAGGCTGCTTCCTGACCCTGCCAGTGGGAGATGGGTGGGAGACAGCTGACGAGGGCCATTGTGAGTGGGGCTGGAAACCGGAGGTAGTAACTGATTTTGTCCTGTGACCCTTCTTGCCCTTGTCTTGCAGGCTAAGTCCTGTCAGCCATGGAAACACAATCGCCCTCTTCTTCAGGTCCCTGTTGCCAAATTACACCATGGAGGTACGTGGAGCGGCCTCGGCCCGTCCCTGCCGGGCTGGTAGACAAGTCCACCTGGGTGTGAGAGTCTGCAGCCATGCAGGCAGCGCAGGCGCAGGCGCAGGCGCAGGGAAGGACCTGTGTGCAGTCTGCTGAGCAGTCGAGGCGGGAGCCCCACGGCCAGCGTGGCTGCTGGGCCGGCTCCCTGGGCCTGACGTGGCTTCTGCACCTTCGTTTGGTTTCTGAGAGCTCCCTCACTTTGGCAGGGACATGGGGAGGGTCTGGGGCCCAGTGCTAACGCATGGGCATCCTCGGGCGTCGGAGCACACACCTCCCGAGTCCCAGCCCAGATGTGTCTCGTTGCCACAGGGGGAGAGGCCAGATGAAGGAGTTGCTGGGGGTCTGAACCGCAACCAGGGCTTGAACAGGCTGATGCTGGCCGTGCGCGACATGATGGCCAACTTCCACTTCAACGACCTGGAGGCACCGCGAGAGGACAACCCCGAGGGGGAGGGGGAGTGGGGCTGAGCTGTGTGCACGTGCTGCGCCCCACACTGTGCAATTATGTTCCTGATTTCTGTTCTGGTCGGAATTGGCCAGGCCCCGCAAGTAGAAAAGCTGGATGTATCATCGGCCTGCGTCTTCTGTTCCCTGCGGGTGTCGGCGGGCGGTGCCCGCACCCATTCAGCCGCCTCCAGGGTGGGCTCCTGGAACTTGGACAAGGTTGTGTGGGGCCCCCTGGGTGCTCCCTGCTGGGGCAGGGTCCCTGGGCCCCTTCAGAGCAGAGCAGCACGTGTGACCTAGCTGGCCGATGAACGCCACCGTCTCTCCAATCTGACGGGGTGAGTTATCGCAAAACTACAGGGCGGGGCCCAGATGAAGGGGAAACCCAAAAGCAGGTTTTGTTTGTTTGGTTTTGGAAATTGACTTTCTGTTCGAAAAGCAGAGTTACAGGAGCGTTGAAAGGAAGGGCTTACTCCCCTGATGGCCGCAAGGGCCGAGCTGGGGCAGGCCGAAGCCAGGATCAGGAGCTCCATTTCGGTCTCCCCTGTGGGTGTCGGGGGCCTGAGCACTGGGACCATCATTTGCTGTCTCCCAGAGTGCACGTGAGCAGGAGCTGAGTAGGAAGCGGGGCAGCCAGGGCTCTAGGGGCGCTGCAGTACAGGGTGCAGGCCCGCAGGAGGCCCCAGGGAGCAGGTTTGGGGAAGACGTGTCTTGATTAAGGGTTGCTTGATCTGGCGGTAGCGTGTGGCCCGGGGCAGGGCCTGGCTCACTTGTTCAGCACGTGCCCAGGTCCCGAGGGCCCCACGGTGCTGCCGCCGTCACACAGGTGAGGCCGTTGCTCTGGCCCAGGGCTTGGAAGCCTGACTGGTCCTGGAAGGATCCGAGCCTGCAGGTGTGAAGAAGTGCGGCAGGTGTTCTGTCCCTGCTCAGCCCCAGCTTCCACACAGGAGGGAGGGGGCGGGGTGAGGAAACGATGCCGGCCACAGGGTGGTGAGAGCTGCTGGCCAGAGGCGGCCGGCGCGGTCCTCCCCAAGGCCTGGCCCGCTGGCCTCCCCCGAGAAGCCCCCACAGTGCTTCGTTGTTCCTGTGAGGTGGTGGTGTTGGCTGGTAGGGGAGGGGAGGCAGGGTCACCTGGTACAGCAGAGGTTGGGGGGGTGCCCTACATTTACTACCAGATGCCTGGGGTGCCGGCCCCCTCCCCGGGACCTCCCCGGGATGTCAAGAGCTCACTGCATGGTGTTGATAGCGAGAGAGAGCCCGGGAGCCAAGCTGCCACTGCCTGTCTCAGATCTGGGCCTGCAGCTCCACTTTGTAGCAAGAGTGTGGAGTCCGGTGCCTGCTGTGCCCTTCAGAGACCACGTGCAAGGAGCCATGCTGTGGGTGGGTCCCGACGGCTGTCCCAGACGGGGACCGTGTGCCAGCACACGGGTGGGTGAGCAACAGCCCCCATCTTGCTCGCCGGCAGCTGGGGAGTCCTGGAAGGAACTTGAGCTGGGACGCTGGGCTGTGCCGAGTTCGTGTTCTGGAAGTGAGCGTCGGAGGGCGTGGCACTGTGCCTCTCCCCCAGCCTGTGGAGATGTGACATCTGGAGCCACATCAGCCTCCCTGCACCCTGCCTGAAGCAGACCAAGATGACACTGACCAGGCCTGCTGTCCTGAGAGGCCGGGAGCCCACAGAGCCAGGGCTGTGGGGTCACCTGCAGCTGACACATTGCTAATGGCAGTGGGAGGAGACACCTGTGTCCCTCACGTCCCATCTTTCAGCTTGAAGGGCTGCATCTGCTACCCAGGCCAGGGGTCGTGCTGAGTCCCAGCTGTCCCTGGACTCTGCTCAGCTTCCACGGGAGGCCCCTGTGTGCCAAGGGGCTGGGATACGGGGCAGACCAGAGACCTGTTCAGCATCCCCACCCCCAGATTCAAAGGAGAGGGTTAGGGGCCGGTGTGCCTGGGAGAGCAGTGGAGGATGACCCAAGAGCTCAGGCCCCTGCACCCATGTAGAGACCCAGAGGAAGCTCCTGGCCGTTGCAGCCATCTAGGGAGTGAACCAGTGGGTAGACTATCGTTCTCTTTCCTTGTCTCTCTCTTGCTTTGACTTTAAAAATTAGAAGTTAAGTAAGTAGGGGCTGGTGCTATGGCGTAGCAGGTAAGGCCGCCGCCTGCAGTGCCAACATCCCATATGAATTCCGGTTCAATCCCGGCTGCTCCACTTCCGATCCAGCTCTCTGCTGTGGCCTGGGAAAGCAGCAGAAGATGACCCAAGTCCTTAGGCACCTGCAGCCGTGGGAGACTCAGAAGAAGCTCCTGGCTTCAGATCGGCAGCTCTGGCTGTTGAAGCCATTTGGGGAGTGAACCAGCAGATGGTAGACCTCTCTCTCTCTCTCTCAGCCTCTCCTCCTCTCTGTGTGACTGACTTTCAAGTAAATAAGTCTTTAAAAAAATAAAAGCTAAAAAAGGTTAAAGACAACAGTTAAAAATAAATACGTAGGGGCCAATGCTGTGGCGTAGAAAGTTAAGCCTCACCTGCAGTGTTGGCAGTCCACGTGGACACCGGTTCAAGTCCCTGCTGCTGATGTGCCTGGAAAAGCAGTGGAAGATGGCCCGAGTGTTTGGGCCCCTGCATCCACGTGGGAGACCCGGAAGAAGCTCCTGGCTCCTGGTTTTGGCCTGGACCAAACCGGGCCATTGCAGCCATTTGGGGGGTGGTGAACCAGTGGCTGTAAGACGTCTCCTCCTCTGTAACTCTGCCTCTCAAGTAAATAAATAAATAAATAATAATAATGATAATAATTAAATCTTAAAAAAGATGGACAGCACCCCAACCAAAATGTGGTGCCCCAGCTCTGATAGGCTGCAGCGGGAGCTCACTGAGGAGAGCCAGTGGGCAGGCGCGTGGCTGGTGAGGGGAGCAGGACCAGGAGCCGGGCACCCCCACCCCACCACACTGGCTGCAGCTGTGGCTGGACACAGAGAGGCTACACCCCATGGCTCAGTTGCACGTCTGGAGGTGTGGCAGGTACACAGCAGCACTGGGGAGGCTCCGCTCTGCTCAGCTCTTGACATCTGGGCTGGTCCAGAGGCCTCTCAGGTGGTGGACAATGGTGAGTGGCCAGTGCACTCTGTCCCATGCTGGGACTGCCCAGCATGCCTCCTGCTTCACAGATTGTCCAGGGGCACTAGGAGGTGAAGTCGGTGTGACTCCTGTTAGGGTCCTCCGGTTTCGTCTCTTCCCTCCGGTGACAGACAGAAGCTCGGCACGAGAGTCCTATGGCAGGGTCACCCTCCCCTGGTGCCCACCAGCATGGTTGTGCCAGGAGGAAGGATGTGGTCACCTCGGCCAAAGGCTGCCTGGTTCCCACGCTCTTCAAATCCCAGGCTGGGCGAGTGGGGGAGGAAGGCTGGTGTGAACCCTGTTGCTTCTCAAAGGCCTCATTTACGGAGCTGGAAACACATCCCCGAAATGTGACAGCACAGGAAGCTGGGGCCGGCGCTGCTGACCGCTGGGGGATCTGCGGGCACCAGGAGTTGTGGCCCCAGGACACGGCTCCCCCTGCCCCAGCCCTGGTTCCCGATCACCTCCTGGGACCCTCCGCCACCTTTTGGCTGCCACTCGGTCAGCCGGGAGCAGAAGCTGGGATGCAGCTGTGGCAGGGCCTCCCTTGCGGCTCTGCTGCGCCACCTCCACCACTGTGGAAAGTGCACAAAGGCAAGGCTGACACACCTCTGCCCACCCCGTGCCTGTCCTTGGTGTCATCCTGCAGGAGCACACGTGTTCAACCAAAAGGTGGGAGCATCTCCCAGCACTGTCCGTCATAGGCAGAGCCCAGGAGCCGGCCAGATGCCCAGTATGGCCTGGTCACACAGTGGACAGCACACGGTCTGGATGAGGACAATTCCTGCAACAAGGGCAGATCTCTCTGTGAGCAAGAACATCCGGCCTGTGTGACTCCATGTGCATGACAGGGTGTGCTAGAGTAGGCACAGTGCTCTGGTTCGGAGGCCCGGCCGTTAGCTCGCTGGGGCGGCAGGAGGAGCCGCCGTGCCTTGGCCCGTGTCTTGTTTGTTCTGCTTTGGGACCCGACACTTGCGCAGTTAGGTTGTATTTCCATACCTGTTTTAGAAGGGAGGCTCTGTAAGGTGCAGAAGGAAAGACTGACATTAGTGGTGCTAGCATGTGCACTCACGGGGTTGCAATGTGAGCGTGGGCGTGGCCGGGCCAGAGACTGGCATTTGGAGGGATGAAAGAGTGGATTCTAACCCGAATGTCACAGACAAACCCTGAAACCACCCTGCAGCCTGGCCCCCGGCTCACCACTGGCTCCCATCTTACTGCAAATGCTCGCGTCTCCACCTGCGAATGCAAGGACTCATCCCACCCCCACTTCCACAGTCCACAGTCCCCGGTGCACCTCACAGACGCCAAAGGTGGGCGGGGGGCAGCCCCTGCCCACCGTCCTGGCCACCGAGTGGCTAGCCTGCACCACACGGGGCTGCTGGCCCTCTGAGCCCTGCCCTTGATGTGGTTCCTGGCTCGGGGGCCTGCAGTGTCCTTCCACAGCGGAAATGGGCACAGCACCCGTGAGTATGAGCAAGACGGCGGCGTCACCAGGATGCCCTCCGGCCTTTCAGCTCCCCCCACCCCCCCACCCTGTGCTGCAGCTAAGAGGAGCCACTGCCCTGGGCCTGGTGAAGCCGGGCCCTTTGGGAGCAGGTCTGGAGCAGCCTGAAAAGGGCTCAGCTGAGTTCATCTGAGAAGCAGTGTTGGGAGCCATGACCCTCTGCCCCTCCCCCGCAGCAGTGCCACTCAGTTTACAGGGCTCTTACTCTTGGGCTGCTCTCCCCGGTCTAGCCCCAGGTCCACCTTGAACTTCAGCTGGGTTATTGCTCCTTGCCCGGGCTGAACTGAGCGTACACGATACTGCCTGCCCTCGGATGGTGGTGAGGGAGATGGCGCGAGGGGTGCACAGGCAGAGCTGCCCCGGGTGGGGGTGGGGGGATGGAGGGCGGCTTTGAGCAGGGTATGTTGGGGCAGGCATTCGGCTTAGTAGTTAAAACCCCCACATCCCACGTCTGAGACCTGGCTGCAGCTTCCTGCTTGATGCACACACTGGGAGGCAGCTGTGATGGCTCAAGTAATTGGAACCCTGTCACCCTATGGGAAGCCCGGATTGCGTTCCTGGCTCCCAGCTCTGGCCTGGCCCAGCCCTGGCTGTTGAAGGCATCTGGAGAGCAAACCAGCAGAGAAGAGCACTGTCTCTGCCTCAAAAAAGTATTTTAAGACTTCCAAAGAAGTAAGGATTTGGGGGCCAGTGTAGCGGGTAAGCCAACTCCTGAGACTCCAGCATCCCGTATTTGCACCAGTTTGAGTCCCGGCTGCTCCACTTCTGATCCAGCTCCCGGGTAATGCACCTGGAAAAGCAGCAGAAGATGGCCCAGGTCCTCGGGCCCCTGCACCCTTGTGGGAGACCTGGGAGAGGTTCCTGGCTCCTGGTTTCAGCCTGGTCCAGCCCCGGCTGTTATGGTCACCTGGGGAGCGAACCAGAGCATGGAAACTTCCCCACCCACAACTCTGCCTTTCAAAAAAAAAAAAAAAAAAAAAAAAAATCTTGAAATAAAATAAGAGGGTGTCGTGTTTGAGATAGGTGTGAAAGAGGGTTAGAAGTGTCACAGGTGGGAGTGTGCAGGGAGTATGTAGGGAGCCCTGGGGACCTGGAGGGGAGGCCCAGATGGCCAGGTCAATGGGGGTTGGGCCATGCATGGACAGGGAAGACCTTGTACTGTGCGCAGGAGCGGGGAGGAGCCAGCGGGGGATTGCTCTCTACGACACCTGGTGGCGGTCCTGGGTACTGCAGGGCAGACCGCATCCCTGGCGCCGGCCCATCACGTGGCCCCTCGCGGGGAGGGGCTCTGCTGACAACTTTTAAGAGCGCAGAGAGAGGCTCCATTCTTCCCCGGGACCTCGGCCCTTGGAGTCATCAGGAGGTGGCTGGTGTGGAAATGTCCAGGCCTCAGCTGCCTCCAGTGACCCGACTGAGGATGTGGTTTGTTCTCACCAAGAGTGATGCTCCCTGAGCCCAGAGGGCCAACACCATGGAGCCGGGGTCGTGGCCGGGGAAGTGTCCACACTGACTGAGCCATGCCTTGTCCAGCCTCCGCCCAGCCTGGGAGAGGGTGAGTGTGAGGACAGGTCTGGGGCTGTCCAGATGGAATGAGGCAGGCACGGGGGCACCCGAGCGCCACCCGTACCTTTCAGTGGCACCATGAGCTGAGCTGGACACCTGGACAGTGACAGCCGTTGGAACCTGGGGGCCCACCAGCCCCTTCCTGATCCCCGGACGGGACTATGCCCATGCAGGCGCCCCAGAGCAGGCTGCTGGGCTCCCTCAATGCCACGGCCACAGCCTCCCCCAGTCCTGGGCTAGCTGCCAACCACACAGGACCCTGGTGTCTGCAGGTGCCCATCCCCGATGGGCTCTTCCTCAGCCTGGGGCTGGTGAGCCTGGTGGAGAACCTGCTGGTAGTGGTTGCCATCGCCAAGAACCGCAACCTGCACTCGCCCATGTACTGCTTCATCTGCTGCCTGGCCTTGTCCGACCTGCTGGTGAGCGTGAGCAGCGTGCTGGCCGTCCTGCTGCTGCTGGAGGCGGGCGCCTTGGCCGGCCGGGCCGCAGTGGTGCAGCAGCTGGACGACGTCATCGACGTGCTCATCTGCAGCTCCATGGTGTCCAGCCTCTGCTTCCTGGGCGCCATCGCCGTGGACCGCTACATCTCCATCTTCTACGCACTGCGCTACCACAGCATCGTGACGCTGCCCAGGGCGCGGTGTGTCGTCCTGGCCGTCTGGGGGGCCAGTGTCACCTCCAGCTCCCTCTTCGTTGCCTACTACAACCATACGGCCGTCCTGCTCTGCCTCATCATCCTCTTCTTGGCCATGCTGGCCCTCATGGCAGTTTTGTACGTCCGCATGTTCACCCGGGCATGCCAGCACGCCCAGGGCATCGCCCGGCTCCACAAGGGACAGCGCCCATCCCACCAGGGCTCTGGCCTCAAGGGTGCTGCCACCCTCACCATCCTCCTGGGCATCTTCTTCTTCTGCTGGGGCCCCTTCTTCCTGCACCTCGCGCTCATCGTGCTGTGCCCTCGGCACCCCACTTGCAGCTGCGTCTTTAAGAACTTCAACCTCTTCCTCACCCTCATCATCTGCAACTCCATCGTGGACCCGCTCATCTATGCCTTCCGCAGCCAGGAACTGCGCAGGACGCTCAAGGAGGTGCTGTTGTGCTCCTGGTGAGAGGGGGTGGCGGCCACGGGCCTCCGGGCCAGGGCGTCGGTGCCATGGTGTGGCCTGATTCCTGTGGGGCTGTCCTAGTGCCCCTTTGCCAGCCCAGCCTCCAGCCCCCAGGCCCAGGCAGCAGTCCTGGGGGGTGCAGCAGGCTGAGGGAGGGGGAGGGGTCTTGGAGCCCAGGCTCCTGAAGAGACTCTGCCAGCATCTGGAGTGCTCCACCTCCGCCGATGACTCAGCAGTACCCACCCCCTCCGAGTCTGCTGCCGACTCCCGGGACTTGTGCCCTCATTGGCTGGAACACGGAGTCTCCGGGACTGGAAGAGCGATGGCCCTTGAGACGCAGTGCTGCTCCCAGCCAGGGCCTCCGCAGAAGCGGCTCTGTGGCCAGAAGGGTGTGGCTGCAGCCACCCAGCAGGCTGCTGCAGGAAGTACCCCCCACCCCGGGCACACCGGGGGTCTGCAGAAGGGACGTGGGGTGACCCCTTCCAAGGGCCGACTCAGAGGCCCACTGGGGGTTAGATGGAGACTCTCCTGCTTCTCCGCCACACAGCTCTGGCCAGCGCCAGTTCTGGTGCAGCAGAGGCTGACGGCCTGAATCAGTGACCACTGCTCTCGTGGATGGGAACCTTCCGGTAATAAAAGCGGCCTCATCATCCCAGAGGATGCGTGGAGTTGAAGGGTGGGAAGTGAGCCAGGGGCTGCCTGCCCAGGGTGGGACACCACTGTTCCAAGGACCCCAGAGTGCCCCCGGAGCCAGTGTGGAGACCCCATGTGGGCCTGCTATGGTGAGGTCACACAGGGGCGTGGCGAAGGCGTGGTCTTCCAGCTCACCAACCTAGTCCATTTTAGCCTGTTTGCCTGCCTACTTCAGGCCCACGCTGCTCCTGCTTTTTGGCTCCCTTGCTGGGGCCCCAAATCCCAGCAGACAGCGAGGAGCGGCTGGCTCAGCGGCCCCTTCCCAGCACCTCCACGCTGCCCAGACTGCACCCTGCGGCATCCAGCCCCAGCCCGCCGTGACCACCTAAGAGCTTGCCAGAGCCCCAGGCACGGCACAGTGAGAAAGGGCTGTCTTCACCACCTGAGGTGCCCCAGAGGCCTGTGGTGCAGGGTGGGCTGGGCTCGGAACCTCTATCCCCGGAGCAGGGGCCAGGCTTGGCCAGGCTTGGCAGGCACTGGGGGGGCTCAGGGAGCAGCCCAAGGCGAGTGCTGGGGGAGTGGGCACCCAGAAGTCAACCATGCAGCCTGGTACAGGCGTGGTGCACGCCCCAGCCCTCCCCCTTCTGAAGCCTGGGCTTCTTGCTTCGAAGCCTGCCTCGGTTTCCTGCACAGTCGACCCGACCCGGGCAGCCTCAGCGGGAGGTGCAGGCGGCGGTGCCTGCCAGCTCCTGGCAGCCCCACCCCTTCTGTCAGTTCCAGCCCTGACTCCGGGCCTCTGGGCTGGGAGCTGGTTCCGGGCAGGGCAGGCCTTTGCTGGGAGACAGGAGGGTGAGTCAGCGTGAGCCTGGCACCAGAACCCTCCTGGGGCGGCGGGCGGGAGGCGTGAGCTGGCTGGGAGGCGGTCCTGGCCTCCGAGTGCTGCCAGACCCCTTCCTCCCTGAGACGGAAGGCACAGCCAGGCCGAGGCAGAGCCCCCGAGGCAGCCGCGCAGTGCAGGGAGGGGCATCTCAGAACAAAAGACCCATTTCCAGCTTGCCAAAGTGGGGGGCTTCTCCTGAGAGAACAAAGGCGCAGACCGAGTGGCCTCTTGCACACCCCTGCATGCACACGGAGAGGACAGGGGGAACAGGGGCGGGTCCACACCAGCACACCCGTGAGCACAGGGCTGCACACGGAGAACACGGGCGGGTCCACACCAGCACAGGGACTGCACATGACACAGGGGGAATGCGGGCGGGTCCACACCAGCACACCCGTGAGCACAGGGCTGCACACCCGTGAGCACAGGGCTGCACACGGGGAACAGGGGCGGGTCCACACCAGCACAGGGACTGCACATGACACACGGGGAACAGGGGCGGGGCCACACCAGCCCAGGGACTGCACATGACACAGGGGGAACGCGGGCGGGTCCACACCAGCACACCCTTGAGCACAGGGCTGCATACGGGGAACAGGGGTGGGGCCACACCAGCACACCCGTGAGCACAGGGCTGCACACAGGGAACAGGGGCGGGTCCACACCCGCACACCCGTGAGCACAGGGCTGCACACGGGGAACAGGGGCGGGGCCACACCAGCACACCCGTGAGCACAGGGCTGCACACGGGGAACAGGGGTGGGTCCACACCAGCACAGGGACTGTACATGACACAGGGGGAACGCGGGCGGGTCCACACCAGCACACCCGTGAGCACAGGGCTGCACACCCGTGAGCACAGGGCTGCACACGGGGAACAGGGGCGGGGCCACACCAGCACAGGGACTGCACATGACACAGGGGGAACGCGGGCGGGTCCACACCAGCACACCCGTGAGCACAGGGCTGCACACGGGGAACAGGGGCGGGGCCACACCCGCACACCCGTGAGCACAGGGCTGCACATGGGGGACATGGGCGGGTCCACACCAGCACACCCGTGAGCACAGGGCTGCACATGGGGGACATGGGCGGGTCCACACCAGCACACCCGTGAGCACAGGGCTGCACACCCGTGAGCACAGGGCTGCACACGGGGAACAGGGGCGGGTCCACACCAGCACAAGGACTGCACATGACACAGGGGGAACAGGGGCGGGTCCACACCCGCACACCCGTGAGCACAGGGCTGCACATGGGGGACAGGGGCGGGGCCACACCAGCACACCCGTGAGCACAGGGCTGCACATGGGGGACATGGGCGGGTCCACACCAGCACACCCGTGAGCACAGGGCTGCACATGGGGGACATGGGCGGGGCCACACCCGCACACCCGTGAGCACAGGGCTGCACACGGGGAACAGGGGCGGGTCCACACCCGCACACCAGTGAGCACAGGGCTGCACGTGGGGGACATGGGCGGGGCCACACCAGCACACCTGTGAGCACAGGGCTGCACACGGAGGACATCGTTGGGTCCACACCCCCACACTCCAAGCACACAGGATGCTGGGAACGCCGCAGGCACTTCCTAAGGGGCTCCTGCTCCTGAAACAGCACAAAGGGTCCCTGCGGCCCGGCCCCGGGGGACGTTCCATGGGGTGGGGGTCCCTCAGTCCGCCTGGCAGCGCGGGGTTAGGGGTCCCTCTCCCCACACGAGTGGTCTCCCTCTCGGCTCGGCTGCACCGAGTCCCGCAGTCCAGGAGGTGACGTCAGGGAGTGACTCAGACACACCCGCGGACCCATCCCCCACCCACCGCCGTGTGCGCTGTAGGACAAACCGCCAACTCCGACACCCGCTGGGCAGCGGCTCGGCGCCGGCCTGGGTCGGGGGTTCCACGCCTCGCACACCTGGGGCTGCTGTGCACCCCTGGGGCAGGTCCATGGTGCGGGGTAGTACAAGGGGCACCACGCACTGCAGACGTCCGCGGCGAGGCGCTGCGGACGCTACCTGCACGGGGGCCCCGCCCGCAAGCTTGCCGTCCCCTGCCTGCCTCCTCCACCCCAGGGACCCCGCAAAGCCCAGTGGATTTGTGTGCGGGACATGACGCGGGGGTGGGGGTGTAAGGGCCCCTCACAAAGTTGCGGGAGCACTCTCCGGGGCAGCTGCGGGGCGAGGGTGACAGGGGGCCCGCGGCTTCCATTGTCCTCGGCGGAGCGCGCCAGCCCCTCCCTGCGAACAGGCTGCGGCGGGGCCGGGAGCGCGGGGCGGTGCGCGGTGCCGCGCCGCACTGTGCGGCGGCGCCTGCGGATTGGCCACGCCGCGGAGACGTCAGCCTGGGCGCGGGGGCCGCGGCCTTAAGAGCGGGCGTCGGGGGCCGCGGAGCCTCCGCAGCCGCCCGTCGCCCTGCGCCCGCCGCCTCCGCCCGCCGCGCCGCCATGAGGGAAATCGTGCACATCCAGGCCGGCCAGTGCGGCAACCAGATCGGGGCCAAGGTGAGGCCGTGCGCCGTGCCCGCCCCGACCTGCACACCCGGGACGAAGCCAGGAGCCGCCTCGCGCGCGCCGCAGGGTCGGCGGGGTCCTTGCTCCACGGCCCCCGCCCGCGTCTTCACCCCGTGCCTGCTGGGTGGCCGCCCGCCTAAGGCCCGGCCCGGCTGGGCGTGGCCCTCGGCCGAATCGGGCCGGGTGGGCGCATGGGTGGGGCTCGCGTTCTAAGCACCGCCGCGCTGCAGGATCGGGGGACGGGGGTGGGGGGTGGGATGCGGTGTCCTGCAGGCAGCGGAGCCGCTGTCGCGTCACAGCCCCACCCCGTTCCTTTGTGGGGAGCCGTCGGACCGGGACTCAGGGGTCACCTTGGTTTGAGACCCGATTCATCCTCCCCGGGGGGCAGCAGCACCTGGCCGAAGCCCCCGGGGGCCTAGACCGCACCCACCCGGGGGCTGGACGTGGGGACAAAGCAGGCTCTGGGTGCGGAGGGCGGCGTCCCCGCGGCCGCCCCGCCATTGTTCGCCCACTTTGCGGAGGCCGAGCAGGAGGAGTGGGGGAGCGGGAGAGCTATCCGCAGCGATCCTCCAGAGGTGGCCTCGCTCCTCTGCAGCTCCTGAGCCAGCTGTCCCTCACCCAAGGTCACGCAGCACGCTGCAGACCGGCAAGCTGCGCATCCCGTCGGGGGCTCCGGCTGGGGGGCAGGTGCTCAGGCGGGGGTGGGGGCTTAAGCTGGGGTGAGGTGGGGGCTCCGGCTGGTGGGGGGGGCGGTCTTTGTCAGCACCACGGCCAGGGCTGCCCGTTCCACTGTCAGCACCCTGCAGGTGCCCAGCCTGGGGCTCCGGGTACGGTGGGTTGGAGCAGGGCTCAGGCTTGGGGGGCTCCAGTTGAGAAGGGTGGTCTTTGTCAGCACCAGGGCTAGACCTGCCCATCCCATCCTCAGCACCCTGCAGGCGCCCAGCCTGGGGCTCCGGGTGCGTCGGGGGAGGCTGCCGCCGGCTGGGGGGCTCCGGCTGGGAGGGGAAGTCTTTCTCAGCACCACAGCCAGGGCTGCCCTGCAGATGCCCCGCCTGGGGCTCAGGCTGGGGTGGGGAGGGGAGGTCTTTGTCAGCACCATGGCCAGGGAAGCAGCTGGGGGCAGGGATGAGGCCCTAGCAGGTCGGGTCCAGAAGGGGAAGGGGGTGGGGCCTCTGCAGGCTGTTGTCCTGGAAACCAAGCAGGAACAAAAAGCTGATTACAATGGGGCTGGGGTGGCCACGTGGCTGACATGCAAATTGCAGGTTCAGCTGTGGGGTGGGGGTGCCTCTGGTGGGGGCAGTAGCAGAGGCACTCCTTAATCAGGGAAGGGGACAGCTGTGCCAGGGAAGGAGGCGTGGGGGAGGGGAGGCTTGTGGCCGCAAATTGAATCAGGGCTCCTGAGGAGCATGGCAGGAGGGGCTGAGGGCTCGTTAGTGGTCCCAGGGCCAGGCTTGCCCTGAACATCTGCTCTCCCGGGAGGGCCTGGGGTCCCTGGGCTGGCAGCCCTGAGCCCTCCCGTGAGCTCCCTCCCTCTATGGCTGGGACAGGCCTGCTGCCACCTCAGGAGGACCCCAGACTCTGTTTGCACCTGCGGGAGCCCTGAGGGCTGTGTACCTCCTTCCCTGGCTTTTTGTTTGTTTGTTTTTTTATTCTGCTCAATGAAGAATTTCCTATCTGACCCTTCCAACAATGCAAGCCATAGAAAGGTGGACCTTTCAGGACTGGAGCTGTTTTCCTTTGTACTGCTCACCACTGCAGCAGCCCCCTGGCCGTGGCTGGGACCCTTAGGCCCAGTGCCTGCCCCAAGGACAGGAAGCTCTGTGGCTGTGTTTTGTTCCTGCTGCTGCAGCTGACTGCTGGGTCCCTCATGTGCCTGCAGGGGTGGGGCTCAGGCCTCCCCCCCATCACCGGCAGCAGCTGTTGGGTGGGCAGGGGCTGCTTCCCAGCTGTGGGTCCTCTCTGGCACCTGGCCAGCCTGAGGGAGGACCACACCAGGGGTCTGCAGCCTGGAGCACCAGCTCTTCTTGGGGCGTCAGTAGCCGCTGAGTGACTCATGGCGGGCGGCACCCGAGACATCGCTCTGGGAGAGACCTTGCGTTATCCTGCAAGGGCGTGGCAGGACTGGAGCGAGGCTAGCCCGTGGGACTGCGGTGTGAAAGGACGAGCCGGGCTCAGGGACGGCAGCTCCTCCTCCTGGGCCCGGGATCCTGACTCCAGTCTGCTCCCCAGTGCCAGGGCCGCCAGAAGGGAAGGGGTCTTCTGGGGTCTTTGTCTGCGCCCTAGTCCTCCCTGGACTCCCGGGCCGCGCCCTCCTCCCTGCCGCTGGGCGGGGCCTCTAGAGGGGCGGAGCGCTGGTCATGGCGGCCAATGGGAGGAAGGTTTCTGTCTGTCTTCTTCCCCTCGAGAGGGGCGGCAGGCTCAGACCCACGGACCCACCCTGGCCGCAGCTCGGTCTCCGGCCGGCGGGTCCTGCGGTCAGCACCACGGACAGCGCCACCCGCTGAGCAAGGAGACTTGGCCTTGACCTTGTGGATTTCTTTCCTATTTGATTTGCCAAGTTACGTGTTGTTCTTGGACTGGTTACTTATGGTTTACTGATTTTATTTTAAGTTACAATTTTTAAAAATTTCAACCACAAAAGCAACTATTAATGTATTCTGGAAAAAAAAAATGGAGCAAGCGCGGAAACCTGGAGTTTAAAATTCCTCTCTCTGAGCAGGAACACGGTTTGGTTTTGTTTTTTATTCTTCCAGCCCATTTTGCTTAATCTGTCTGTACATGTGCCTTTAAACTTTAAATAGTACCTAGGGCCTTTTATTTAAATATTTATTTATTTTAAAGTCAGAGTTACAGAGAGGGAGAGAGAGAGAGATCTTCCATCCTCTGGTTCACTCCCCAGATGGCCACAATCACCAGGGCTGGTCACGGCCAAACCCAGGATGCAGGATCTCCCACGTGGGTGCAGGGACCCAAGCACTTGGGCCATCTTCTGCTGCTTGCCAGGCCACAGCAGGGAGCTGGGTCGGAAGTGGAGCAGCTGGGACCCGAATTGGCACCCCTATGGGTTGCTGGCACTGCAGGTGGCAGCTCCACGCCACAACGCCACCTCCACCTAAGGCCTTCTAAGGAAATGAAGACAACGTTTGCTGATTGCTTTTTTCCTGGCCTTTATGCTGCTTATGTTCATGTGAGCACCATTATCATGTCTTCCTGAGAAGACTAAGGTCCAAGGAAGAGGGGGCTCTTGCCCACAGTGTGGCTGGCGCAGGGCTGCAGCCCTCGGCCTCCTAGGAGTCCCACGCTTCACGCTCCGCCAGGAACTGTCCCTCATGCACTGGCAGCACAGTGGCTGAGCCCATCCCCTCCCCAGGGACTGGTAACTGTGGGTGTTCCTGATGCCAGGATTTTGAAGTGCCCAGGGCTGTGCGGCGCCAGGCCCCTGGCTCAGACAAGCTGCCAAGAGCTGCTCGGAGGGCTCTCGGGCGGGTTCAGGGGGCCAAGCAGCAGGGGCAGGCCTGAAAGGCCTCTGTGACATTCCCAGGTGAAAATTCTCACACTTCATGCAAGAAGAAGAGAGCTCAGCAGTAATAACAACGCACAGAGGGGGAGGCCTCTCTGCAGTGTCTTTGTGTGGTAATCGCATGATCACATCGCCCGGTCTCTTCAGATCCATTACTCCCTGATCCCTTTGGAGAGCTCCTGGGTGCATACGACAAAGTTCCACCCGGTGAGAAGCAGCCTCTCTGTCCCAAGGACAGCTTTCTGTGACTGTCAGAGACGGCCAGACAGGGCAGCGCGCTCGGTTCCTGCAGTGGCCTTTTCACCAGGACGTGACTGAGGCCGTTGGCTGCGCTGAGGCCTGCGTGCCCAGTGACTTATCTGACAGTCACTCTGGCCTGGGGAGTAGGGGAGTGACATGGACAACCCCAGAAGCCGCAGTGTGTGGGCCAGAGATGGCCTGTCAGAGGGGGCAGCCACCTTGCTATTCAAGCAAAGAGGCGTCCCTGGAGTGTGGCAGGCCTGCCCTTCACATACCTGGGCTCACACTTCCACACAGCGCCAGCCCCGTGCTACGTGCTCATGTGAGCTTGCGTACAGCCAAGGACATGGGGCGCAGAGAACCCCTGTGACCTGCCCAAGGTTGTGCAGCTGGCAAGGGGTGGGGCTGGACTGTGAACCCAGGCGGCCCAAGGCGGGGAAAGGTGAGCAGCAGAAGGCAGTGAGAGTCCGAGGCTCTGAGTTGCCAGGTTCCACAGGGGCAGTCTGGGGGCCACTCACTGGGACAGCCTCACAGGTCCCCTTGGCCCCTTGGCTGAGGTCATCAATGGAGTGCCGGTTTCACTGCCCCGTCACTGGACAGGGGCCACATACAGGGTGTGGCTCTGCAACCTGCTATCGCCGTGTCTCCCGCGGTTCCCTGATCTGAAAAGGAGAAACAAAAAAGTTTCTCCATGTGGTGTTTACTGCTAGCCCCTTCCACAGACCAACGGACTGACCAGGGCTCTTGCCAGCAAGTAGGTCTGGATCCAGAGAGTCTCGGTGGGCTCGTGGAGGTTTCAGGCCCGAGCCCCTGGTTCTGTACTGAGGTCTCTGAGGCTTCAGAGGGCCCTGCCGGGGGTCACGGGCCGCCAGTTGACTCTTCCTCCCCACCTCCTTTCCTGCAGTTCTGGGAAGTCATCAGTGACGAGCACGGCATAGACCCCAGCGGCAACTATGTGGGGGACTCAGATCTGCAGCTGGAGCGCATCAGCGTCTACTACAACGAGGCCTCCTGTGAGCACCCCCCACCCCAGCCTGGGCTCCAGCATCTCTGCCCTCCTATCCATTAGCCTAGGTGTCCACAGAGTGCGCCAAGCTGTTTGATGGCCCTGAGAGCAGGCAGGAAGCTTGGGTGGCTGGCTGCATCCTGAGAGGGCACGGGGGGCGTCACCCGAGGGCTTGCTGCACCAGGGCTGTTGCTGTGACAGACTGGGGAGCGCTCAGCTGCCCACAGGGACATGTTGTTCCACCCCCCATCCCTGTGTTACACTCGTGAGGCCGAGGGTAAAGGTAGATACTCAGCCTCACCAGTGCCTCCAAGCTCACCCTTGGGTCCCGTCTCTTGAGGTCAGGGAAGGATGGAGAACGGGGGCACCCCTGACCCACTGTAACCTGTGTGACTGAGCCCCTCTCTCCTTGCAGCTCACAAGTATGTGCCTCGGGCCATCCTGGTGGATCTGGAGCCCGGGACCATGGACAGCGTCCGCTCGGGGGCCTTTGGTCACCTCTTCAGGCCCGACAACTTCATTTTCGGTAAGTCCCCCTGCTCCCAGCTTTGTTGGCAGATCCAGGCCAATGCCTTCACACCCTTCAACATGATCTTGCAGGGTGAGAACTGATCTCTCCATTTTACACTGGGCATTCCATGCAGGAAGCAGGAACTGCTCACACATTTCAAGCAGAATGAGGTGAGAAAAGAAAGGAGCTCACAGAATTGTGGGAGAGCTGGCAGAACAGTCGGGGCCTCCAGGGGACTTGGGGTTTGCAAGCAAGCAGCAAGCGGCCACGGCATTCTCCTTCCTGTGCCTCATAGGTAAAGAGGGCGAGGGCTGCACCTCACTGCAGCCCTCTGACGCCCCCACATCCAACAGCCTTGAGCCGCAAGGCATTCTGGGGCCGGGGCTGAACTTCACAGCCCAGCCAGTGAGAGGAAAGGTAGGCTCAAGGCACACGGTGGATGATCTTACACAGGAGACCCCCAGGAGAAAGACCCTTTACAGGACAAACCATGCAGCTGTCTGGGCTCTGGGGCAGCCGTGACAGGTGTGTGAAGGTATCCCCCGTGGGACCTGCCCCTTTATGGGAGAGAAAACAGAGGCTCGGGCCTCCACAGTTGCCCTCTGGGAGGTCTGTGCTACGGACCCTGACCCCTGTCTGTCTCGCTCCGCAGGTCAGAGCGGGGCTGGCAATAACTGGGCCAAGGGCCACTACACGGAGGGTGCAGAGCTGGTGGACTCGGTCCTGGATGTTGTGCGGAAGGAGTGCGAGAACTGCGACTGCCTGCAGGGCTTCCAGCTGACCCACTCGCTGGGCGGCGGCACGGGCTCGGGCATGGGCACCCTGCTCATCAGCAAGGTGCGCGAGGAGTACCCCGACCGCATCATGAACACCTTCAGCGTCGTGCCCTCGCCCAAGGTGTCGGACACGGTGGTGGAGCCCTACAACGCCACCCTGTCCATCCACCAGCTGGTGGAGAACACCGACGAGACCTACTGCATCGACAACGAGGCCCTCTACGACATCTGCTTCCGCACCCTCAAACTGGCCACGCCCACCTACGGCGACCTCAACCACCTCGTGTCAGCCACCATGAGCGGGGTCACCACTTCCCTGCGCTTCCCTGGCCAGCTCAACGCTGACCTGCGCAAGCTGGCCGTGAACATGGTGCCCTTCCCCCGCCTGCACTTCTTCATGCCTGGCTTTGCCCCACTCACGGCCCGAGGCAGCCAGCAGTACCGCGCCCTGACCGTGCCCGAGCTCACCCAGCAGATGTTTGACGCCAAGAACATGATGGCCGCCTGCGACCCGCGCCACGGCCGCTACCTGACGGTGGCCACCGTCTTCCGCGGCCGCATGTCCATGAAGGAGGTGGACGAGCAGATGCTGGCCATCCAGAGCAAGAACAGCAGCTACTTCGTGGAGTGGATCCCCAACAACGTCAAGGTGGCCGTGTGCGACATCCCGCCCCGCGGCCTCAAGATGTCCTCCACTTTCATCGGCAACAGCACGGCCATCCAGGAGCTGTTCAAGCGCATCTCGGAGCAGTTCACGGCCATGTTCCGGCGCAAGGCCTTCCTGCACTGGTACACGGGCGAGGGCATGGACGAGATGGAGTTCACCGAGGCTGAGAGCAACATGAACGACCTGGTGTCCGAGTACCAGCAGTACCAGGACGCCACGGCCGAGGAGGAGGGCGAGATGTATGAAGATGATGAAGAAGAGTCCGAGGCGCAGGGCCCCAAGTAAAGCAGCTTGCGGCTGGAGCGTGGGGCCGTGTGGCAGCCGGGGCCGAGGCCAGCAGCGCCCCCCACAGCCACCTACCGACCAACACTGCCCCAGCTTTGCTCCCACCAGCTCGCCGTAGCACCCCAGGGCCCCCAAGTCGTCGTCCTCTAGTATCCATGGTCATTTCCCTCCCCGAAAGGGTCCACCCAGCCCTCTCTTCCCCACCCTGGGCCGCCTCCGTCTGTCTTTGTGTTGCTCATTTGTTTCTTTGTTCTTCTGTGGCTCCAGGCCTGATGTTTTATGGTTTTCTTAAAGATTGGTTTGTGTTTATATTTGGGGGGGTACTTAATAAACCTGTTGCTGTCGGATGTCCCTGCCTGGCGCTGGAGATTTCTTTTTATTCTGACCAGTTGGGTCCAGAGGGGTGAGGAAGGGCAGGGGAGCTGGGGCAGGCCTGTGCTGTGGCCTGGAGGAACTGGAGGAGCCTGGCCAGTCCTCTCCCTAGGAGCGCTCCTGTGACCTGAGAGCAATCCACACTCAGCCTCCTGCTTCCAGCTCATCTGTGAGCTGCAAGTAGGGGGCAGGTGCACACGAAAACTGACGTCAGACCCGAAGGCTGAGACCTGGACCCGGGAGGCAGGGAGGGGAGCCCTTGGTTGTGTTGGGAGGCTGGAGACTTGCGTCCTGGGGAGGGGCTGCTCAGGGTCTGCGGGTTGTGCTCATAGCAGCCAAGCCCAGGCCAGAAGACTTGCCAGCCTCACGCGCCCCCTGGTGGTCATTCCCTGAAGCGGCAGGATCCCCCAGGAGGCACGTGAGTGTACATCCCTGCTGGACCAGGCACAACTCCGTGCAGCCCATCCCTCTGAGCCTAGGAGTGTTGTCAGGGCTAAAGGCCCAGACTCTCCCCTGTCCAGCAACAGAGGTGGGACTTTTCTTGTGTCTCTTCTTTTTAATGTTTTTTAAAATTTATTTTAAAATTTTGGAGGGCAGAGAGACAGAAAGGAGAGATCTTCCATCGCTTGTTTACCTCCCAAATACCCACAAAGAGCCAGGCTGAAGTCGGGGACTGGAGCTCCACCCATGTATTCTACGTGGGTGGCAGGGGCCCCAGTACTGCCTGCCAGGCACATGAGCAGGGAGCTGGATTGGAAGCAGTGTGGCAGAGTCACCAGGACTTGAACTGGCGCTGCAGTAAGAGACGTGGGTGTCATGAGCAGAGGCTCAGTCTGCTGCAGCTTCACATCACTTTTCAAGGTGGTTCTGTGTGCAAGAAGAGAGGTCACAGGTCCGGGGAATCAGCTCAGAGGGCCACCTGCTGCAAGTTCAACCCTGACGTGGGCCAGGACTGGCATCCAAGCTGTTACAAACCACCCGAACAGCAGCTGATTATTTCTCTTGATGCCCCGTGTTCGCTCGATGTTTTCTTGGCTTTCCAAGGTGTTGGCTGGGATAAGCACACGGTTCAACGTCTCAGTCTTGAGAGAAGCATTCTCTGGTCACTGGCCAGGCTGCTATTGAGTCCATCCGTCTCTGTTCTTCTCATGGCTGCCCACTTCCCAAAGTGGTCTCAGCCTCCATAAGGCCCAGAGCAGGGACAGGCCTGGTCCCACTGTGCTGCTCTCAGTGGGCCAGTCTCGGGGCCAGGGAGCATGAGCTCTGCGAGGTGTGCTTCGTGGGGTCTAACAGAACACAGCCTCTCAATGCCTCGTGCTCCACACATCCAAACGGAGCCCCAGAGCCCCTCTCCCAGGCCCCCCAACTTGGTGATGCCACTTACTTCCCCAGGTGCTCAGCCAGACACTCTGGTTCGACCCTTTCTGGCTCTTGTCCTGCCTCCTGGCTGTCTCCACCGTCGGAGCACGTCGGAGCTCCAGTGCTGCCGTCTGCAGCAGGGTGGCTGTTTTGCTCAGTCCTTGCAGTCGCCTCCTGCTGGGCCCTTCCCAGCCCTTCCTCTTGTGGCAGTGGGTACTGTGAACGCAGCACTCAGCCCCTGCGGAGACGCCTCCTCCGTGGCACAGTGGCCTCTCCTCTCCCCCCCTCTCCTGAGCGGTCTGTTCTATTCACACCACTTTCCTTGGTGGTCCTTGGACACCTGGACTGGAGCCGCCTCCGAGAAGGAATAGGCCCCCAGTGGGCAGGGGGCACCATGCACTGAGAATGGTTCAGTACAGACGGGGTGAGTGTGGATCTGGATGCTGCGGGGGGGTCACGGTTGGAGCCCAAGCCGAGGGGAGCCTCCATTGCTTCACTTTCTCAGAACCACCTCTGCTGGTGTGTTTCCTCCTCCTCCTCCAGCTGCTCCTTCTCAGCCTTACTGCTGGAGTGTGTAAACCTCCCCGCAGAGGCGTGCAGGGGCCATGAGTGTTACTATGGCACCCCTGAGAGTGCAATGCCCAACTGTTACTCTAGATCTTGAATTCTCTGAACTGATGGAGTGACACAGCCTCCCGACAGGGTTCTAATCACTGCACGCAGCAAGTCATCTGCTTCTCTCATAGATAAAGTCCTGTGGCCAGTACTGTCCAGCAGGGTTTTGTAGGGGAATTCCAGGTCCAGACAGGGGAATTCCAGGCCTGAGGCAGAAGGTGACTTAATGGAACTCCCCAGGCCAATAGAAGCCCACCTGGCATCACAAAAGTCCATAAAGAGCACGGCATTGCCGACCAATCAAAGGTCATGAGCGCCAGTGACCCACCAAGAACCTGGACACGAGCTGAACACGCACCTCTCAGACCCAATTGCAATGCACGGGAACCTTCAACCCTAGCTCCCGGGGGGATTAGGAACTAGCTACTAGGCTCCTTGCTCTGCACTTTACAATGAACACCCACTTTGCTCCACCACCGTGAGTTCAGTGTCAGGCGAGCAAAAGCAGGTCTGGGGCCCTAGAGCAGCATCTCTGACTAGTTTGGGGTGTTGTTGGGCTCTCGGCCCCTAGCACATGAGGAGGCACAATCAGGGCCATGTCTTCCTGAGGCTTCACAATAAACCCAGGAGGGTACAGCAGGGGAGCTGAGCCGGTGCAGCTGCGGCGACCGCAGAGCTGGGAGTGGACCTGCTGCGGGAGCCTGCAGGGTGAGGTGGGTGTGGTGAGCATGGGGTGGTGAGCATGGGCGTGGTTCACCCCATCCAAGCGAGGGGGTGGTGAGCATGGGCGTGGCCCACCCCATCCAAGCCCTTGCCTGTGGCTGGGTGGTTTAGTGCAGGTGATGTTATAAAACAAAAATTTTAGGGGCCAGAACTGTGGCACAGCAGGTTAAGGCACTGCCTGTAGTGCCAGAATCCCATATAGACCCGGCTGCCCCACTTTCGATCCAGCTCCCTGCTGTGGCCTGGGAAAGCAGCAGAAGGTGGCCCAAGTCCTTGGGGGCCCTGCACCCACGTGGGAGACCTGGAAGAAGCTCCTGGCTCCTGGCTTTGGCCTGGCCCAGCTCCAGCTGTCATGGCTATTTGGAGAGTGAATCAGCAGATGGAAGATATCTCTTTCTTTCTCTCTCTCTCTCTTTGTGTCTCCCCTCTATAACTCTGCCTTTCAAAGAAATAAATCTTTTTAAAAAAAAATTCAAAATTTTAATAAATTGCATATGAGGTGCCGTCCCGGCACAATCGGCGCGGGGAGGGTGTCGTGAGCCTCCCGGCCGCGGGGGGCAGCAGCGCGCGGTCCGGCAGGCCCCGAGGGGTGAGCTCGGTGGGGCGGGCGCGGGTGTCGTGAGCCTCCCGGCCGCAGGGGGCAGCAACGCGCAGCCCGGCGGGACCCGGAGCGGCGAGCGCGGCGCCGCGGGGGGCGATGCAGCCAGGGCGGCGGCGGTCAGGTGAGCGGCGCGCGGGCCTGGGGCGGGCCCGGGGTGCCGGGGCGCGGGAGCACCCTCGGCCGCGCGGGCGCAGAACCGGCTCCAGCGCTGTGCAAGGCCCGGTGAGCCAGAGACCTGCGCGGCCCTCGGAGACGCTGGGCCACCCGGAGCCTCGGTCTCAGCGTCCCGCAATGGGTGGGTGCGGTGGCAGAGGGCAGGGCGGGGGCTCCAGAGCAAGCGCGCGCCGCGGGGACCTGCGGGGCCCTGCGGGGCCCTGCGGGGCCCAGGGCGCTCACAGGCCGGCAGTCCTCGCCCCGCACGCCCTGGGCCCCGGAAGCCTCCTGCCGGCCGGGAGCAGACGGGGCGCCCCGCGGCAGACGGGGGTCCGGGGGGGTTCCGTGTTGAGGTGGTGGCGCGGCGCTGGCCCCTCGGGCCGCCCCTACCCGCCGTTCCGGGCGCGGGTTCCGGGGTTGCAGGCATCCAGCTCCGCGTGCGGGGAAGACGCGGCGGGGTCGCCGCACCCGCAGGTAGCCTCCCTTAGCCCAGCGCGATTGTGCAGCCTGCGTAGAGGTCGGAGGGTGGCTCCCGCATCCCCTGCCTCCTCCAGCCCGGTGCCCCGCTCCCGCCCCCCCAGGCCTAGTGCCCGCTCGGGGGTGGACGAGAGCCGCTGTTTCCTGCGCGTCGCGGTCAGGGAACTGCCCCTGCCCCTGTTGGCCTTGAAGCTGGAGGCCACATTCTCACTGTTCTGAGGATATTTACTTTTGTGTATGTATGTGTATGACTGACAGAGAGAGGTCTTTTCTCTAAATGCCCACAGTAGCTGGGGCTGGCAGGTACAGAGCTTGGGACTGGCTGGCACCGGGCGCCCAGCGGGGCAGTGCTGACGCTCGGTGAGGCGCTGCCCGGCTGACTGGGCACTGCTCTAAAGCTGAGACACCGAAGCCGGTTAGGAAAGCACACGGTGCATCCCAGGTCCCCTCGTGGGTGACAGGGACCCCATCACCTGAGCCCCTCTGCTGTGGCCTGGGTCTGTGTCAGCACAGTCCAGGCCCCCACATGGGTGACAGGGACCCCATCACCTGAGCCCCTCTGCTGTCTCCTGGGTCTGTGTCAGCACAGTCCAGGCCCCCTCATGGGTGACAGGGACCCCATCACCTGAGCCCCTCTGCTGTGGCCTGGGTCTGTGTCAGCACAGTCCAGGCCCCCTCGTGGGTGACAGAGACCCCATCACCTGAGCCCCTCTGCTGTGGCCTGGGTCTGTGTCAGCACAGTCCAGGCCCCCTCGTGGGTGACAGGGACCCCATCACCTGTGCCAGCTCTGCTGTCACCTGGGTCTGTGTCAGCACAGTCCAGGCCCCCTTGTGGGTGACAGGGACCCTATCACCTGAGCCCCCCTGCTGTCTCCTGAGGTCTGCATTAGTGGAGCTGAGACTCAGACCCAGCATTCTGAGGTGGTAGGTGGGCTTCCCCAGTGTGTTTCGAGGCCACATGTCCACCCCTTGGTTCCTTTGGGCTGGGTACCAGAGCTTGATGGCTACAGTTTGCATAGCAGGGACTGTGGGTCTGGCCTCCCTGGCATGCACACATCCTGCTTCTCTCTGACACATAGGTGAGGAATTGCGGTTTCAGCTCTCACTAGGAGACACAGAATTTAAATCAGGCTGCTTGATTTTTATTTTCAAAGAGTTATTTATTTACTTGAAAGTCTGAGTTACAGAGAGAAAAGGAGAGAGAGCGAGAGATCTTCCATGCTCTGGTTCACTCCCCAAATGGCCAGGCAGGCAGAAGCCAGGAGCTTCCTCCAGGTCTCCCATGTGGGTGCAGGGGTCCAAGCACTTGGGCCATCTTCTAGTGCTTTCCCAGGCCCATGTTAACAGGGAGCTGGATTGGAAGTGGAGCAGGTGGGATACTGGTTACCTGCTGTGCCGCAGGGCTGGCCCCAATCATTTGGTTCTTAAGGGTAACAGTGGTAATAGTTATTAAGTTGTGGCTGATACTCGGAGTGTTTGCTCTGTGCTGATGGGTGCCCTTGGAACTTTGTATTAACCAGTCTTTCCTGTAACTGTGTATGTTGCCATTGTAATTCCCATTTGGGGCATGAGCAATTGGAAGCAGAGAAAGGTTTACTAATTTCCAGGAGGTCACACTGCTAGGAGCTGGCAGGCCTGGGTTTCAGATAGGGCCGCAGGCTGCTGGGTTACTGGGTAACCAGTGGGGATCTGGGACGGAAACCTCCGTCCCAGTAACAGTGGTGTAGACAGGTCTATTGTGTGTCACTTGAGTGGAATCCACTCCGTGAGTCACCTGCAGTATGGTCATTCTGCCACCTTCATTTGAGGCCGCTAGGTCACACCTCGGGGTGTCTGCCCCACCTTCACCGTTTCGTCTGTGTCCCAGCCGGCAGCAGCCTCTCCCTTCGAGGGCAGTTCCCCAAAGTCTTGCATGTTCTTCCTGTTCCTGTCCTATTACCACACCTAGTGCAGAAGAGGCCGGGAAACCATGTGACAAACCAGCAATGAGGGCTCCCAGCTCTGGAGGGAGGGATGTGAATATCGGGATGGCTTTTTCTGCACTGTGGGTCTTCTCTGGGGAGGTTCTGGGCACCAGGGGTCCGCCTCTCACCCCACCGTCCTGTGTGGTCCATCCAGAGTCATCAGGCAGTAGGGGAGAGAGGAGAGACTCGGGTCCTCGGTGCCTCCCAGTCAGCAGGTGCCAGGTCCCACCAGACTGGAGCTTCTGTTCAGTCACACACAGTACAGAGGCTTCACAGGCAGGAGGGCTCCATGGGTGCTGGGTGGCCCTGACTCCAGTGTCAGCCCTGCATGGGCTTGGGTGGTGCTGCCTTATTCCGCTGCCACCAGATGACTGCCTCAGATCTCAGCTCCCACACCACTGGGCTCTTTGTTTTTGGGGAAAGGTGTTAGGAGAAGAGTTCCGGAATTGATTGTCTTTTATCATTGTGAGTTATTTCAGACTGTAATGGGTGCAGAGAAAGCTAACGAACACTTGTGTACTTTCGGCACAGCTTAAAAGAAGAATGCTACTGAGAATTTAATTATGTATTCTTTTTTTTTTTTTTTTTTTTTTTTGACAGGCAGAGTGGACAGTGAGAGAGAGAGACAGAGAGAAAGGTCTTCCTTTGCCGTTGGTTTACCCTCTAATGGCCGCCACGGCTGGCGTGCTGTGGCCGGCGCACCGCGCTGATCCGATGGCAGGAGCCAGGTGCTTCTCCTGGTCTCCCATGGGGTGCAGGGCCCAAGCACTTGGGCCATCCTCCGCTGCACTCCCTGGCCACAGCAGAGAGCTGGCCTGGAAGAGGGGCAACCGGGACAGAATCTGGCGCCCCGACTGGGACTAGAACCCGGTGTGCCGGCGCCGCAAGGTGGAGGATTAGCCTAGTGAGCCGCGGCGCTGGCCTTAATTATGTATTCTTTTTTTTTTTTTTTTTTTTTGACAGGCAGAGTGGACAGTGAGAGAGAGAGACAGAGAGAGAAAGGTCTTCCTTTGCCGTTGGATCACCCTCCAATGGCCGCCGCTGCAGCCGGCGCACCGCGCTGATCCGATGGCAGGAGCCAGGAGCCAGGTGCTTTTCCTGGTCTCCCATGGGGTGCAGGGCCCAAGCACCTGGGCCATCCTCCACTGCACTCCCTGGCCATAGCAGAGAGCTGGCCTGGAAGAGGGGCAACCGGGACAGAATCCGGCACCCCGACCGGGACTAGAACCCGGTATGCCGGCGCCGCAAGGTGGAGGATTAGCCTATTGAGCCACGGCGCCGGCTCTAATTATGTATTCTTAAAAATTTTTTGAGAGGCACAGCGAGAGAGAGAAGGAGTATGCCCATGTGCTGGTTCACTCCACAAATGCCTGCAGTGAGAACTGGGCCAGGCTAAGCTGGGCGCTGGGGTCTTGGTCCAGGTCTCCTGCCTGGAAGGCAGGGACTCAGCTGCTTCAGCCATCACTGCTGCCTCCTAGGGTCTGCGGTGGCGAGAAGCTGGGATTGGGAGGTGGAGGCTGCGCTCTGATGGGGGGCACAGGCCACACTCTGATGGGGGACACAGGCCGTGCTCTGATGGGGGACACAGGCCATACTCTGATGGGGGGCACAGGCCACGCTCTGATGGGGGACACAGGCCATGCTCTGATGGGGGACACAGGCCACGCTCTGATGGGGGGCACAGGCCACACTCTGATGGGGGACACAGGCCACACTCTGATAGGGGGCACAGGCCACACTCTGATAGGGGGCACAGGCCACACTCTGATGGGGGACACAGGCCACGCTCTGATGGGGGACACAGGCCACGCTCTGATGGGGGACACAGGCCACACTCTGATAGGGGACACAGGTCACACTCTGATGGGGGTCACAGGCCACGCTCTGATGGGGGACACAGGCCACGCTCTGATGGGGGACACAGGCCTCCAGGCTGCCAGCTCACATCCCTGAGGGCTTCCTTTGTGTGCACTTTACCCTCACAATGATCCATTTGTGGGAGAGGAAGAGAGGCAGAGAGAGGCTGTGGAATGTGCCCAGCCAGGACCAGGCTGGACACTGCTTATGCTGCCCCTGCTGGGCCCAGTCAGCCCAGCCCAGGGAGGGGAGAAGCAGTTACGGATCTGTGACTCCTGCAGGTGGTGAGCTAGGCACCTGCCTCTCCCCTGACCCCAAGGCTGCCTCAGCCGTGTCCTGATCGGGGGCCTAGACCCAGGCCCCAGGTGCCAGTGTAGACGGCGCTGGTGAAAGTTGCTCCAGGTGCTGACAGTTCCAGGAGTGGGAGTGTGGTGGGCCCTGCTCAGGGTCACCCCCTGGTTGTAGGCCTGGACCCTGGCGTTGGCTCCAGAGCATCAACACTGAGCCCTGTGGTGGAAGCCATGGTTTTGGGCTGCTCTTGTCTTGAGTCAGGAAAGAGGAACCCAGTACCAGGAGATGGGACTCATGGGCATGGACTGATGGCCAGGGTGGGGCTGAGAGGGGCATCCAAGGCCTGGGGAGGAGCCTGGATTCTAGACGGTGTGGCTGGGGACCCTTGGGTGGGTCATGTGCCCACATGCTATGTATGGGGCGGGCACCAGTGCTGCGGGCTCCTCTGCTACCAGTGGGGGCCTCGGTGGTGGCCACTGAGATGGCCTGTGGAACGGGCTGAGGTTCAAGGCTGTGGGGGGGTGGCTGTCATCCTCCCACCCCCAGGAAAGTAGCACAGGAAGAGGGGTGGGGAGAAGCGATGGTCCACGCGAGCCTGGGCGCTGAGCCCTCACCCCTGCTTGGCCCCACAGGGCGATGCTATGGAATATGATGAGAAGCTGGCCCGGTTCCGGCAGGCCCACCTCAACCCTTTCAACAAGCAGCTCGGGCCGCGGCAGCATGAGCAGGGGCCTCGTGAGGAGGTCTTGGAAGTTGCTTCTGAAGGTGGGTGCGGAGGCGGGGCAGGGCTGGGCCCTTGGACCCCTGCCCAGCCCCCACCCTCCCTGGACCCTGCTGGCCTTGCCAGGGGGCAGGGCCTCGCTGTGGAATCACTCTCCTGCTCCTTAGCTGGCTTCTGCTCCTCCCCTGGGACGCATGCTTCTGAGGAGGGGATCTGTGTCTCATCAGTCTCTACTGCGTCCCAGGGCCCAGCACGCAGCAGGTGCAGTGAACTCAGAGCCAAGATCTGGGGGTCAGGAGGCTGTGGGGGGCTGTGACCCAGGGGTACAGAGAGCCATGCTGAGGTTCCTGGGTTTCGCAGTGCAGGCTTCCAGTGTCCTGTCTTCACTCGGCGCGTTTATACGGGGGTTCCTGCTGGGAAGTTGGGGCGTCTTTCAGCACTTTATTTTTTGGTGGCTGTTTGCTGCCTGCACCAGCAGCTGCGTTCCTTTGCAAGTGCCAGGTGGACAGCCGCTCCCTGCAGTGCCTCCTCCCTGAGGGATGTGGGCAAGTGGGGCAGACCGGCCCCTCTCTCCGCTGCCCTGCACACCTGTGCCCTCTTCCTTTAGAGACCCTGCCCGAGCTGCCCCTGGGGGAGCCGGAGTTCCGCTGCACTGAGCGCGTGATGGACCTGGGGCTGTCTGAAGACCACTTTTCCCGGCCTGTGGTGAGGTTTGGGGTCTGGGGGGCAGGGGATGGGTGGGCTGGGCTGTGTCTCACGTGTTGGTGGTGGAGCAGTCCTTGGGCCTGACTCCACGCTCAGAGCCCGTTTGAGGGCCGCTGGAGACGTCCTGGGCGAGGCTTGGAGACGTGGGCCTGCCCCTCTCCCCAGCCCCAGGTCCTTGAGAAGCAGATGTGACAGTTGGATCTGCTGGGGTTCTCTGGAATCCTGTGGACATGCTGCAAGGTGAGGGTGGGGGACAGAGAGAGAGAAGCCGCCTGCCTGCTTCCCGCAACCTCTGCACCTCTTGTTGATTTGTTCTATATTCTGTTCACAGAATGCTTATTCTGAAGAAAAGCAATAAAAGGGCTCAGTTTTTTACAAAAAGTTTGTAAGGCTTTTAATTTTTAGAAACTCTGTAGAAACATTGAAGTGTAGCTTAAGTGAAAAGGATTCAGGGCAGGCAGTCGCCTGTGCCCCACACCAGCCTGCCTGCCTCTGCTTCTGGTGCAGCTCCCTGCTGATGCACCTGGGAGGCAGAGGCGATGAGGCCTGCAGCACTCGGGTCCCTGCCACCCCCACGGGCGACCTGGAGGGAGGCGCAGGCGCCTGGCTCCCGCCTGGTCCAGCCCAGCTCTTATACACGTTTGGGGAATGAAGCAGCAGATGGGAGATCTCTGTCACTCTGCCTTTCAAGTCATAAATAAATAAATAAGTAATTCTTTTAAGAAGAGTGAAATAAAGAGCCAGGAGCCCCCACTTTTCACCTCGTCTGTGCCTTCCAGCTTTGCACGTACAGCTGCATATTCCGTATTTGTATTTTGTGTCTTTTGTAGCATTTTTGAGCCCTTTCTTTCAGCCATGGCGTGAGCTCCCAGGAGGAGGGGCAGGGTGCTGCTCCTCAGTACTGGCTCTCTAGTGCACAAACGGAAGAGGGCTTGGCTCCCGAGGACAGTCAGCCCACGCTCCCTCTAGTGCACAAACGGAAGAGGGCTTGGCTCCCGAGGACAGTCAGCCCACACTCCCTCTAGTGCACCTACGGAAGAGGGCTTGGCTCCCGAGGACAGTCAGCCCACGCTCCCTCTAGTGCACCTACGGAAGAGGGCTTGGCTCCCGAGGACAGTCAGCCCACGCTCCCAGGCGTCGTCCCCAGTAACATCTGGGTGTTTCTGAGTCTGGGGGCTTGGCAGGGGCCTGAGCTGCGGGGCCACTGTGTGGTGAAAGCAGCCGGAAGATCTGGGTCTTGGCGGTGGGGGGCCCTTCCAGGCTACCTTGCTGGTGTCTGCCTGAGCTTGAAACTTAGGCTGGTGGCCACTTCCTGTTCAGGCCAGCAAGCATCGTTTCCCCAGCTGTTCTCTGAGGGGAAGCTCTTTAGAAGCCAGTGAAGTGGCATAGCTGGAAAGGCAGCTGGGTTTCTGGAAGGAGGAAGTCACCTTGGAGAGCGCCTGAGAGGCCTCTCGGAGGACGGGTCCAGCTGGGTGGGCGTTCTTACCCTGCTGCTCACTCCCAGAGGCCTGAAGCAGCTTCTGGCTCCTGGGCTTCTGTTTCCTCATCTGGGTGGAGGTCCGTTGTGGGTCTGAGTGGTGATGGGCCCAGCCTCGACACGGAGAGCCTGTAGTGGGCCCCTGACTGTCGTTCCTGCCCCCACCCGGGCAGGGTCTGTTCCTGGCTTCTGACATCCAGCAGCTGCGGCAGGCCATTGAGGAGTGCAAGCAGCTGATTCTGGAGCTGCCCGAGCAGTCGGAGCAGCAGAAGGATGCCGTGGTGCGGCTCATCCACCTCCGGCTGAAGCTGCAGGAGCTGAAGGTGGGTGCTGCGTGGAGGGGCTGGGGCCAGGGCTGGGGCGGGAAGCGGGGCGCCAGGGGCAGCCTCTGGGGTCTCCCTCCAGGGCCAGGGCTGGGGCGGGAAGCGGGGCACCAGGGGCAGCCTCTGGGGTCTCCCTCCAGGGCCAGGGCTGGAGCGGGAAGCGGGGCGCAAGGGGCAGCCTCTGGGGTCTCCCTCCAGGGCCAGGGCTGGGGCGGGAAGCGGGGCACCAGGGGCAGCCTCTGGGGTCTCCCTCCAGGGCCAGGGCTGGAGCGGGAAGCGGGGCGCAAGGGGCAGCCTCTGGGGTCTCCCTCTAGGCCTGAGAGGCTGAGGCAGAGAGGTAGCAAGAAAGGCAGGGGAATGAGAGGGCCCCTGGCCCTACGTGCAGGTTATTTCTTTGTTATTCTAGACCCCTCTTGGCTGCAGGGGGCAGAAGCCGCTTCAGTAGCTTCAGTTGAAGGAAGAGAGTGTTTACCTTGTTAGCTGCAAGCCCCTCCGGCTGCGTCAGACCTCGCCCTGGTGGCTGAGCTGCCATGGCAGAGGTGGCCTCCCCTGGCGTGGTGGTCCTGCACAGATGAGCGCTTCCCTTTCTCAGGGTGAGGGTCAGTCCTGGGCCAGCTCTGGGTCACTGGCTCCCCGCTAAAGTGTCTGACCTCAGGGTGGGAGAGATGGTGTCCCCTAAGGGAGGCAGGAGGGGTAGTAGGTCCCAGGGCTCAGGGTGCAGACGTGGTGTCCCCTAAGGGAGACAGGAGGAGGGGCAGTGGGTTCTAGGGCTCAGAAGCTACGGGGTGGTGGTGGTGGTGGTGGTGGTGGTCCACCTGGTCCCCTGGGAATTCTAGGTGGCATATTCGGTAGGGATTAGGTGGGGCCATGGAGACGTGTGATTTTCTTCACATAAAAATCCCATAGGCGGTCGGTGCAGGGTCCATGTGGCAGCAGATGGCGTTGGAAGTCTTTTGCCGGTCTGCCAGTCCCTGGGGAAACCCAAGATGGGGTCTGCATCCAGCTGGCAGTAGGGGGGAGGCAGGGAGGCCGTGTCATTCCTGCTCACGTGCCGATGGCCCCAGTGCAGTCCCACCTAGCTGCAGGGGATGCTGGGAAGGTGGTGTGTTAGCTGGTTGACCCACACAGAGGGGTGGTGGTTCTGTTGCTGAAGGGGAAAGAGGACCTGGCCTTGGATTCAAGCTCAGTCTGCTACAAGTGTTGCCTGTAAGAAATGCACTGAGGGGCTTGTGTGGTGGGGAAGGCGCTGCAGCCCAGCCCACCAGGGACCACGCTCTGGCCCTCTGTCTGCAGGACCCCAGTGAGGACGAGCCCAATATCCGAGTCCTCCTCCAGCACCGTTTCTACAAGGAGAAGAGCAAGAGTGTCAAGCAGACCTGCGACAAGTGCAACACCATCATCTGGGGGCTCATCCAGACCTGGTACACCTGCACAGGTGGGCCTAGGTGGAGACAGGTGCTGCTGGTCCCCAGGGCAGGGCAGAGCAGCTCAGAGCTCTGCGTCCATGTCTGGGTTGTGTTCAGGGATGCCAGAGACCAGAAGCTCACTGCTGTCACTGGGCTCACTTCACGGCTGTGCTGTGTGCCCTGCAAGTGTTCTCTGGACACACGAGGCTGTGGCCACCACACTGGACTGTGCTGCTCTGGATAAGAAGTCAGACTGGTAAATGCCAGACATAGCACAGCGAAGAGAAGCAGGGAATGGCTTGTGTGGGGGATGGAGTGGGCACCACGTAAGGGTGGAATGAAGAGGCATCATTGTGTTCAAGCTGACACTTGGCAGTCCAGGAATGAGCATAGGAATGCAGGAGCCCCATGTTGGAGGCCCTGTGGTCGCTGGGTGTCCAGTGTGCAGAGAGCAGTGTGGTTGGGGCGCTGCTTGAGGGGAGGTATGGTAGGGTCGGCCTCAGAGGTGGCTGCTGGACACACTTAGGGTTTAAAAAAAGAATATTTATTGATTTGAAAGGTTGAGTTACAAGGAGAGAGGGAGGGAGAAACAGAGAGATGGATCTTATGTCTGCTGGTTCTCTCTCCAGTGGCCACAATGCCTAGAGCTGGGCCAAACCAAAGCCAGGAGCTTCTTCTGGGTCTCCCACATGGGTGTAGAGGCCCAAGCACTTGGGCTGCCATCTGCTGCTTTCCCAGGTGCATTAGCAGGGAGCTGGATCAGAGGCAGAGCAGCTGAGCATCAAACCAGCCTTCATTTGGGATGCTGGTGCTGAAGTGAAGGTGGTGGCTTAACTTGCCATAGCGCCGGCCCCATACTTGTTTTTTTTTTTTTTTTTTAAGATTTGTTTATTTAAGAGTTAGAGGTACAGAGAGGCAGAGAGAGAGGTCTTCCATTCTCTGGTTCACTCCTCAAATGGCTGTAGTGGCCAGAGCTGGGCTGATCCGAAGCCAGGAGCCTGTAGCTTCTTGGGTCTCCCACGCAGGTGCAGGGGCCCAAGGGCTTGGGCCATCTTCTGCTGGCTTCTTAGGCCAAAGCAGGGAGCTGGATCAGCAGTGGAGCAGCCGGGACTCAAACCACTTGCACCACTTTATCTGCTATGCCATGGTGCAGGCCCCTACACTTAGGTTTTAATAGTGGACTGGAAGAGGGAGGGCAAAGGTGGGAGGCGAGGGTGGTGGCACTCTGGAGGTGGCTGAGGTTTGGAAAGGGGGTGTGACCCAGGATGGGAAGCTGGGGGCAGGGTGGAGACAGAAGAAGAGGGACTGCATGTGGACAGCTGGGCTTTGGTGGGTGGGGATGGCGGGGTGGTCCCCAGGTGTGGAGATTGGAGTTAAGAGGGTCGGAGGTTGGGGACATGAAGTCTTGCAGGTTCTGAGATCTGTTGTGGGAGCAGAAGGCTATGAGTGGACCTGGGTGTCTGAGTAGAGGCTGCAGGGCAGGGCTGGCTGGAGGCCAGCGTGGGCTGGATGGTTCCTACTCCCTGCTGCTGCCTTTTGAAGACGTATTTGTTTAAAAGGCAGAAAGGGAGATCTTTGTCCACTGACTCACTCTCCAAATGCCCACGACAGCCAGGGCTGAGCCAGGCCAAAGCCAAGAGCCAGTCACTCCATCCTGGTCTCCCGTGTGGGTGGCAGGGCCCGTGCACTTGTGTAGTCCTCTGCTGTCTTCCCGGGTGCATGAGCAGGAAGGCGGATCAGAAGCACAGCAGTTGGAGCTAGAGCCAGCACGCCAGTCCAGGGTGCCGGCATCGCAGGTGGTGGCCCAAGCTGCTGTACCACGACCCCAGCCCCACCCGTCTCTGAGAGGTTTGTGACTGTTTTTCCCGCTCCAGGGTGTTGCTACCGGTGTCACAGCAAGTGCTTGAACCTCATCTCCAAGCCCTGTGTGAGCTCCAAAGTCAGCCATCAAGCTGAGTACGAGCTGAACATCTGCCCTGAGACAGGGCTGGACAGCCAGGATTACCGCTGTGCCGAGTGCCGGGCACCCATCTCTCTGCGTGAGTGCTGGTGGGGACAGAGTGAGATGGGGCTGTGGTCGGGACAGCTGGGCACAGCCCTGAGACAGGGCTGGACGGCCAGGATTACCGCTGTGCCGAGTGCTGGTGGGGACAGAGTGAGATGGGGCTGTGGTCGGGGCAGCTGGGCACGCAGGCACCCAGCAGGCAGCTGAGCAGATCTGTGGGTGCAGCCATGCCTGCTTGTCCTCAGCAAGGGAGAGGGACTGGTAGGGGCATTGTTTTCTGTTCCCACTCAGTCAGACTGAGGTTCCAGCTGTCTCGTGACTTGCCCAGGTCATCTGCCTGTGGGGCTGGGGCCTGGCTCAGCGTCTGTGTGGCTTTCTTTTACAGACAGGGCCTGGGAAAGTGCGCGGTAGTCATGTGTGTGCTGTGGCCCCTCGGGAGTCCTGTGGCAGTGACACGGGGACTGGCTGAGGTCTCCTGGCCTGCGGAGTCTGTCCCTGCAGGCTGTGAGAGGGGAAATGGGAGCCGGGAGTCTGACCTCACACCCACCCCTGCAGGGGGTGTGCCCAGTGAGGCGCGGCAGTGCGACTACACCGGCCAGTACTACTGCAGCCACTGCCACTGGAATGACCTGGCCGTCATCCCTGCACGGGTCGTGCACAACTGGGACTTCGAGCCCCGCAAGGTGCTGGTCTGGAGGGCAGGGTCTCAGCTCTGGGGAGGCAGAGCCAGTCTGCAGATGGCAGAGGGGGGAGCTGGGATGGGGTAAAGGTGAGGGTGGAGATCCCTGTTCCCTGAGTGGCTGGGAGGGGGGCGTGACCCCCCAGGGGCAGTCACTCGGCCATGCCCCTAGGTGTCTCGCTGCAGCATGCGCTACCTGGCACTCATGGTGTCCCGGCCAGTGCTCAGGCTCCGGGAGATCAACCCTCTGCTGTTCAGTTACGTGGAGGAGCTCGTGGAGATCCGGGTAAGGCTGAGGGCCCCAGCGGTGGGCAGGGCTGTCGCCTCAGGCACCTGTGGGGGCTGCGGCACGTTCTGAGCCTGGGCACTCCTTTGGATTGAAAATGCCAGAGCTACTTCCGTTAGCGATTGGATGTCAGGCATGGAGGCAATTTTAAATTGTCTAGTAGCCACATGAAATAAGTGAAATGAAACCAGGTGAGGTTAATTTTAATAGTATATTTTATTTAACACCATACATCTGAAAGATTCTTTCAGTGTGCAAGCAATATACAGAATTGTTGAGATATTTCATGTTTTTTTTTTTTTTTTTGACAGGCAGAGTGGACAGTGAGAGAGAGAGACAGAGAGAAAGGTCTTCCTTTTGCCGTTGGTTCACCCTCCAATGGCTGCTGTGGCTGGCACGCTGTGCCGATCCGAAGCCAGGAGCCAGGTGCTTCTCCTGGTCTCCCATGGGGTGCAGGGCCCAAGCACTTGGGCCATCCTCCACTGCACTCCTGGGCCACAGCAGAGAGCTGGACTGGAAGAGGAGCAACCGGGACAGAGTCCGGCGCCCCGACCGGGACTAGAACCCGGGGTGCCGGCGCCACAAGCTGAGGATTAGCCTATTGAGCTGTGGTGCCAGCCACTTTTTTTTTTTTTTTAAGATTTATTTATTTATTGAAAGGCAGAGTTATAGATGGAGAGAGGGCGACAGAGGGGACTTCCATCTGCTGGTTCACCCCTCAAATGGCCACAATGACCAGAGCTGGGCCAATCCGGAGCCAGGAGCTTCTTCTGGGTCTTGCACGTGGGTGCAGGGGCCCAAGGATTTGGGCCATCTTCTGCTGTGTGCTTGGGCCATAGCAGAGAGCTGGATCGGAAGTAGAGCAGCTGGCCTTGAACCAGTGCCCATATGGGATGCCGGTGCTGCAGAGTTGCTTAACCTACTGTGCCCCGGTGCTAGCCCTGAAGTTTTACATTTCTTTTCCGTGTCACATCTTTGAATTCCAGCGTGTATTCTACTCTCAAGGTGTCTCAGTTCAGACCAGACACTTTTGGTGCTCAGTAGCCACTCTCTTAGCCAGGAGTGAGGGAGGAGGGAGGGCAGGGGCCAAGTCAGACTGGTGCTACAGTCCAGACAGGAGATGACAGAGTCTTGCGCAAGGTAGTGGAAAGGGGTTAATTGCATTTTATGGACTGAAACTGAGCGAGTTGACCTGCCACGGGCTCACGGTTGACGAGGGATGTGGGTTTTGAAAGGCAGTCTAGGGCCGGCGCCGCGGCTCAATAGGCTAATTCTCCGCCTAGCGGCGCCGGCACACCGGGTTCTAGTCCCGGTCGGGGCGCCGGATTCTGTCCCGGTTGCCCCTCTTCCAGGCCAGCCCTCTGCTGTGGCCAGGGAGTGCAGTGGAGGATGGCCCAGGTGCTTGGGCCCTGCACCCCATGGGAGACCAGGAAAAGCACCTGGCTCCTGGCTCCTGCCATCGGATCAGCGCGGTGCGCCGGCCGCAGCGCGCCGGCCGCGGCGGCCATTGGAGGGTGAACCAACGGCAAAAGGAAGACCTTTCTCTCTGTCTCTCTCTCTCACTGTCCACTCTGCCTGTCAAAAAAAAAAAAAAAGAAAGGCAGTCTAGTCTGGCTCAGGGTGTCAGATGGAGCCCCGTGCTGGCCCTGGGGCTGCCGGCTCCCGGGCAGGTGGCTTCTGTGCCTGTGGGGCTGTGCTGGGCTCAGGTCAAGTAAATGGTGGATTTGGCAGACAGTGATAAATGATAAATGAACCTCGGGCTCCTGCATAGCCCGGGAGCTGTGATTTGAACTTGAGCTTGGCCAGAGACTTCAGGTCTGGGTCCATCCTCAGGTCTTTCAAAGCCCCTTCCCTGCCCCTTAGTGACCCTGTGTCACCCAGAGGACGAGGTGGGTGACCACAGATTGCCCATGAACCGGCGCAGGCGTGGCGGCAGGGCCACCCCTGCGTCCTGGCTGAGGCCTTCCCCCTCTGCTCATCTGCAGAAGCTGCGCCAGGACATTTTGCTCATGAAGCCTTACTTCATCACCTGCAAGGAGGCCATGGAGGCACGTCTGCTGCTGCAGGTCAGATCGCCAGAGGCACCGGCCCCGGGCTGGGAACTCAGAGCAAGTAGGGCGGTGGGCACACCTCACACTCGGCTCTCTCTGTACTTTGCTGTTAGTCGAGTTCCTCCAGAACTCTGCCCAAGAAGTATTAGGTGTGAAATAAGTGAACAGGTGTTCTGCCTTCAGAAGCATTCTCGTTAGAGAAGCCGGTGTTGTCCCGTTGGGCTCCATGAGAGTCCGCACGGGGCTGGACCTGGTGAGCCTTCTCGGGCGGGACTGCCACCAGCACGGCTTTCAGGGCTCACCTATTTGTTTAGTCAGTATTCACAGATGCTGTTCTAGATTCTGGGGAGCAGTGAACAACCTAAGCAGGAATCCTTGCCTCCCAGAGCACCCATCAGGCAGGGGAGCCGAGACAGATAAGGTGATGTGTGGGTGGCGAGCCCTGTGGGGGAGAGAACGCAGGGAAGGGATGGGGCCTGTGGGGGTTGGGGGGCCGCGCCCAGCTGGCAAGGGAAGGGGCAAGCTGGAGCAACGGGGGGCAGCGAGGTGACCAGCATGGGGTGCCGAGGGGCGTGGAGCGTGGAGCGTGGCAGGAGGCCTTCAGGTGAGGGATCGCGGGCCTGGGCCCGTCTTCACCTGCTGGCTTTCTCAGGTTCCTGGATTCTGCTGTCAGGGCCCAGACGCCATTTGAAGCTTGGGCTTCCTCGAGCACTCTGAGCCCTGACAGTGGGAGCGGCTGTGGGTGAGGACTGGGGAGGGGCCCTCACCTGTGCTGGGGTCACAGCCTCTGCAACTTGGCAGCTCCAGGACCGGCAGCATTTTGTGGAGAACGACGAGATGTACTCTGTCCAGGACCTCCTGGACGTCCACATGGGCCGCCTTGGCTGCTCACTCACCGAGATCCACACGCTCTTTGCCAAGCACATCAAGCTGGACTGCGAGGTGGGTCGCCCCCTGCCCCCCATCTGGATGGCTGGGATGAGCGGGAGCGAAAGCTCAGCCCTGTCCCTGGCCTCAGAGGACTCTTCAAGGTTGGCATTTACCTGCCTCCGTCCCCAATCTCCTCCAGCGGTGCCAGGCCAAGGGCTTCGTGTGTGAGCTCTGCCGAGAGGGGGACGTGCTGTTCCCGTTTGACAGCCACACGTCTGTGTGCACCGACTGCTCCGCCGTTTTCCACAGGTGGGTGTGGACAGAACTTCCCTCAGACTGAGTGCTGCCCCTCCCCTCTGCCTCAGCCCTGTTGACCTTGTGTGAGCCTGCATGCCTTCCCCTGAGGCAGACAGGCAGACAGAAAGGTATTTGGGTCTTTGCTGATCCTGCGGTCGATGACGTAATTAAAAGTTCCATCAGGAGTGGACATCTGTGGGGCTGGGGAGCATGAACCCCTAAAGGCCCGCCTCGGCCAGCATCCAAACTGCTTCCTTTCTCCATCAGGATTGAAGTCGCTCTTTCAGGGCTGGTATAGGCCACAAGTCCGTGCGGTTCTTAGTTCCTGGCACCCTTAGTGTCTTGGTAGTTTTTCAAAGTGTCCCTAGACCAAAAGAAATACCTAGCATGTTTTGTTAAGTGCTTACACTCAAACAGTGTTGTAAGTTTATGGCCATAAAGATTTGGTGGCTGTTTAGAAAGATCGTCCACACACATTACAAGAGAAATAGTTTAGTTTCTTTCTTCGAGAAGCACAATTCCTTACCTCCAGAGCCCTGCACACCTTCTCAAACCTGCCGTCAGACAGGACATACCAGCCCTGTCTGTCCACACTGTTTTGCCTGGCGTTTTCTCTTTAACACAGTGACTGCCAAAACCTTGCCTTTGCAATGCTAGGGTGTTACAGAAGGGGCTGCCACAGACACTGATGTGGGCTGTGAGCTTCCTGGAGAGAGTGCTTTGTGTGGTATCTGACAGATGTGTTCTCAAAGACCCGACTGAGGCGGCGGTGCCCTGGGGTGCCTCGATACATAGTTTGGGAACCTTGAGTGGGAGCTGTGCACACAGTGTTGAAGGCAGGTGCTAGTAGCTGACTGAGAGCTCAGAGCCTGGGTGTGACCTGGGAGCGTGCACTGTCCTGGTGGTGGGCAGTGTGAATACCCACCCCATGGGAGAGGCAAGTGCTCCCCTCACACAGGCCTCACAGCCGCGCAGAGTGTGATCCCTGCACTTGCCCTGCATCTGCCCTGTGGTAGCACCTAATCCCATCTCCCTGCCTGCTGCCCTGTGTGGGGGATAATGGGAGTGTATGAAGATTCAGTGGCAGAATTTTTCTTTTTCATTTAAAGATTTATTTATTTATTTGAAAGGCACAGTTGGAGGGAGGAAGAGAGAGGGAGGGGGAGAGAGAGAGAGACATCTGGCCCATATTCTGGTTTACTTCCCAAAGCCAAAGCCAGGAACTCCATCCAGGTCTCTTGGGTGGGTACATGGGCCCAAGCTGCTTTCCCAAGTGCATAGCAGAGAGCCGGATCAGAGGTAGGGCAGGCAGGATTTGAACCAGCACCCATATGGGACACCAGCACTGCAGACGGCAGCTTAGCCCGCTGCTCCGCAATGCTGGCCCCTCAGTGCTAGAATTTTCTGTGCAGAGAGCCCCAACCTGTCTTCCCACCCCCAGGGACTGCTACTATGACAACTCGACCACGTGTCCCAAGTGTGCCCGGCTCACCCTACGGAAGCAGTCGCTCTTCCAGGAGCCTGGTCCAGAGGAGGATGCTTAGAGCACTGGGGGACAGCACCCACCTTGCTGGGTATTGCCAAAGTCAAGGTGTCCATTCTGCTCTGGAGACCCCTTGGGGTGCAGCCCTTGGACCTCTTCACCCCTGCTGGACCAGAGGTGGGTGAGCAGTTCTCACAAGGACCATCATCGCCCACGTGTTTGCTGGGACTCTGGTAGCTGCATTTCTGTTACTGGGTGTGCAGCGATGAGGGGTTGCTATGTGGTCTCTGCCCCTCTCCCACTGCTGGACTCCGAGGGGAGAAGGGAAGGACTTCTCGCCTCCTCCGTGGCATACAGCCCCTCCATTCACCTGGGGCCAAGGCTTCTGGGCCCTAGAGATACCCTTGCATTAGTCCTGGCCTCCTTGGCGACTGTTTAGGCTGAGACCCACAGGGAGGTTCAGAGGAGTGGCCTTTAACAGCTGAGCGTGCTGGCTGTGCACAGCAGCCCCAGGCTTCTGTTTTACCTTCAGTCGCTGGGTTGGGTTCTATTCAGAGGCTCCAAGCCACCCCCGCCCCCTGGCCCGCACCCCTGGCCAATCTGAGGGTTTCTGGATGTTGCTGACGGCTGTTCATGATCGTTCCTGACAGACCTGGCCCCGCCCCGCCCCGCCCCAGCCAAGCCTCCAGTGTGCACTGTCAGTGCTGTCTGCACTACAGGGGGGGGAGGGGCTGTGGAACTTGCCCTGCTGCGTGCAATGCTGCTGTTCCGCCATGGCCCAGCCCACCTTGTCCTGGTGCTCCAAGCTGGCAGCTGGGGGTTTCAGCCCAAGGAGGGTGTCCCATGCTCCAGTGTGTGGCAGAGACTCTGCCCGGGGAGGTTGGAGGTTAGGCAGAAGGGTAGGCCTGAGTGGCAGTTGGTGAAACCAGCTCTGCCTCAGAGGCGCTCCATCCTTCTGCCATTGTGCGCTGAGATGACCAGCCAGGAGCTTCCTGTTTGGACGCCAGAGGTCAGAAGCTGGGAGCATGTGCTCAAGGGAACCCCTGACAGGTGGTTGCTCGCCCCATGTGGAGGGTGCCCTGGACACGGGGTGGGATGGGGCACACTGGGGCTCAGTGTTTGCACTTTACGAGTCCTGAGGTTGTGGGGGCTATGGGGAGGGATGCTTCAGGACGCAGCTTCCCAATCTCTCACCCCTAGGAAGCGGGGGCTGCTTGTGTCTGCCTTTTTCCTCATTGCCCTGGACTGTGCTTGGCTGTTGATGCACATGGCCAACACCTGGGCAGTGGCAGAGGCCATCATAACCTTTGACCAGGAGGCCCAAGAGGAGACCTCAGCCAGAACAGTCAGCTTAGCTGGCTGGCCCATGTAAGGAATCTGTCACCTTTCTCTTGCCCCTTGCCGTCAGGGCTGTTTAGCAAAGCTCTTGCTGTGTTTTCTGTTTCCATGCCTGGAGAATGGAGATCGCAGTGTGCACCTATCTCAGGGTAGAACAGTGAGAGGATCGAGAGTGTGACGTGAGGCTGAATCACAGTGGGCTTCTCTTTCCTCTGGGACTGGAGAGGGGATTAAAGACCAAATGCCCTTTTCCTACACCCCTAGTCTGTGCATCTCTCACGACTGCATCACATGTCTGTCATGTGGGTATCTCCTGTGTAGTCAACATCACATTACTCATTATAAATCACTGTGCCCATAGAAAACGTTATTATGCTGGCATTTATTGGATAAAGGGTTGGGGCCCATTTTTTTAATACCCTCCCCCACCCCATGCCTCCTCCACCAGCACCTCCTCTCCACCTGCCCTTTCTGGATGCTAAAGCCTGTAAACTGAATCATGGGTAGGTTCTGTGAGCCTGCAGTATAGAAGAACCTAGCAGTGAACTGAATTACATGGCCAGCGTCTTACAGAAGAAAGGACAGCTAAGCGTGGCCCCACGGCGTGGACCAGGCTGGCCTGAGAGTTGCAGCAATGCCACTGTCACTGTTTCATTAAATATGTGTTCTCAGACTTTCTCTGTGTGGTGAATCTGGGACAAAGCCAAGACTGTCAACTTAAAAACTCACTGCCTTCCTTATCTAGTGGAGTAAAATGTTACTTGGGGCGAGCTCAAATTTCCTGAGTGGGAGAGAGGGGGATGTTGATGTCAGACCAAGGAGTGAGTGCGAGACAGTTTAGAGGAACATGTTCCCGAGCCTTCGCTTCTGAAACGACATCACAGGCTTCCTGGGGTCGCCGGGGCTCCAGGGAGCATGTCGCACGCCTGGAACACAAGGAGTATTCAGTAAATAGAAGCTGTGTCTTCTGTGTCTAGCATCCTCTTGTGGGAAGGAAGGGCTGTCTCCTTAACTCCACAGTGACACTGACCGCAGATTACAGCAGAGTCAGCAAAGGCTCCATCTAGTGCCGGGAGCATCTTTGATCTTCCCAAGCTGGGCCCACTGACGGGACCCTCACTGTAGCTCAGGGCCATTCCTGTTCTCCTTGCGTAGGTGTCATTGTTTTCAGAGTCATTTATTTGAAAGGCAGAGAGAGGAAGATAGAAAACTTAGCAGATCACTCCCCAAACGGCCACAACAGCCAGGTCTGGGCTAGTCAGCAGCCAGGAGCTCATCCTGGTCTCCCACATGAGCGGCAGGGGCCCAAGGACTTGGGCCGTCTCCTGCCTCCCCAGGTGCATTAGCAGGGAGCTGGATGGGGAGCAAAGCAGCAGGGACTTGAATCAGTGCTCCAGCACAGGATGCGGTTATCCCAAGTGGTGGCTTAACCCACTGCACCACAGTGCCCACCTCAGGTATTATCATCATTAAAAAGTTTACTTGATTTGAGAGACTGAGACACTGCTCCCATCTGCTGGTTCATTTCCCAAATGCCCACAACAGCTGCGACTAAGGCCAAAATGAGGAGCCAGGAAATCCATCTAGGTATCCCATGTGGATGGCAGGGGTCCAGGCACTTAAGCCATCACCTGCTGCCTCCCTGTGCATCAGCAGGAAGCCGGATCAGAAGTGAACCAGCACTCTGATACGGGATGGCGGCATTGCCAAGTGGTGGCTTAGCCCCTGCACCACATTGCCACTCCCCTCTTTTATTTATTTATTTATTTGAAAGAGCTACACAGAGAGAGGAGAGGCAGAGAGAGAGAGAGAGGTCTTCCATCCGTCTGATGGTTCACTCCCCAAATGGCCTCAACGGCCGGAGCTGTGCCGATCCGAAGCCAGGAGCTTCTTCCAGGTCTCCCACGTGGGTGCAGGGGCCCAAGGACTTAGGTCACCTTCCACTGCTTTCCCAGGCCATAGCAGAGAGCCAGATCGGAGGAGAAGCAGCCGGGACTAGAACCAGTGCCCACATGGGATGCCGGCGCCCCAGGCCAGGGCTTTAACCCGCTGCGCCACAGCGCCGGCCCCATCCCCTCTGTTTTGTTTACATTTTTATATGGCCAGGTTAAAGTTTTCTTCATTTCATTTACATTTGACTGTCATACACAGCTTTCTTTATAGCCACCCAGTTTTTTTTTTTTTTTTTTTTTTTTGCATGGTTTAACTTTTGCGCTTAGAGCCCTGATCATTTGGAGTCTGTTCTTGTGTATGCTGTGAGGTATGGATCCCAGTTTTTCTTCCTTTTTAAAAAATTTTATTTATTTAGGATTCAGTTTTAGCCTTTTCCAAATGGTTCACTGGTTTCCACCACTGTAAACAAAGTACTAGATATTTCTAGATTTTCTGTTTTTTTCTAAGACTTTAAAATTTATTTGAGAGGTAGAGTTACAGAGAAAAAGGTCTTCCTTCTGCTGGTTCACTCCCCCAGTGGCTGCAATGGCCAGAGCTGTGCTGCTCCGAAGCCAGGAGCTTCCTCTGGTCTCCCATTATGGTGCAGGGCCCAAGCATTTGGGCCATCGTTCACTGCTTTCCTAGGCTGGATTGAAGTGGAGCACCCGAGTCCCGAACCAGCACCCATATGGGATGCCAGTACTTCTAATGTGACGTCGAGGGTACCTGCTGTCCATCCCCTTTTGGCAGTTGAGGGCCCTCTCACCAGGCATTTCTGCCCCCCAGCCGTGTCTCAGGTCCAGGAGGGCTGTGCTTGCTCTGCTCCCTCCCGAACTTGGCAGAGAAAATGGGCTGCGCGGGGAAGCAGGTGGAGGGCGTCCACCCGCCGCCTAGTTCTGGTTCACTCGGAGGCGGGCGGCGGGGGCTATTCCTAGCCGGGCGCGCTCACTCCTGCCAGCCCTGCGATCCCGCCTGAGGGGCCGGGCGCGCTCCCGCCGGCCAGCCCTGCGTTCCCGCCTGAGGGGCCGGGCGCGCTCCCGCCGGCCAGCCCTGCGTTCCCGCCTGAGGGGCCGGGCGCGCTCCCGCCGGCCAGCCCTGCGATCCCGCCTGAGGGGCCGGGCGCGCTCCCGCCGGCCAGCCCTGCGTTCTCGGGCGCAGGACCGGCGTGCGCTCTAGTGGTACCAGAGCAGCCGCCCAGCGGCCCGCAGCGACCATCCACGAAGGGAACAACACGGCACACTGCGTCCCGGGTCAGCTCCCGTGTTCCAGGCTCAGGGTGGCGGATGGAGCCGCATCCGAAGCGTCTTTTTTTTTTTTTTTTTTTTTTTTTAAATCTGAAAGGCAGTTACATAGAGGCAGAGAGAGGTCGTCCATCCACTGGCCCACTCCCCAGATGGCCAGAACTGCAGGAGCTGCGCCGATCCTTAGCCTGGAGCTCGGCGCTTCTTCCGGGTCTCCCACGCGGATGCAGGAACTCAAGGACTTGGGCCACCTTCTGCGCTCCCAGGCCGCCAGCAGGGAGCTGGATCGAAGTGGAGCGGCCCGGACTCGAACCAGCGCCCATATGGGATGCTGGCACTGCAGGCCGCGGCCTTACCCGCTATGCCACAGAACAGATGTCCACTCTCGCGAGCCGCTTCCCGTGGAGGACCCCGGAAGTGAGCGTCCCTGGAGACCTCCGAGGCGCAGTGTCCCCAGGCGCTGGGCATCCCCTTAGCGTCTTGCCGGACTCGGCCGCCGGGCGCGCTCCCGATCGGATGCATCAATACTCAGGCGGTAACGTGGACACCTAAAGCGAAGGGCCGCCCGGGCGCGGGGGCGTGGCCCCGTGAGGACCCGTTTGCTGCAGCCTGCGCGTGCGCGCGCTCGGGCCGGGCGGGGTCGGGGGATGTTGCGCCGGCTGGTGGCCGCAACCGGGGGTCGAGCGGTGGCAGCGCCGCTCGCCGTGTTGTGGCGATGCGGTTGCGGCCCCGGACATGGCAAGACGGCCGGGACCGGTGTGAGGGCTCTCGGCGTTGCCCGGCAGGTAAGCAGCGAGGCGCTGCCTCTGGTTCCGGGCTGTGGTCTGTGGTTTTCGATTGGCGCCGCCGTGACGTCATCTCCCTGCGTCTGCCATGGCCGGAAAAGCGGCGGGAATTGGCGACTGGGGCTGCACCCGTGTGGGGTGGTTCCGACCGCGGCCACTTCGCAGTGTCCGTGACTGTTGGCGGTCGCTCCCAGCCTGAACCTACTGGATCCATTTGTCCACCGAGCACGCCCCCACCCACTTCCCACATTCTCGCCGCCTGCCGGGCCCTCGGCCGGCTGTTCTGAGGGGCCGGGCGCGCTCCCGCCGGCCAGCCCTGGGATCCCGTCTGAGGGGCCGGGCGCGCTCCCGCCGGCCAGTCCTGGGATCCCGACCAGGAGCCGGGCGCGCTCACTCCTGCCAGCCCTGCGTTCCCGTCTGAGGGGCCGGGCGCGCTCCCGCCGGCCAGTCCTGGGATCCCGCCTGAGGGGCCGGGCGCGCTCCCGCCGGCCAGCCCTGTGTTCTCGCCTGAGGGGCCGGGCGCGCTCCCGCCGGCCAGCCCTGCGATCCCGCCTGAGGGGCCGGGCGCGCTCCCGCCGGCCAGCCCTGCGATCCCGCCTGAGGGGCCGGGCGCGCTCCCGCCGGCCAGCCCTGCGGCCCTGGCCCGAGTGCCCCCTCCCGGACTTCGCAGCAGCAGCGTTGGAGTTGCAAGTTTACTGCCTTTGGCTGAGTACAGCTGTCGTGTTCTGCGTGGGCAGACTAAGGCAGGGGTTACTGGAAGGTGGTGATGCCAGGAGGGGCAGGGCCTCATAGGCCTGATGAGTCTTCACCCGTGTGCTGTGTGTGAGTCTGTGTTACAGACAAAGGGCACCTGGTTCCTGATCTGACTGGGAAGACACTATGGTGTGCCGAGCTTCACAGCTTAGCTTTGCACAAACTAGTCTAACAAGCTTTATATAGTGTGAGCTGTGAATTGATTTGCCAAAACTAAACTCCAAGATGGGAGAGTAGATCATTGTTTAAACTTACAGTGACAACTACATTGCACCTGAGTAGCTCCACTAACAAAATCATTAAAAGAGGCCGGCGCCGCGGCTCACTAGGCTAATCCTCCGCCTAGAGCACCGGCACCCCGGGTTCTAGTCCCGGTCGAGGCGCCGGATTCTGTCCCGGTTGCCCCTCTTCCAGGCCAGCTCTCTGCTGTGGCCTGGGAAGGCAGTGGAGGATGGCCCAGGTCCTTGGGCCCTGCACCCGCATGGGAGACCCGGAGAAGCACCTGGCTCCTGGCTTCGGATCAGCGCGGTGCACCGGCCGCGGCGGCCATTGGAGGGTGAACCAACGGAAAAGGAGGACCTTTCTCTCTGTCTGTCTCTCTCACTGTCCACTCTGCCTGTCAAATAAATAAATAAATAAATAACAATTAAAAAAACCAAAATCATTAAAAGATTGCATCATGAATTAAACAAATGGGGTGGGGGAGCACCTTGTGGCATAGCAGGTTAAGCCACTGCGTGGGATGCCTTCATCCTGTGTTAGAGTGCTGGCTGTTCCATGTTTCCCATCCAGCTTCCTGCTGATATGCCTGGGAGGCAGCAGGTGATGGTCCAGGTGCTTGGGTTCCTGCCTTTCACGTGTGAGACCTGAATGGAGTTCGTGGCTTCTGACTGCTATGGTAGACATTTGGAGAGTGCATCAGCAGATGGAAGATTGCTCCCTGTCTCTCCCTTTCTTTGTCACTCTGCCTTTCAAATAAATAAATCTTTTAAAAAACAACAAGGAATTGCAAGTTTTATCAAGTTTGGAGGCCTGAAGCACTTTGTACTTGTAGGGATATAGGCTGCCTGGCGTATGTTGAGCTGCTAGCGTCAGAGCTGCTGTCTTTTTGGGGTAGACCTGGAGAAGTCCTGGGAGATTGGGCACCAGAGTTCTCATCCCATACCTGCCATGACTAGTTGTATTAGTTTTTTTTTTTTTTTTTTTTTTTTTTTTTTTTTTTTTGACAGGCAGAGTGGACAGTGAGATAGAGAGACAGAGAGAGAAAGGTCTTCCTTTTGCCGTTGGTTCACCCTCCAATGGCCGCCGCTGCAGCTGGCGCACCGCGCTGATCCGATGGCAGGAGCCAGGATCCAGGTGCTTTTCCTGGTCTCCCATGGGGTGCAGGGCCCAAGCACCTGGGCCATCCTCCACTGCACTCCCTGGCCATAGCAGAGAGCTGGCCTGGAAGAGGGGCAACCGGGACAGAATCCGGCACCCCGACCGGGACTAGAACCCGGTGTGCCGGCGCCGCAAGGTGGAGGATTAGCCTATTGAGCCACGGCGCCGGCCCTCTTTTTTTTTTTTTTTGACAGGCAGAGTGGACAGTGAGAGAGAGAGACAGAGAGAAAGGTCTTCCTTTTGCCGTTGGTTCACCCTCCAATGGCCGCCGTGGCCGGCGCGCTGCGGCCAGTGCACCGTGCTGATCCGATGGCAGGAGCCAGGAGCCAGGTGCTTTTCCTGGTCTCCCATGGGGTGCAGGGCCCAAGCACCTGGGCCATCCTCCACTGCACTCCCTGGCCACAGCAGAGAGCTGGCCTGGAAGAGGGGCAACCGGGACAGAATCCGGCGCCCCAACCGGGACTAGAACCCGGTGTGCCAGCGCCGCTAGGCGGAGGATTAGCCTAGTGAGCCGCGGCGCCGGCCCTAGTTTTTGCTTTTCTCCTTGTGCAGTGGGTGTGACAGCTCCTACTCTCAGGACAGTTGGTGAGGATTGAAAGAGATAATTAAGATGTACCTGGTGCCTGCTGGTGCCCAGTAATGACCACCTTTTATTCTTTTGGCTTTTGATAGGGATATCTGAGTAGTTTATTTAATTAACAAGTTACTAGTTGGGGAGCAGATTTACTTTGGGATGGTAGCACAGAACCTGTCTCACCCTGGATGTTGACTCAGCGGCTGTCATCACCTGCAGGTCCAGTTTCATTATGGTAAAATATTGGGGACAATTCACTTTCTTTAGTTATGTTGGGACTTTGGTTAATACAATTAATATTGGGTTAGTGAGTGTACTTGGATTTTTAAATTTATTTTTTGAAAAAGGTTTATATATTTCAAAAGCAGAGTTGCAGAGAGGAGAGACAGAAGGAGGGAGGGAGGGAGGGAGAGAGAGAGAGAAGGAGAGAAGGAGAGAGGGAGAGACATCTTCCATCTGATGGTTCATTCCCCAAATAGCCACAAGGGTCAGGGGCTGGGCTAGGCCAAAGCCAGGAGCTTCTTCTGGATCTCCCACATGGGTACAAGGGCCCAGGTACTTGGGCCCTCTTCCTCTGCTTTTCCCAGGTACATTAGGAGGGAGCTGGATCAGAAATGGACACGAATGGGCGCACCCTGTAGGCTGCTGCTTAACCAGCTATGCCACAGCACTGCCCCTAATATATTATTATTATTTTTTAGCATGTTATCCTTTATTGTAGTAGTTTTTGTTGTAGTGGATTTTGACTGGTAATAGCCAAAAAAAATTTAAAAATCACTATTCTTATCTTTAAATAATGTATTAAGTGGTGTTAGCAGCTAATGGTAAAAAACTAGTATTTTCCTTTCTGAGGACTAAAGAAAATGAAAGGGGGTCTGGCAGATTATTTGCTTTATTGGCCTGTTAGAAACATCACCCCTTGCCTGACCAAGATGCATCATACTCTCTCTCTCAGCATGTCAATTTCATGAACTTTTAGTCTTTTTTTTTTTTTGTAGTTTTTCTTTTCTTTTCTTTTCTTTTATTTATGTATATATATATTTTTTAATTTTTTGACAGGCAGAGTGGACAGTGAGAGAGAGAGACAGAGAGAAAGGTCTTCCTTGCCGTTGGTTCACCCTCCAATGGCCGCCGCGGCCGGCGCACCGCGCTGATCCGATGGCAGGAGCCAGGTACTTATCCTGGTCTCCCATGGGGTGCAGGGCCCAAGGACTTGGGCTATCCTCCACTGCACTCCCTGGCTACAGCAGAGAGCTGGCCTGGAAGAGGGGCAACCGGGACAGAATCCGGCACCCCGACCGGGACTAGAACCCGGTGTGCCAGCGCCGCTAGGTGGAGGATTAGCCTATTGAGCCACGGCGCCGGCTTTTTTTTTTTTTTTTTTTTTTTTTTTTTTTTAAGATACATTTATTTGAAAGAGTTATGGTGGGGAGAGAGGGAGGAAGATATCTTTCATCTGCTGCTGCACTCCCCAAATGACTGCAATGCTGGGGCTGGGCCAGACCAAAGCCAAGAGCCTGGAATTGCATCCTGGTCTCTTATGTGGGTGCAGGAGCCCAAACACTTGGGCCATCTTCTGCTGCTTTCCCAGGCTCATTAGCAGGGAGCTGGATGAGAAGTGGAGTACCCGGGATTCAAACCTGTGCTCATATGAGATGCCAGTGGCACAGGTGGTGGCTTAACCCATTATGTTACAACACTGGCTCTGAGGTTTTAGTGTTTTTTTTTTTTTTTAATTTAAGATTTATTTATTTATTTGAAAGTCAGAGTTATACAGAGAGAGGAAAGGCAGAGAGAGAGAGAGAGAGAGAGGGCTTCCATCCACTGGTTCACTCCCCAATTGGCTGCAATGGCCGGAGCTGTGCCGATCCAAAGCCAGGAGCCAGGAGCTTCTTCTGGGCCTCCCATGAGGGTGCAGGGACCCAGGGACTTGGGCCATCTTCTACTGCTTTCCCAGGCCATAGCAGAGAGCTGGATTGGAAGTGGAGCAGCCGGGTCTCGAACCGACACTCATATGGGATGCCGGTGCTTCAGGTCAGGGCATTAACCTGCTGTGCCACAGCGCCAGCCCCGGTTTTAGTCTTAAAATTGTGTTTTGAAGCGGTAATGTTTTAAGTTACTAAAATTATCTCGGGCTAGAAATGGCTGTTTTTTTGCTTTCCTTGCTATTGGAGACTATATACATTTTTTTTTTTTTATTTCTGAAGTGAATTTGATTTCTGTTCATCTTATTTGAATCATATTGGCAGCAGACTCAGGAGGCTCATGAGTGAATGCTTTGTGGTTGCAGTGCCTCCAGGGGATCCGCTTCCAGCAGCTGCTTGTGCAGACGAGACTGAACTCATCGTTTTCCCAGCAGCTGTGTGCAAGACCACCCAAAGGTACCTGTGTTTCTCCTGCTGTCATCGGCAACATGAGGTTTACAGGAGTGCGTGTGACCTCATCAGGGTGTGTGTCCCACAGGGACACAGGGCAACTTGGAATGCCCTGTCAGCGTTGTCTGGCTTCCATGTGAGCCACATGGCAGCACCTTCCCCATGCCTTCATGGTTTTGGTTTTCAGTGAGGCTGGCAAGAGAGAAGCTCTTTCAGAAGGAAGTGCCAGACACATCTGGACGACATGGGAACAAACCTTTGTTTCTGCATATCTGGGTCTGAGTACCAGCCAGGCCTCATGTTTGGAAGATAAAACAGACTGTGCAGGCTTAGAGTGCATTTGTCCATTTGAAAAAATTTTTTTTTCTTAATTCTTTAGGTCAGGCTATGGTGATGGCTCAAATAGTTGGGTTCCTGCCATTTGCGTGGGATCCTGGGATTGAGTTTCCAGCTTCTGGCTTCAGCCTAGCCCAGCCGTGGCCATTGTGATATAGAGGGAGTGAACCAGCAGGTGGGAGATCTCTATCTCAAATAAATAAAAATAACTGAAAAATTATAGGTTGAAAAGTGTTCCTCCTCTCTGAATTCGCTTGCTCTACAAAATTATATGTAATGCTTTTCTTTCTTTTAAAAGTTTTATTTATTTATTTGAAAGTCAGAGTTATACAGAGACAGGAGAGGCAGAGAGAGAGGTCTTCCATCTGCTGGTTCACTCCCCAATTGACTGTAATAGCCAGAATGTGCCGATCCGAAGCCAGGAGCCAGGAGCTTCTTCCAGGTCTCTCATGCAGGTGCAGGGGCCCAGGGACTAGGGCCATCCTCTACTGCTTTTCCAGGCCCTAGCAGAGAGCAGGATCTGAAGTGGAGCAGCCAGTACTCGAATCAGCACCCATATGGGATGTCGGCACTGCAGGCGGCAGCTTTACCCACTATGCCACAGTGCCAGCCTGTAATGCTTTTCTGAAGTCAGACTTTGTTTTCCTTTAGAGACTGGTGAACCACAGAATGCTGGGCCTGGACGAGATGGAAGGAAGAAAGGAGGGAAGCAGGATGACTTTGCCTGGTGGAAACGGATGCAGAAGGTACGTGTGTATCCGAGGGCCAGTCCAAGATACCCTGTCACTCCCCCAAGGGATAGAGTCATTGCAGAGCTGAAATTTTGTCTGATCTTTGTTGTAGTCCAATTCTGGTGCTGCAACAAAATTCCTTGGATTGCATAATTTATAAATTTATTGATAACAGTTACGGAGGCTGGGAAATGCAAGATCAAGGCACCAGCAGGTTTGGTTCCTGGTGGAGGCCGGATCTCTGCTTCTGAGAAAGCTGCTTTTTTTAAAACAATATTTATATGTTTTTATTTGTTTGAAAAGTGGAGAGAGGGAGGAGCCAGCACTGTGGCGTAGCAGGTAAGGCCACTGCCTGCAGTGCTGGCATCCCATATGGGTGCTGGTTCGAGACCCAGCTGCTCCACTTCTGATCCAGCTCTCTGCTATGGCCTGGGAAAGCAGCAAAAGATGGCCCAAGTCCTTGGGCCCCTGTACCCACACGAGAAGACCTGGAAGAAGCTCCTGGCTCATGGCTTTGGATTGGCGCAGCTCTGGCCATTGCAGTCAATTGGGGAAGTGAACCAGTGGATGGAAGACCTCTCTCTCTCTTTGCCTCTTCTTCTCTTTCTGTTTAACTCTGACTTTCAAATAAATAAATTAATTTAAAAAAAGGAGTGGGTGGAGAGAGAGGGAGGGAGGGAGGCAGAGACAGAGACAGGCAGAGAGATCTTCCATTTACTCCTCAGATGCCTCCAACAGCTGGGGCTGGGCCAGACCAAAGCCAGTAGCCTGGAACTCAGTTCAGGTCTCTTACAAGCGTGGCAGGGGCCCAACTACTTGAGCCATCACCCGTTGCCTCATTAGCCAGAAGCTGGAATTGGATGCAGAACTGGGACTTGAATCAGGCACTCCAGTGTGGGATGCAGATGTCCCAAGAGGTGGCTTCACTGCGCACCAAATGCTCACCTCCTGAGGTAGCTTCTTGAACACCTTTCTCTGGAGGAGACAAGTGCCGTTTCCTCACATTCGAAGAGGTGGGCTCTCTTCCTTAGTTATAAGGGCATTTCTTTTCTTTTTTAAAAATTTTATTTATTTGAAAGACAGAGTTACAAAGAGAGGGAGAGAGAGGAGAGAGAGAGAGAGAGGTCTTCCATCTGCTGGTTCATTCCTCAGATGGCTGTAATGGCTGGAGATGCGCTGATCCGGAGCCAGGAGCCAGGAGCTTCTTCCAGGTCTCCCAAGAGGCTGCAGGGGCCCAAGGACTTGGGCCATCTTCTACTGCATTCCCAGGCCATAGCTGGATCGGAAGAGGAACAGCCTGGACTAGAACCGGTGTCCATATGGGATGCCGGCACTTCATGCCAGGGTGTTAACCCGCTGCACCACAGCATCAGCCCCAATAAGGGCATTTCTTTTAAGGACACTAATCCCATCCTCGAGTTCCCAGTCTTCTCTTATTGTCTCCGTGGGAGTTGAGTTACAACCTAAATTATAGAGGGGCACATACATTCAGACCATTGCAGCCTTTCTGCTTTTTAGAGGCTAACCATTAATTGGTTCAGAAAGTCTAAGGAGTTTGTAAGTATGTGTTGAAAGGGGCCGGTGTTGTGGTGTAATGGGTATAGCCACAGCCTCTGGCACCAGCATCCCATATGGATGCCAGTTCACGTCCTGGCTGCTTCAGTTAGGATCCAGCTCCCTGCTATGGCCTGGGAAAAGCAGCAGAAGACGCCCTGAGTGCTTGGGCCCCTGACAGCCACATAGGAGACCCAGATGAAACTCCTGGCTTCTGCCTGGCTCAGCTCTAGTTATTGTAGCTATGTGGGGAGTGAACCAGGAGATGGAAGTGTTCTCTTGTAGCTTTAAAAAGATGTATTTATTTATTTGAAAGAGTTACACAGAGAGAGAGGAAGAGGCAGAGAGAGAGAAGTCTTCCATCCACTGGTTTACTCCTTGAATGGCCACAACGGCCGGAGTTGCACCGATCTGAAGCCAGGAGCCAGGAGCTTCTTCTGGCTCTCCCATGTGGATGCAGGGGCCCAAGGACTCGGGCCATCTTCTACTGCATTCCCAGGCCATAGCAGGGAGCTGGATCAGAAGTGGAGCAGCTGGGACTCAAACTGGCACCCATATGGGATGCTGGCACTGCAGGTGGTGGCTTTACCTGCTACACCATAGTATCAGCCCCTAAATAAATAGATCTTTAAAAACAGAATGTGTTGAGAGTGCTGTGTGAATTTCAGAGACCCAGGGTGAAAGAACCACAGCACAGTGTTTCTAAGGGCAGCGTGCTCTGTGGGTTTTTGCTTCTGGGGTATCTGGTGAGTTATGACTTTTGTTTAATTCGAGAGACAGAGAACTCCCATCTACTGGTTCATTCTCCAAATGCCTGTGACAGCCTGGCTGAAAACAGGGGCTGGAAGTTCAGTCCAGGTCTTCCATGTGAGTGGCAGAAACCCAAGTACTTGACTATCACCTGCTGCCGGCCAGGTTGTGCATTAGCAGGAAGCTGGAGTCAGGACTGGAGCCAGGTGTTGAACCCAAATACACGGATGCTGAACAGTGGTGTCCTATCAGGTGTCTTACCCCTCAACTAAACTTCTGCCTCAACGCTGTTTAAAACTCATGTGGATGTCGTTCCTCCTGAGAGGAACAGCTTGATTTTTCCCACGCCACTGAGACTGCATTGGGTAGTGTCAGGAGAGAAGGGTTTAGACAACTTCCCTTAGAATACCTAAACAATGGGGCTGTGGCTGGGGCGTAGTAGGTTAAGACCCTCCCTGTAATGCCAGCACCGTGTGGGCCCCGGTTCGTGTCTCGGCTGCTCCACTTCCGATCCAGCTCCTTGCTTATGGCCTGGGAAAGCAGTGGAAGATGAGTCAAGCACTGGGGTCTCTGCATCCACATGGGAAGCCTGGAAGAAACTCCTAGCTGCTGGCTTCCCTTCACGTTAGCTCAGCTCCAGCTGGTGCAGCCATCTGGGGAATGAACCAGTAGATGGGAGACCTTTCTCTTTGTGTCTTCCTCTCTGTCTATAACTTGACCTTTCAAATAAAAAAAAAAAAAAAATGAATACCTAAAGAAGAAAGATAGTGATCTTCATGATGAAAAGTACTCTTCACTTGACTGGAAAACACATTTTCTACCACAGGGAGAGTTCCCGTCGGATGACAAGGACTTCCGCAGTTTGGCCATTTTAGGGGCAGGTGTTGCTGTGGGCTTTTTCTACTTTTATTTTCGAGAGCCTGGAAGAGAAATCACCTGGAAGCACTTTGTGCAGTATTACCTGGCTAGAGGTCTGGTGAGTAGAATTTATAGTCTCTTTGCCAGGGAAGAGGGTGCTGCCGCGCAGCCCTCACATGATGTCCTGAGGAGGCTGTGAGCGCAGAGGCCTGGGTTGTTGTGTGTGTCCTGAGTGTTCCCACCTCAGGGTGCGTGCAGGAATGGTGCTGCACCCGCGTTCTTGCTTTGTGCAGGCTCCTTTGCGATCGTGGGCTGATATCTTGTCTTAGCCTTGTCTTTCGAGACTTAGTTCTGTTTCTCCATTTGTCTTTAAATTTCCATCTCCTATCTGATTTTGGTTTTTCTCTCTCCGTTGATGGAAAACTCATCCCCTGCTGGGTGGTCCTAGAGAGCACACTGGTGCTCCCACTCCTGGGAGCGTGTGGGACTGCAGAGGCCACGGTCCTACCCAGAATGTGTGCTGAGGCTGGGAGGTACTTGCTGCTCACCTTCGGGGCAGACATTCAGAGGAACCAGGTACCTTGCCCTTCGGATGTCCTCAGAAGGATGTTGAATAACACCTGTTGAGCTCTGAACTTTCTGTTCTTCGATGATCTCTTCAGAGAGCCCCATGATAACTCTCCCTGCCTGTGGATCTGCCATTAGCACGTGTAACTGAGGGGAGGGGTGTGACAGGTCTGTTAGGCCCAGGATGTCCTCCTGTACATGGATTCTGGACAGATTCCAGAGCTTCTGTCGGGTCCTTTTAAATGTCTGACATGACTGACACTGTCATATTGTTGTGGTTATATGGTGCCTTAGTAATTAATGTGTTCATTTTAGTCATGTCACTTTCAGTCTTTATTTGGTTGCCAAGAGAAGTTGTGTTGGTTATCGATTTAAGATTCTGTGATGAGCAAAGGGAGTGATGATAGGTTGCACCTTTGCGTGTGTTTTTCAGAGGCGTGTATCCGCTTGTTGGACAGGGTCAGTCTTCAGGGCTGGATTTTCATTCTTCTTGGCACTATTCTGGTACTTGCAGGCAGGTGGGCGAAATGTTTCTGAATCAGCTCTGTATTTCAATATTGTGTTGTCAGTGTAAGATTTTTCTTTGTGTTTCTTTTGGATTTCTTTTTTTTTTTTTTTAATTTTTTTGACAGGCAGAGTGGACAGTGAGAGAGAGAAAGAGAGACAGAGAGAAAGGTCTTCCTTTGCTGTTGGTTCACCCTCCAATGGCTGCTGCGGCCGGCGCACCGCACTGATCAGAAGCCAGGAGCCAGGTGCTTCTCCTGGTCTCCCATGGGGTGCAGGGCCCAAGTACTTGGGCCATCCTCCACTGCACTCCCTGGCCACAGCAGAGAGCTGCGCTGGAAGAGGGGCAACCGGGACAGAATCCGGCGCCCTGACCGGGACTAGAACCCGGTGTGCCGGCGCCGCAAGGCGGAGGATTAGCCTAGTGAGCTGTGGCGCCAGCCTCCTTTTAGATTTCTAAGCTGGTTTGGATTTTTGGTGCTCAGATATGCCAAATCTTGGTTCTTTTCTTGAATTAATTCCTGTAGAGGAACTAGATTCATATTGCAGGTTAAAAATGTCCAAGCTAGTAGCAAAACAAAACCTAGATCTGCACTGCACAGCAGGTGTGGGCCCTCAGACGCCATGACATTGGTGTCTCCACCATGGACTGTGTCTGAGGAAGAGGACTGTGGTTTTTTTTCTTTTTTTGATTTATTTATTTGATTTGACTGTGTTTTTTTTTTTCTTTTTTTGATTTATTTAATTAATTTATTTATTTGAAAGATGGGGGGAGAGAGAGAGAAAAAGAGAAAGAGAAAGAGAAAGATCTTCATCTACCGGCTCATTCCCCAAATGGCGCACAATGGCCAGGGCTGGGCCAGGCCAAAGCCAGGAGCCAGGAGCTTCATCCAGGTGTCCCATATGGGTGCAGGGCCCAGTACTTGGGCCATCTTCTGCTGCTTTCCCAGGCACATTAGCAGGGGGCTGGATGGGAAGTAGGCAGTGAGGACACGCGCTGGCGCCCCTGTGGGATGCTGGCACTGCAGGCAGTAGCTGAACCTGCTAAGCCTTGACGCTGGGCCTGGTCTGTGGTTTCTGGAATATATCCAGTTTACTATCTCAGCTCCTCTGATTGTTTTTCTTTGTTTTTCCAGGTAGACCGGCTAGAAGTCGTGAACAAGCAGTTTGTGCGAGTTATTCCTGCCCCTGGGACGTCTTCAGAGGTGAGGAGTGGGTTTAAAGCTGAAAGTTACAGGTACAGGGTTTTTAAATGTAAAATGTAGTTTTCTGTATTTTCAGTACAATACCTTTTTTTGCATTCAACATCCCCCCCCCCCTTTTTTTAAAAAAAAAAAAGACTTATTTATTTTTTATTTATTTGAAAGGCAGAGTTACAGAGAGAGGAAGAGAGACAGATCTTTTATCCTCTGGATCACTCCTCAAGTGGCCTCAACGGCCAGGGCTGACCCAGACCGAAGCTAGGTGCCCAGAGCTTCTTTGGAGTCTCCTACATGGGTTCAGGGGCCCAAGCACTTGGGCCATCTTGCATTGCTTTCTCAGGCACATTAACAAGGTGCTGGATCAGAAGTGGAACAGGGGTTGGTGCTGTGGTATAGCAGGTAAAGCTGCTGCCTGCAGTGCCGGCATCTCATATGGATGCGTTTGAGACCCGGCTGCTCCACTTCCGATCCAGCTCTCTGCTGTGGCCTGGGAAAGCAGTAGAATGTGGCCCAAGTCCTTGGGACCGTGCACCCTTGTGGGAGACCTGGAAGAAGCTCCTGGCTCCTGGCTTCAGATTGGCCTGGTTCCGGCCATTGCAGCCATTTGGGGAGTGATCTAATGGGTGGAAGACCTGTTTTTGTCTGTCTGCCTCTGCCTCTGTAACTCTGCCTTTCAAATAAATGAAAAACAAAAACAAAAACAAAAACAAAAATAGCTGAGACTCGAACTGGAGCCCATATGGGATGCCGGCATTGCAGGCAGAGGCTTTTTTTTTTAAATATTTATTTATTTTTTATTTGAAAGGCAGAGATGACAGCTAGAAGGAGAGAGAGAGATCTTCCATCTGCTGGTTCACTTCCCAGATGGCTATGATGGACGGTGCTGGGCCATGCCGAAGCGAGGAGCCAGGAGCTTCTTCCGGGTCTCCCAGGTGGTCACAGGGCCCAAGGGTTTGAGCCATCTTCTGCTGCTTACTCAAGTGCGTTAGGAGGGAACTGGATCAGAAGTAGAACAGTTGGGACTCCCAGCACCCGTATGGGATGCTGACACCTCAGGTGGTGGCTTAACCTTCTACAGCAGGCAGAGGTTTAACCTGCTTTGATGTAACACAGGCCGCTCAACAACCCCTCCCCCACTTTTTTTTTTTTTTTGAAGATTTTATTTATTTATTTGAGAGGTAGAGTTATAGGCACAGAAAGAGTGGTTTTCCTTTTTTTTTTTTTAAGATTTATTATTTGAAGGTCAGAGTTACACAGAGAGAGAAGGAGAGGCAGAGAGAGAAGTCTTCCATCCACTGGTTCACTCCCCAATTGGCTGCAGTGGCCGGAGCTGTGCCAATCTGAAGCCAGGAGCCAGGAGCTTCTTCTGGGTCTCCCACGTGGCTACAGGGGCCCAAGGACTTGAGCCATCTTCGACTGCTTTCCCAGGCCATAGCAGAGAGCTGGATCGTAAGTGGAGCAGCTGGAACTTGAACTGGTGCCTATATGAGATGCCAGCCCTGCAGATGGTGGCTTTACTCGCTCTGCCATGGCGCTGACCCTGAGAGTGGTCTTCTGTGCGCTAGCTCACTCCTCAAATGGCAGCAACAGCTGGATCTGGGCTGATCTGAAGCCAGGAACTTCTTTTAGGTCTCCCATTGGATGGCGGGGGTCCAAATAGGCCATTTTTTGAAGCATTTTTTACTGCTTTCCCAGGCCACGGCAGAGAACTGGATCAGAACAGGAGCAGCTGGGACACAAACCAGCACCCATATGGGATGCCTGTGCAGCAGGCGGGAGCTTAGCCTATTACGCCACAGCGCTAGCTCCCCTCAACAGTCCCTTAATTTTAATGTGATGGTTTTTCTCTACCTGTATTAGTAATGTTGTCTTCCAAAAAGACAGGAACCATTATAAGATAACAACTAATTCAGTGTTGCAAAGTGAAGTGTAAGAAGCACTTACCAAGGTTTGCTAGGAAAATACAAACTGGCGTGATTGCAGCATTTTGCACGTTTGTCAGAAGTTAAAGCAGTTTTGTTGGCCCAGAGGAAGGATCTTCTTGCTGTTAGTGTAGTCACCCTTGAACCTGGGCTCAGAGTGGGTCCCGGAGAACGGGCTGTGCTGGAAGATGGCAGGCTGTGGCGAGGAGTGTGTGTCAGGGCAGGTCTCCTGTGTGACCCAGTGGTTCAGCCTGAACTTGTTGTTGGTCTCTGCAGAAGTTCGTGTGGTTTAACATTGGCAGTGTGGACACCTTTGAACGGAACCTGGAGTCTGCTCAGTGGGAGCTGGGGATTGAGCCCACCCAGCAGGCAGCAGTGGTATATACCACCGAGAGTGACGGGTGAGTGGTGGGGTAAGGGCAGAACACAAATCAAAATCAGTGTTCACGCTCTTTTGGAGTGTGCCGATGGTGCCTTTGTTGTTGTTTTTTTTTTTTTTTTTTTTCCTTTAGATTTATTTATGCATTTGAAAGACAGAGTGACACAGGGTGGGAGACACAGAGCTTGATCTTCTGTCCCCATTGATTCTCTCCCCAAATGGCCACAACAGCTGGGCCTGGGCCAGGTCAAAGCCAGGAGCCAGGAACTCCATCCTGGTCTCCCTAGTGAGTGGGTAGCAGGAGCCCAAGTACTTGTTTTTCTGCTGTATTAGCAGGGAGCTGGACTGGAAACAGAGCAGCTGACTTAATGTGGCACTCCAGCCTGGGATGCTAGTGTCCCAAGTGGTGGCTTAACCTGCTGTGCCACATGCCTGTCCTTGGCCTGTGCCTCTCCAAGGATATTACAGACGTCTGTTAGTGTTTAGTTTCTTCAGTGAAAAATAATTGTTAGCTCTGTTTTTTTTGTTGTTGTTTTGTTTTAAATTTAAAGGGCAAAGAGCTTCCAACTGCTGATTTACTACCCACATGCTCACAGTGGCCAGGCCTGGGCCATTCGGAAGCCAGAAACTCCATCCAGCTCTCCTCTGTCCGTTGAAGGAACCCAGTTAATTGAGCCATCACTGCTGCATCCCAGGGTCTGCATTGGCAGGAAGCTGAAGTCAGGATCAGATCTGGGCATGGAGCTGATATATGGGATGCTGTTGTATTAATAACCAGGCTCAGTGCCTGCCCAGCTCTGTTTTTTTTTTTAATATGAAAATTGAAGCAGGCCGGCGCCGCGGCTCACTAGGCTAATCCTCCACCTTGCGGCGCCGGCACACCGGGTTCTAGTCCCGGTTGGGATGCCGGATTCTGCCCTGGTTGCCCCTCTTCCAGGGCAGCTCTCTGCTGTGGCCAGGGAGTGCAGTGGAGGATGGCCCAAGTACTTGGGTCCTGCACCCCATGGGAGACCAGGAGAAGCACCTGGCTCCTGCCATCAGATCAGCGCGGTGCGCTGGCCGCAGTGCGTCAGCCGCGGCGGCCATTGGAGGGTGAACCAACGGCAAAGGAAGACCTTTCTCTCTGTCTCTCTTTCTCTCTCTCACTGTCCACTCTGCCTGTCAAAAAAAAAAAAAAATTGAAACAGGGAGTTATTTAGCTAGGCACCCTTCAGAAAGGGTTGCACCACAAATTCCTTCAAGTCTTAGAGGAAGCTTTGCAACAGAACCCTGGACAAAGCCCTTTGAATGTGCCACCATCCTCTCTCTCCTTCATTCCTGCAGACCTGTTAGAATGTCCAGGGGCAGGGCTCAGGCACCTGTGACTTTGCCAGGTTGTCTTCTCTTGGTCAAGCTATGCTTTTCCACAGCTCTTATGTCATCTGTTTTTTTTTTTTTTTTAATTCTTTTTTTTTTTTTTTTTTTTAATTCAGGTTATTTATTTGAACGGCAGAATGGCAGGGAGGGAGAGACAGAGAAAGAGATCTTCCATTCACTAATTCACTCCCCAAGAGAGAGGGAGAGAATGACATGGGACTGGGCCATGCCAAAGCCAGGAAGCCCAGAACTCCATCCAGATCTCCCACATGAGTGGCAGGGGCCTGAGTACTTGAGCTGTCCTTTGCTGCTTTCTCAGGAACATTGACAGGAGCTGGATCAGAAGTGGAGCAGCATGGATTCTAATGGACGCCCATATGGGATCCAGTGTTGGAGGTGGTAGTTTAACCTGCTGCACCACAGCCCTGGTCCTAATGTTGTATTGAGTTTAACCCCATTGCACAGTGCGAGTGTGTTCCTAAACTCATTATGGACATGAAGGCTAATACCAGATGAAATACTCTGCTTTGACGACTTAGCACAGAAGTCAGCTTTCCTAAAACTCGGATCCTGCTTTGCTTTTCTTTCCTAGGGATGTCTTTGCCCTGTTCTTTGAATTGAAAACTAGTCAGGGGGCTGGCTCTGTGGCACAGTGGGTTAATGCCCTGGCCTGAAGTGCCAGCATCCCATATGGACAACGGTTTGAGACCTGGCAGCTCCACTTCCTATCCAGCTCTTCTGCTATGGCCTGGGAATGCAGTAGAAGATGGCCCAAGTCCTTGGGCCCCTGCACCCACTTGGGAGACCCAGAGGAAGCTCCTGGCTCCTGGCTGCAGATCGGTGCAGCTCTGGCCGTTGTGGCCACTTGGGGAGTGAACCATCGGATGGAAGACCTCTCTCTGCCTCTTCTGTCTCTGCTGTGTAACTCTGACTTTCAAATAAATAAATAAATCTTAAAAAAAAAAAAAAAAAAAAAAAAGAAAACTAGTCAGGAGGGTACAAGCCCTAGGAGGGCTGTACTGAGATGGAATGGGGGTGGTTTATGTAGTCCCCCCCCCCTTTTTTTTTTAACTTGTAGCCGGTGTTTCAGGCATTGCTGGAATTGCATGGAGGATGAGAGCAAGTTAGTGTCTTAATCCATTTTTTGCTGTAAACACAAAGTCACACACTGGGTAATTTATAAAGAAAAGTATAATTTGTTAGAGTTCTGGAGGCTGGGACTAGCAGTATTGAGGGCCTGCATGGCTGAGGACCTTCCTGTGTCCCGACATGATAGGGACACAGGGCTTGGCAAGTGGGCAGGAGCCTAATTTCTGTTTTCTGTGACAGACCCACTCCCAAGAGAACTAACCCTAATGTGACATCCCAATCCTCTCTTTTTTTTAAGATTATTTTATTATGTATTTGAAAGACAGAGAAAGGTAGAGGGGGGGATCTTTTTTTATATATATTCATTTATTTATTTTAAAGAGTTACACACAGAGAGAAAGAGAGGCAGAGAGAGTGAGTTCTTCCGTTTGCTGATTCACTCCCCAATCAGCCGCAATGGCCGGCGCTGTGCTGATCTGAAACCAGGAGCCAGGAGTTTCTTCTGGATCTCCCATGTGGGTGCAGGGGCCCAAGGACTTGGGCCATCTTCTACTGCTTTCCCAGGCCACAGCAGAGAGCTGGATCAGATGTGGAGCAGCTGGGACTTGAACCGGTGCCCATATGGGATGCTGGCACTGCAGGCTGGGGCTTTAACCTGCTGCGCCATAGCACCAGCCCCCTAATCCCCTCTTAAAGGCCCCAATTCTTGAAGGTGGCACTCTGGCTCAGCGGGTAAAGCCATGCCCTGCAGCACCAGGGTCCCTATGGGTGCTGGTTCTGGTCCCTCTATTCCACTTCCCATCCAGCTCCCTGCTAATGTTCCTGGGAAGGCAGTAGAGGATGGCCCTCCCTGGTACTCAGGTACCTGCACCCATGTAGAAGACCCAGAAGAATATGCTGGTCCTGGCTTCTACTTGGCCTAGCCCTGGTTGTGGCAGCCATTCGGAGAGTGAACGAGCTGATGGAAAATCTCTTTCTCCGTCTCTCCTTCTGTCTCTAATTCTGCCTCACAGATAAACATTTTAAAAAAAAAAAAAAAAACAAAAAGAATTAAAAAGGAAAAAGGTTCCACCTCTCTGTTTGTGTTTTTTTAAAATATTTATTTTATTTATTTGAAAGGCTGTGTTAGGGAGAAAGAGAGAGAGAGATCTTCTATGCTGATTCAATCCCTAGGTGACTGTAATAGCCAAAGCCAGGAGTCAGGAGCTTCATCCAGGTCTCCCACGTGGGTGAAGGTACCCAAGTACTTGGGCCATCTTCTGCTGCTTTTCCCAGGCCATCAGCAGGAAGCTGGATCAGAAGTGGAGCAACGCCAGCGCTGCGGCTCAATAGGCTAATCCTCCGCCTAGCGGCGCAGGCACACCGGGTTCTAGTCCCAGTCGGGGCGCCGGATTCTGTCCTGGTTGCCCCTCTTCCAGCCAGCTCTCTGCTGTGGCCAGGGAGTGCAGTGGAGGATGGCCCAAGTGCTTGGGCCCTGCACCCCATGGGAGACCAGGAGAAGCACCTGGCTCCTGCCATCGGATCAGCACGGTGCGCCGGCTGCAGCGCGCCGGCCGCGGCGGCCATTGGAGGGTGAACCAACAGCAAAGGAAGACCTTTGTCTCTGTCTCTCTCTCTCACTGCCCACTCTGCCTGTCAAAAAAAAAAAAAAAAAAAAAAAAAAAAAAAAAAAAAAAGAAGAAGTGGAGCAGCTGGGACAGAAACCAACAACACCCATATGGGATACCATTGCAGGCTGCAGCTTTACCTGCTACACCACAGCGATGGCCCCAAGGGCATGCTGGCAATCCAGGCTATGGCTTTACCCACTATACCACAATGCAAACCCCAAAGGGATGCTGATACTGCAGGCCCCAGCTTTACCCACTTTGCCACAGTGCCAGTCCCAAGGGGTTGCCGACATTGCAAGCTGTGGCTTTCCCTGCTACACCACAGTGCCAGCCCCAAGGCCTGAACCCTTAACACAGTTGCAGTGGCAGTTAAATTTCAACGTGAGTTTTAGAGGGGACATGTAACCCTAACAGTGAAGACTAGAGTCCTGGAGATTTCTAGTGATCAGGCCTGCCGTGCTGACGCTCCTGCACGTCCTCTGGGAGTCTGTATGTGCTGACCTGGGTTCTCTTTTACTTGCTGGATTGCCAGGAATGCTGGTTGTATGTGGGCCTATCTGGGAACTAACTGGAAGTGGCAGGAGTTGCCTGGGAAAGGGAACGGGAGCATCGTTCCAGCCAGGGATACTCTCCCTCTTTGGCTGGTGTTTCCACTTAGGAGAGAAAGGAGACAATGCAGATCCTGAGTCTCCCTTGGGCACTGAGGGAAACTGCGGCGAAGGTTTCATCAGGATGCCTGGTTCCCTCCCTCCTTGCCCTGCCCTGCCCTGCCAACCGCAGTCAAAATCGGGGTAGACAAATTGCGTGTGATCACAGCCTTGAAACTGGGGGAGGCCAGTGCTGTGGGCAGACTGACAAGTTCTCTGAAGTGAGTATGACAGTGGTTTTCTTGGATTTTTCTCTAGCTCTTTTTTGCGAAGCCTGGTGCCCACCCTTCTCTTGATTGGCATCCTCCTCTATGCCTTGCGGAGGAGCCCAGTGGGTGCTGGGCGCAGCCGGCGAGGAAGGGGCCTCTTCAGCGTGGGTGAGACAACAGCCAGGATCGTGAAGGACAACATTGGTGTGCGATTTGCAGATGTAGCTGGCTGCGAAGAAGCAAAATTGGAGATTATGGAGTTTGTGAATTTCCTGAAGAATCCCAAGCAGTATCAGGACTTAGGAGCCAAAATTCCAAAGGTATTGATTTCAGAAAACAGCAGTGCTGCTGAGAGCCCCAGGTTGGTGCTTGAGGTTGCTTGGGTCAGAGCTGATGGATGTTTGACGGTTATAATGGGAAATGGAATAGCAGATCTTCTTACTGAATGGACCTGAGACTATAGTTTTCAAAATTATAAACTTAACACAATGTGTAAAACTATGGAATCATAGGAACAACACATACTGGTCTGTGTACTTTTTTTTTTTTTTTTAAGATTTATTTTATTTATTTGAAAGAGTTAACAAAGAGAGGTAGAGACAGAGAGAAAAGTCTTCCATCCACTGGTTCACTCCCCAGATGGCTGCAACAGTCGGAGCTGCGCTGATCCGCAGCCAGGAGCCAGGAACTTCCTCTGGGTCTCCGACGTGGGTGCAGGGGCCCAAGGACCTGGGCCATCCTCTGCTGCTTTCCCAGGCCATAGCAGATAGCTAGATCGTAAATGGAGCAGCTGGGACCAGAACTGGCACCTGTATGGGATGCCGGCGCTTCAGGCCAGGGCTTTAACCCACTGCATTGCAGCACTGGCCGGCCCCATGTGTACCTTTTAACTTAAAAAGCATGTCCGTCCTTTGACTTTAGTTCCAGTGAGCAAAAATCTGTTAAATGTCCTGTGTAAACCACAGATTTTCTATAATTTCACTTCTCTAAATTGAAGCAGGAAGTTACTTAAAGGCAGTTTGAGCAAAATCCTTCCATTCTTTCAATGTTTTTTTTTTTTTTCTAACCTACTCAGCTTGACATCACTTTTTAAAAAAATTGTCTTAACTGCTGTGCCAAATACCTACCTGCTCCTCAACTTAGTTTTTTATGAAACAGCTTTTTTTGCTTCTGTTTTATGAATTATCTAACATTAAATTACATAATTAAAACAATAAATAGGGGCAGATGCTGGGGTTGCCCATGTCCCATGTTAGAGTGCCTGGTTGTTGTCCTGGCTACTCGACTTCTGATTTAGCTTCCTGTTCATGGACATTCCGGGAAGCAGCAGATGACGACTCAAGTGCTGGAGTCCCTGCGACCCATGTGGGAGACCCAGATGGAATTCTGAGCTCCTTATTTTGGCCTGGCCCAGTCTCTGCTGTTGTTGGCATTTGGGTGGTAAACCAGTGGGTGGAAGATCTTGATTTCTCTGCTGTCTCTCTCCTCTCTCTCTTTTTCTGCCTTTTGAATTTAAAACAACAGTGAGTACAACTCAAATGAACAGGTTAGAGATTAGATCTTGCTGCTCTTACCAGGGATACAGCCTGGCAGGTAGGACAGGAATGTGCAGCCAGCCTGGTGGTTGCATCCAGGAGGTCAGGAGAATCAGAGTAGCTGGCAGTACAGTGACTCTCGGCTTGCAGGAGAGATGCCGAGTAGAGGGCCTTCTTGCAGTTGTGGGCTCTTTGGGGCCTGTCAGAGGGCATGGATTTTTTTCCAGTTAAGATTTGCACCTCACAGCCGGCGCCGTGGCTCACTAGCCTAATCCTCCGCCTTGCGGCGCCGGCACACCGGGTTCTAGTCCCGGTCAGGACACCGGATTCTGTCCCGGTTGCCCCTCTTCCAGGCCAGCTCTCTGCTGTGGCCAGGGAGTGCAGTGGAGGAGGCCCAAATGCTTGGGCCCTGCACCCCATGGGAGACCAGGAGAAGCACCTGGCTCCTGCCATCGGATCAACATGGTGCGCCGGCTGTGGCGGCCATTGGAGGGTGAACCAACGGCAAAAGGAAGACCTTTCTCTCTGTCTCTCTCTCTCACTGTCCACTCTGCCTGTAAAAAAAAAAAAAAAAGATTTGCACCTCACACAGGCCATGAGCCTTTAGGTCATCTCGGCTCTGGACCAGGCCAAGTAGGACTGCTGGTGTAGAATGGTGCTTTGACAACACCCGCACCCTTGCAGTAGCCTCCTCTCTCCGCAGCACCTTCCCACAGGTTGGGCACTGCTGGACAGTTTGTTCTGCACAATAAGCACAAAAAATCAGCAGCCAGTCTGAGCCTGGGGGTGGAGCCAGGGGAAGTGTGTGTGTTAACGGCTTTGGTGCATGTTGAGGTGTGTGAGTCTGGCAGCTACACCAAGGCCTTTTGTTCCCTGGTGCAGCTTTGCCAGCCACCAGCAGTGGCCGGTCTCCTGATGGGGTGGGTGCAGGTGCTTCTGTTCTTTTCCGAATGTGTTTAATGTGCTTGTATGTATTGGGCAGTACCTGTAATGAAGGAGGTGGGTGATACTCTCAGGTACCAAAAGAGGCCTCTCACCTGCAGTGTTAGTCTCTGTCCCCCGGCTGGGCTGAACTGCTGTGAGAGACAGGCCCTGTCAGCTTACCTTTTGCTTCATGGGCTCCAGACTATGCTATGGATTCCAGGAACCAGTGAGGTCAGGGTTTTCCAGCTCCTGCTGGGTATGAAGTGTGATGATTTCGCAGCCTCCCCTGTGAGATGGCATCACCTGCTGTGCTGTGGTCGCAGTGGATGTATTTCCCGAGTGTGTTTTCTCAGTTAGACATGGCGTGCCAGTGATGTTCCCGCCACCCTCATGCCCTCTGGCATGTTCTCACACATTGTATCTCATGGAGGGTTACACTGTCCACGTGTGGGCTGAGGTGTGCTACACTCACATCCATGCTGTGTGAAAGGGGGGCTTGTGTGACCCTGCCAGGGGAGAAGGGGAGCTCTAGCGCCTGGTGGGTGAGTGACTGTGCCTTTGATATAAATGTTTTGTTTTGTGTTTTCTTTCTTTCTTTCTTTTTTTAAAGATTTTATTTGAAAGGCAGTGTTATAGACAGAGATCTTCCGTCTGATGGTTCACTCCTCAAATGGCTACAACAGCCAGAGCTGGAGCCAGGAGCTTCTTCTGGGTCTCCCAGGCGGGTGCGGGGGCCCAAGGACTTGGGCCATCTTTTGCTGCTTTCCTAGGCCATAGCAGAGAGCTAGTTCAGAAGTGGAGCGGCTGGGTCTGGAACCAGCACCCATATGATATGCTGGCACTACAGGCAGAGGCTAACCTACTGTGTCACAGCGCTGGTCCCTGTTTTTCTTCTGAAAGGTAACAGAAACCTGGATTGTGAGCCCACATCTTTAGACTATAAAAGGAACAGTCTAAGTGCCGCTACTTCTGCTTTAATATTCAGTTTTCTGATAATACATAAAATGTTGTGTGGGCAAGAATTGTTGTTATTTTTAACTTTAAATCAGTGTAGAAAAAGGCAAGTCACAGGTGCCATCAACACACAGACAGCCGTTCTGCACAACTGCCGAACACCTGAAACTTGGGGCTTTCCAGCTTTGGTAGCAAAAAGGTTGTAGCACTGAGTTCACTGTGGCCAAAGATTTGGAGAGGTGGCTGCAGTTCATTCCTGGTGGGAGCAGGAATTGGTGCCACGGTTTCTGAGAGCCTCTTGTCCATGCTGATGAACGTTAGGCCCTGTGATACAGCGGCAGGGGCGGGTGGGGGGGAGACAAAGCGCCCATTTGCTGCGCTGTGTCTGAAACTCTTGAACTTTAATCTTACCAGCAGGCTATACGAGTATAGCCGCAGGCTATACGAGTGGTGCATCAGCCTTAGGAATCTCCTATTTAATAAAAGAAATTCCTAGTCAGGGGCTAGCACTATGGTGCAGTGGGTTAACATCCTGGCCTGAAGTGCCAGCATCCCATATGGGCACCAGTTCGAGACTCGGCTGCTCCACTTCCGAATGTCCTGGCTCTCTGCTGTGGCCTGGAAAAGCAGTAGAAGATGGCACAAGTCCTTGGGCCCCTGCACCCACGTGGGAGACCTGGAAGAAGCTCCTGGCTCCTGGCTTTGGATCATCGCAGCTCTGGCCATTGCAGCCATATGGGGAGTGAACCATCGGATGGAAGACCTCTCTCTCTCTCTGCCTCTCCTCTCTCTAACTCTGACTTTCAAATAAATAAATAAATCTTTAAAAAAAAAAATAAATAAAAGAAATTCCTAGTCAAATCTAAAGAGAAACAGGACTCGCGCTTCTGTATACCCCCTGTCCCCCTTTAAGAACCAGTGTCATTTTCTGTTCCAGGGAGCAATGCTTACTGGTCCTCCTGGTACTGGCAAAACACTTCTTGCCAAAGCGGCTGCAGGGGAAGCCAGCGTGCCCTTCATCACTGTGAACGGGTCAGAGTTCCTGGAAATGTTTGTCGGCGTTGGGCCAGCGAGGGTAGGTGCTGTACAAGGTACCAGAATGCCTCTCCCTGGTGTGGCTGATCTACTCATGCAGCACCCACTGGGTGTGAGTGCCGATACACCAGAGCAGTGACAAGTGAGACCCTGCATTCCTGTTTCAGGTGCGTGACATGTTCACAATGGCCCGGAGAAATGCTCCTTGTATCTTGTTCATCGATGAGATTGATGCAATTGGTAGGAAGCGGGGCCGTGGGCACTTGGGAGGCCAGAGCGAGCAAGAGAACACCTTGAACCAGATGCTTGTGGAAATGGATGGTGAGTAGGTGCTCCTGTTCCAGGCCTGTGGTGTCGGCGTTGCCTGCAGAGCCTAGGTTCCCAGGAACCATCTTGGCAGGAAGTCACTGACCTGGCTCCAGATTTTGTTTTTATAAAGTTGCTCCCTGGAGGAGAATACCTAACTGTTCAGGTTTTGTTTTGCTTTTGATTTATTTAAGCTTCTTAAAAAATATTTACTTATTTGAAAGAGGGACAGGAAAAGGGAGAGTCTGAGACAGATCTCTATCTGCTAGGTCACTCCCCAAGTGGTCATAAAAGCTGAGGTTGGCCCAGGCTGAACCCAGGAATGCAGAACCTCGTCCAGGTGTCCCACTGGTTGGCAAGGGCCCAAGTACTTGAGCCATCTTTTGCTGCTTCCCAGGTGCGTTAGCAGGGAGCTGGATTGGCTGCAGAACAGTGCAGCTGGGACTCAAACCAGCACTTTGACGTGGATACTGGAATTGCAAGAGGCAGTTGAACCTGCTGTACCACAGTGCTTGCCCCCCATTCAGTTTTTAGGACAACTGTTCTAAGGCACACAAGGTGGAAAAAGCTGCATTAGATTTGCCCAGTGTTCCCCAGTGCTCTAAAACAGTGTGAGGGCAAATGCACTCGCTTGCTTCCAGCAGCAGGTAGATGAACCTTGTGCTGATAGGATGGTCTGGACGCAGACCACACTGCTTCTTCTCTAACCCTGACTCCAGCTTCCCTCCCTACCCAGGCCTGCTCCCTCCAGGGTGAGTCTAGCCTGTCAGCCTTGTTGAAGCTTCTAGAATGTGGCTAGGCATTTATGCTATTTAAAAGATTTTTGGGGGCTGGCGTTGTGGTGTAGCAGGTTAAGCCTCCGCCTGCAATGCTGCCATCCCATACGGGTGCTGGTTTGAGTCCCTGCTGTTCTACTTGCGATCCAGCTCTCTGCCAATGTGCCTGGGAAAGCAGTAGCAGATGACCCAAGTGTTTGGGTCCCTGCATCACATGGGAGATCCTAAGACGCTCCAGGCTCCTGGCTTCAGCCTGGCCGTTGAGGCCATTTGGGGAGTGAACCAGTGGATGGATGAGCTCTCTTGCTCTCTCCTCTCTCTATAGCTCTGCCTTTCAAATAAAACAATAAATAAATCTTTTAAAAATGTTTTTTCATTTGAAAAGCAGAGTGAGAGTGAAAGAGATTGATCTTCCATCAGCTGGTACATTCCCCAGTTGCCTGTAATAATTTGTGCTGTGCTAGGCTGAAGCCAGGAGCCAGGAACTCTTGGGTTACCCATGGAGGTGGTAGGGACCCAAGCATTGAACCATCACAGGTGCATCTGAGTAGGAAGCTGGATAAGAAGCAGAGTCAGGACCTGAACCAGACACTCCAGTATAGGGTTGAGTGTCCCACAGGGTATCCTAAGTGCTGTATTTCAGTGACCACCCCTTAATGCCAACTTTTTTTTTTTTTTAATTTTTTATTTGAAAGCCAGAGAGAGAAGGAGAGAGAGAGAGAGAGAGAGAGAGATAAAGAGAAAGATGTTCCACCCACTGGGGCTGGGCCAGGCCAAAGCCAGGAGCCTGGAACTCCATCTGGGTCTCCCATGTGGGAGCCCAAGTACTGTGGCTTTTCTGCTGCTTTCCCAGGCATGTTGACAGGGAGCTGGATCTGAAGTAGAGCAGCCGGGACTGCTGCTTATATGGGATGCTTATATATGCTGCTTGTATGCTGCTTATACGGGACATCACTTACATGGGATGCTGACATCTCAGGCAGTGCCTTAACCTACTGTGCCATGACGCCAGCCCCAGTGCCAGTTTTTGACTTTGTAAAATTTGTCATCGGACCTTTGGCCCATTTGTCGTCACTGTGGCTCCGTGATGCACTAGGGAAGTCACAGGGCTCAGCATCTAGCTGTCTTCCCAGCTGTGGTTTATTGTAGCAGAAATATCCAGAAGAAAACAGGAAGCAGTGAGGAGAAGTCTGGGGAGCCCAAGCGATCCCCACGCGTCCTCCTGTGGAATCCCGTGGGATATGCTTGTTTTTCCCAGTAGTGAGTACAGATACAACCCAAGTGCAGATTGTCAACAAGGGAAGACTTGTGAGAGACGCAGTTTTCCAGGATTCCCGTGGGGAGCTGGTCATGTAGACACCCTCTGCCTGGCATGGACCAAAGTTCCAGATACACAAGAGGGTGGCAGGTATTCTGCACAGGCCACCTCCGTGTGCTCAAGTGGTTTGGGTCTAGGGAACCATTCTCGTCGGGATGGTGGAGGTTTTCCCTTGCACTGCTCTTGCTACCAGCAGCCAGTTGAGGTGCTCTGCTGTCTGGGCAGTCCTTAGAGTGGAATGTCTTCCTGTGCATCACTGACTGTTCTATCTTTGGGTGAAGATTTTTTTCCTCTGGGGAAGACATGTGCTGCCAGCTGCCCCTCAGGGTCACCACTGACCAACTCCTCCTTGGAAAAGATTTTTTTTTTTCCTTTTTCTTGGATTTGGAGGAAGAGACAGATGAGTTTTCCATTCCATTTTTCTGAGGAGCCTGAGACTTTTGGTAGAAGGCCTTTAGGAAGTCAGCAGACAAGCCTGCTGTGCTGACAACTTCCTGCACAAGCCAGAAGACACTTCTAGGATATTTCTTGTCTTAAGGATCCCATAGCAATTCCGAATAGATTCGGTATCAGGAGGAGCCGACTGGAGAGAGGAATGGAGGCTGGGTGGGACAGCGGCTCGCCGGCCTCCTCTTGCCCTTCCTGCCTATGGGGCAGTCAGTTCTCTATGCTGCCCCTTGCCTGCCCTCATGTAGTCTGTCTGGGTCTGCAAGCCCACAAGGACCTGGATGTATGCAGATCTTGTAGGTAATGAATGAATCAGGACCCATGCCCTGGAGCTTGATGACACCCTGGCCCACGTTCTCCATACTCCGTGCTGAAGAATACTTGGTTAACCAGCAGAAGCAGGTGCATCAGTTGAGAACCAAGAACCAGAGGTGAAGCCTTTATGAGACGTCCTTTCTGGGAAGAGTCAGCAGACCACTGGGCGAGGACTCATCCCTGCCTCACGACCCTTTGCAGTGGAGTCTGGAGCGAGCAGAGTGAGGGTGGGAGTTAACCAAGCATGGGCCGTGTCTGAAAAGACAGGGCAGGTATGCGCGAGGGGCAGTGGGATGTGTTCCCAGTACCAGGTAGATGCCAGGGCTGGCCTGAATCTTCCCTGAGGTCGTACGTGTGCTTAGTCCTCCTTCCATGCTCACCTGCTTCTCTTGTGTCCAGGGTTCAACTCCACCACCAATGTTGTTGTATTGGCCGGCACCAACCGCCCTGACATCCTTGACCCAGCATTGATGCGGCCAGGCCGGTTTGACCGTCAGATTTACCTTGGTGAGTCTGCCACTTGCTTGGGTGCTTAGTTTTGGGCCTTGTCTCCTGGGGCTAAAGGTTTGATTAGATCACTTGCTGTGCGTGTGGGAGTGGTTTTACTGGGGATCCTGAAGCTGTTAGGGCTTGGAGCTGTGAGAGTGATGTAGCAGATTTATGTTCTTCAGGTTTTATTTGTGCAGTGTTATAAACACTTGATCATTTGGAAGATAAGACTTTACCCCTTGGCTTTCACCCTGACAGTCAGCCATCTGCGTCTTCTCTGATTTTCCAGTTAGAAAATATTAATCATGTGTGGACGTCCCCCTGTTGCTTAGGGCAGCCCTTGTTTTGCTTGCTGTCAGGTTGCATGGCCCTGGGAATGGATTTAACATTGGCCTGAGGCATTCAGGAAGGGGTTAATATGCTGCAGCACCAAAGGCAGGTGTGGTGCTTTGGGCTGTTTCTGCCATTGCTCACTGGCTCTGGGGCTCCCTTTGGATGACCCCTGCTGCTCTTGCAGGTGTGTGAAGTGGCTGTGTGTGAGCAGGTTGGGAAATCCCAGAAAGCACAGAACCCATGTGCCTCTCTCTGTTAGGACCCCCTGACATCAAAGGCAGGTCCTCCATCTTCAAGGTCCACTTGTGTCCACTGAAGTTGGAAGAGAGCCTCAGGAAGGACACCCTGGCAAGGAAGCTGGCAGCGCTCACTCCGGGCTTCACTGGTGAGTGCTGTCTGCCGGGTGCCTCTGGCCTGGGGCAGGAACCGTGCATGCTTGCTGTTTTGGGGAGGTTAGTGGTCCTGCCCTTTCAGGCCTGGCACGTGCTCGCTTTTGTCTGTGAAACTTTGAAGCAGGTTGATTCATTTCAAAGGCCTCATTTGAAATCAAGGCTAATTTGTCCTCATTTGAATTTCTGCTTTAATTCTGTTCAGTCTTTACTGCAGACACCAAAATAATGTCTGAGGAAAGATCCACTGACATGATCACTCACGGTACCTTTTATTCTTTTTGGTTTTTAGTTTATTTATTTATTTGAACAGCAGAGTTACAGAGAGGCAGAGGCAGAGATAGAAAGAGGTATCTTCCATCCACTGTTTCACTCCCCATATGGCTGCAATGGCCAGAGCTGCGCTGATCCAAAACCAGGAGCCAGGAGCTTCTTCCAGGTCTCCCACGTGGGTGCAGGGGCCCAAGGACTTGGGCCATCTTCTGCTTTCCCAGGACATAGCAGAGAGCCAGATTGGAAGTGGAGCATCCAGGACTTGAACCGGTGTCCATTTTGGATGACGGCAATGCAGGCAGCCACTTTATCCTCTATGCCACAGCTCCAGCCCCTACTTTTTATTCTTGACCTTGAGCTCCCTGCTGGGTGGTTCTTTGCTTTCCTGTCTTCTTAATTAAAAACCAATCTCCTGTGCTTGGAAATTTTTTTTCCCTCCCTGGGTGATAGAAATCCCAGGACCAGTGGAGATGTCCAAGGGGTCTCCTGCCATGCTCGTTCCCTACAGTGCAGCCATTGCAAGCCTCAGTGCCTTGTGGTTACTGTGGTAAGCCACTGACCCACAGCCATCTGCCTCTGCCACCGCTGGGACAGTGGATTATGAAGCCTCGTCCCCTCTAGCTGCCTCGTCTCCCATTGCCCCACAGTGTCCTGCTCAGTGCTGCATTCAGAGTGCACACTTGTCCGCTGTAGGGTGATGAGGGGTTCTTGCCAGGCTGACAGGTGAAGGGCCGTATCGGTCCTCATGCTGGGAGTATGCTTCTTAGCTTTAGTTCTCTCCCCTTGCAGACTGCAGGTGTCTACTTAGGTACTGAAGTGAAACCAGAATAAATTACCAGACTTTAGGTTTTTTCTGCCCTTCATAGGGGAGTTCAGTACAGGATGGCTTAGCACTGCTGCTCCTCAGAGATAGCTCAGCACTGCCCCTGCTCCCCCACCGGGATGACTGAGCACTGCTCCCCCGCAGGGATGACTCAGCAGGATAGCCCAGCATTGCCCCTCAGCAGGGATGACTCAGCACTGCCCCTGCTCCCCCACAGGGATAACTCAGCACTGTCCCTGCAGCAGGGATGACTGAGCACTGCTCCCCCACAGGGATGACTCAGCACTGCCCCTGCTCCCCCACAGGGATAACTCAGCACTGCCCCTGCTCTCTGCAGCAGGGATGACTGAGCACTGCTTCCCCGCAGGGATGACTCAGCAGGATAGCCCAGCATTGCCCCTCAGCAGGGATGACTCAGCACTGCCCCTGCTTCCCCACCGGGATGACTGAGCACTGCTCCCCCACAGGGATGACTCAGCAGAATAGCCCAGCGTTGCCCCTCAGCAGGGACTACTCAGCACTGCCCCTGCTCCCCCACCGGGATGACTCAGCACTGCCCCTGCTCCCTGCAGCAGGGATGACTGAGCACTGTTCCCCTGCAGGGATGACTCAGCAGGGTAGCTCAGCATTGACCCTCAGCAGGGATGACTCAGCACTGCCCCTGCTCCCCTGCAGGGATGACTCAGCAGGGTAGCTCAGCATTGACCCTCAGCAGGGATGACTCAGCACTGCCCCTGCTCCCCCGCAGAGATGACTCAGCAGGATAGCCCAGCATTGCCCCTCAGCAGGGATGACTCAGCACTGCACCTGCTCCCCCACAGGGATGACTCAGCACTGCTCCTCAGTAGGGATGGCTGAGGACTGTTCCGCTGCAGGGATGACTCAGCAGGATAGCCCAGCGTTGCCCCTCAGCAGGGATGACTCAGCACTGCTCCCCAGCAAGGATGGCTGAGCACTGCTCCCTTGCGGGGATGACTCAGCACTGCTCCTTGGTAGGGATGACTGAGCAAGGATGATTAAGTACCCCCTTAGCAGGTTGACTGCAGAGATGACTTAGCCCCAGAACTCACTGTGGGTTTTGCTGTGCCAGAGAGGAGAGGCAGACAAACCCTCTGTGGATATGGAGGTGCTAAACACAGAGAACTGTGCTCAGCACTGTTGACACATTCTCAAAAGACACAAAAATAATGACCAGTTGTAGAGCTCCAGTAGTTCTGTTGAGACCACCCTCTCTCCCTATGTGCTACAGGCCTCTCTGAAAGAGACCCAGCCATTTTAAACTTAGTTGTTCCCTTGGAAACATGGCAGCTTAAAATTCCCTTTTATGGTCTCTGTTCACTTTTTGTTTTAACTATAAAGTTTCAATAAAAATGAAAGAACAAACAAAACGGCTGGGGCTGGCACTGTGGTGTAGTGGGTAAAGCCACCGCCTGCACTGCCAGCATCCCATACGGGCTCCGGTTCGAGTCCTAGCTGCTCCACTTCCAATCCAGCTCTCTGCTGTGGCCTGGGAAACCAGTAGAAGATGGCCCAAATCCTTGGGCCCCTGCACCCGCATGGGAGACCCAGAAGAAGCTACTGGTTCCTGGCTTCGGACTGACCCAGCTCCGTCTGTTGTGGCCCTTTGGGGAATGAACCAGCAGATGGAAGACCTCTCTCTCTCTCCTCTCTGTAACTCTTTCAAGTAAATAAATATATCTTAAGAACAAAACAAAACAAAAAAAACCCTCAGCTAACGATTATGGAGAAAATTGCAGATTATGCAAAGAAGCAGCTAAGCATGGGATGTTCACAGGAAAGAGAAAGGAAGCTACTGTCCCTGGGGAGCAGAGACTTTGGGCAGACTGAGCAGAGGGATAAAGTCAGCTGTCTTAGAGATGCTCAGAGAGCCAGAGGAGACCTTGGGCAAAACCAGAGGAAACCAGAAGTGTTTGTCTCAACGAGTGTGGAGGCGGAGGAAAGACATGGAAGTAAGGGGGAACCAGATAGAACATCTGGAGCTGAAAAGTGCTGTAATGAAAACAGAAGCTCGCTGGACGACTTCACAGGTTTGATCAGACAGGAGACGCTGACCGCAAACCTGAAAGTAGCTTGATGGCTTGTTCAGTCTGAGCCGCAGAAAGGAAAAAGGGTGAAGAATGAACAGGGCCTCAGGGATCCGCAGTCGTATGCCACCCAGCATTGTGGGCGTTCCAGAAGACAGGGAATAGGGACAGAAAGTATTTCAAGACACTTTGGGTCATACCATTCTAAATTGGATAGCAGACATGAAATCTGCTTACCTGAGAAGCTCAGTGACAAACTCTGAGAAATCCTCATTGAGACACATGGGCAAACTGTCAGAAGCTGAAGATAGAATCTTTTTGGTTTTTGTTTGTTTGTTTTGTTTTTGACAGGCAGAGTGGACAGTGAGAGAGAGAGACAGAGAGAAAGGTCTTCCTCTTCTGTTGGTTCACCCTCCAATGGCCGCCGCGGCCGGCGCACCGCGCTGATCCGATGGCAGGAGCCAGGAGCCAGGTGCTTTTCCTGGTCTCCCATGGGGTGTAGGGCCCAAGCACTTGGGCCATCCTCCACTGCACTCCCTGGCCACAGCAGAGAGCTGGCCTGGAAGAGGAGCAACCGGGACAGAATCCGGTGCCCCAACCGGGACTAGAACCCGGTGTGCTGGCACCGCAAGGTGGAGGATTAGCCTAGTGAGCTGCGGCGCCAGCCATGAAGATAGAATCTTGAAGCAGTGAGGAGAAGAGATGCTTCATGTGTAATAAGGGAGCCTCAGCAGTATTGACGACTGCTTTCCACCAGAAGCTGCAGACTGCAATCTACAGCTAACACATTGAAAATGCTGAGAGGAAAAGATATTAACTTAGAATTCTCTGCCAGATTTGTCCATCAAGAAAGAAGCAGGAGGGCCAGCACTGCGGTACAGCGGCTTAAGTTGGATCTGCCTGCATCCCATATTGCAGTGTCGGCTTGAGTCCTGCCTGTTCCACTTAGAATCTGGCTCCTGCCAGTGAGCTGGGGAAGACACTGGAAGATGGCCTATGTACTTGGGCCCCTGCCACCCATATTGGAGACCAGGATGGAGTTCCTCACCCTTGGCTTTGGCCCTGCCCAGACCTGGCTGTTGCGATCCTCTGAGGGAATAAACCAGGAAATCAAAGATCTCTCTGTCTCTCTCTGTAATTCTTGCTCTCTGTTACTCTGCCTTTCATATAAATAAGTAAATCCTTAAATAAATAAGTGGCCCTGCATTGTGGCGGAGTAGGTTCTACCACCCCCTATGACACTAGAATCTCCTGTTGGACTGCCAGTTTGAGTCCCAGCTGCTCTGCCTGTGATCCAGCTGATGTGCCTAGGAACACAACAAAAGATTACCCAAGTAATTCAGCCCCTGCCACCCAAGTGGGCGACCAGAATAGAGTTCCTGGCTTCTGGCTTTGGCCTGACCTACTAACCTGGCTGTTGTCATTTGGGGAGTAAAATCAGTGGGTGAAAGATTCCTCTCTGTCTGTCTGTCTCTGTCTCTATCTTGCTCAGCCTTTTCAATAAATAAATGAATCTTTAAAAAAAAAAAAAAGGAATGAAGAGAGGGTATTTGGTGCAATGGTTAAGATGCCGCTTGGGGTCCTTGCAGCCCATGTCAGAGTGCCTGGGTTTGTATTCTGGCTCCACTCCTGATTCAGCCTCCTGCCCTTCCCACCCTAGAAAGCAGCAATGATGGCTCAATACTTTGGTCTCCCGCACCAACATGGGAGACCTGGGTTGGGTTCTGGGCCCTTGGCGCTGTCCTGGGCCAGCCCTGGCTGTTGTCAGCATTTAAGGAGTGAGCCAGCAGATGGAAGAGCTCTGTCTCGCTGTTTATAGAATTTGATTTGAGACTCATTCACTGAGTTTTTGTGACGTTCGGGAAGGGTTATATATAGTTACAAGGTGGCAGTTGTACAGGCTCACCAAGTTACTTTGTATGTGACTTGTGTTTTCTGTTTAGTTGATTGTGGAAATTTAACATCTTTTCTTAAGAAAATATTTTACTTATTTGTGAGAAAGTAAAAGTAAGTGCTCATCCATTGGTTCATTCCCCAAATGCCTGAAACAGCCAGGGCTTGGCCGTGCTGCAGCCAGGAGCCAAGAACTCCATCCTTGTCTCCCCTGTGGTTAGCAGATGCGTCAGCAAGAAGCTGGATTGGAGGCAGAGCAGCCAGGTCTTGAACTGCCACTCTGATACAGGATGCCTGCTGAATTGGAAGTGGAGTAGCCAGTACTCAAAACTAGCATTCCAATCGGTAGCTTAACTTCCTGTGCCACAATGCCTGTCCCAGTCAGTTGGTCTTTTTTTTTTTTTTTTAATTTTTTGACAGGCAGAGTTAGACAGTGAGAGAGAGAGTTATAGACAGAGACTGAGAGAAAGGTCTTCCTTCTGTTGGTTCACTCCCCTAATGGCTGCCACGGCCGGTCTTCCTTCCATTGGTTCATTCCCCAAATGGCCACTATGGCCAGCATGCTGCACTGATCTGAAGCCAGGAGCCAGGTGCTTCTCCTGGTCTCCCATGCGGGTGCAGGGGCCCAAGCACTCGGGCCATCCTCCACTGCCCTCCCAGGCCACAGCAGAGAGCTGGACTGGAAGAGGAGCAACTGGGACTAGTACCCAGCGCCCCAACCGGGACTAGAACCTGGTGTGCCGGCGCCGCAGGCGGAGGATTAGCCAAGTGAGCCATGGCACCGGCCCCCAGTGAGTTGGTCTTTAACAAATAATGCTGCGACAACTGGATGTCCACATACCAAAGAATGAAGTTGGTTCCTTACCTTACACCATATCCAAAAGTGACCTCAAAATGAATAAAAGAACTAAATTTGAGAAACGAAACTTTGTTAAACTTTTTAGAAGGAAATATGGTAAATTCTTGTACCTTGGATTTGGCAATGGTTTTCTTATTATAAAATGAACAAAATTATGTGTTTATTTGAAAGGCAGAGTTGGAGAGAGGGAGGGAGAGAAAGAGATCTTCCATCCACTGGTTCACTCCCCAAATGGCCACAACAGCTGGGGCTGGACAGGCCTTTGATGGTATTTTCTTAAATATGACACAAAGGCTGGCACCACGGCTCAACTTGGCTAATCCTCTGCCTGCAGCGCCAGTACCCCGGGTTCTGGTCCCGGTTGGGGTGCTGGATTCTGTCCCGATTGCTCCTCTTCCAGTCCAGCTCTCTGCTGTGGCCCGGGAGTGCAGTGGAGGATGGCCCGAGTGCTTGGGCCCTGCACCCACATGAGAGACCAGGAGGAAGCACCTGGCTCCTGGCTTCAGATCAGTGCAGCGCGCTGGCCGTAGCAGCCATTTGGGGAATGAACCAATGGAAGGAAGACCTTTCTCTCTGCCTCTCTCTCTCTCACTGTCTTACTCTGCCTGTCAAGTAAATAAATATGACACAAAAACCATAAGCAGGAATGAAAAAATAGATAAATTGGATGTCAACACAGTTAAAATCTTTTGTACCAAAGGACGCCACCAACAAAGTGGAGGAAAAAAATCTACAGAGTGGAAATCTGGTAAGGATCTGGTATCCAGAATATATAATGAGAATTTTTAACTTAACAAAAAGAACTGAGGCCGGCACTATGGCACAGTGGGTTAAAGCGCTGGCCTACAGCACTGGCATCCCATATAGGCACCAGTTCAAGTCCCAGCTGCTCCAGTTCTGATCCATCTCTCTGCTAATGCACCTGGGAAAGCAGTGGAGAATGGCCCAAGTCCTTGGACCCCTGCACCATGGAAGGAGCTGCTGGCTCCTGGCTTCGGATCACTCTCTCTCTCTCTCTCTCTCCCTCTCCTCTCTGAGTAACTCTGAATTTCAAATAAATAAATAAATCTTTAAAAAAAAAAAGACAGCAATACTGAGTTGTCAAGGGTGTAGAGAAATGGGAACCTTGCATATTGCCAGTGGGATATAAAATGGTACAACTGCTGTTGAACTCAGTTTGGTACTTCTTTGCAACCCAGCAATTCTACTTCTAGGTGTATACCCAAGAGAATTGAAAATATATTTTCAAATAGACTTGTATATGAATGTTTGTAACAGCATGATTTATTTATAATGTCCGTAAAGTGGAAGAATCCCAAGTATCTACTAGCAGATAAATAGTTAAATAAATTTATTATGCAGAAAGTCACGTGTATTATTCTATTAAACATTTTTTAAAGATTTATTTGAAAAAGTGACAGGGAGAGACGGACATCTTCCCCTGGCTCATTTCCCATATGACTGCAGCTACTGGGGCTTAGGCCAGGCTGAAACCAGGAGCCGCATCTGGGTCTTCCACATGGTAGCAGGAACTCTAGTGCTTGGGCCATCATCTGCCACCTCCCAGATGCCTGAGCAGGAAGCTGGATCCAAAGTGTGGAGTAGCTGACTTGAATTAAGTACTCTGAATAGGGGATACAGGTGTCCCAAACTATAGCTTAATCTGCTGCGCCATAACACCTGCTTCCTCCTCCTCCCCAACAAGTATTATTAATTTACTTTCCTTTTACTTGGAAGGCAGAGAGAGCAGAGAGCTTCCATTTGCTGGTTCACTCCCCACGTGCCTGTAATAGGTGGACCTGGGCAGGAGCCAGCATGTAGGAGCTCAGGACTCAATCTGAGTCTTCCTCTTGGGTAGCAGGGACTCAAGTACTTGAGCTGTTGACTGCTGCTTGCCCGGTTACGTGTTAGCAGGAAGCTGGGATTGGAAGCAGAGCTGGGACTTGAACCCAGGCACTCTGATAAGGATACAGGTGTCCCAGGCAGCAACTTAACCACTGAACAGAACGCCCACCTCTGATTCCATTTATATGAAATGTTCAGAATACTCAGATCCAAGAAGACAGTGGATTACTGACTTTTTTGGGGTGGGAATAGGAATTACATATAAATAGGGCATGAGGATGAAAGGAAGTATCCTAGAACTAGATTATTATAACAGTTGGATTAGTTGTGAAGTTGCTAAAATCCTTGTTGTGTACACTTAAAATGGATGGATGTTAGGGTGTGTGAATTCTACCTCAATGAAATTGTTAAGCAAAAAAATTTGGCTTGGCCGGCGCCGCAGCTCACTAGGCTAATCCTCCGCCTTGCGGCGCCGGCACACTGGGTTCTAGTCCCGGTCGGGGCGCCAGATTCTGTCCCGATTGCTCCTCTTCCAGCCAGCTCTCTGCTGTGGCCAGGGAGTGCAGTGGAGGATGGCCCAAGCACCCCATGGGAGACCAGGAGAAGCACCTGGCTCCTGCCATAGGATCAGCTGCGGTGCGCCGGCTGCGGTGCGCCGGCCGCAGTGCGCCGGCCGCAGTGGCCATTGGAGGGTGAACCAACGGCAAAGGAAGACCTTTCTCTCTGTCTCTCTCTCTCTCTGTCCACTCTGCCTGTCAAAAAAAAAGGCTTAAAGTCAGTCACTGATGAAGCAGGTCCTGTTGCCATTCTTTGTTGAAGAGAGTTCCCGTCAACAGAACTGATCTGTGTGCAGATCTTGTGGCAGGGAGCACTGACTTGTGACTGTTTCTCCTTTCCTGGGTCAGGTGCTGATATTTCTAACGTTTGCAATGAAGCAGCTCTGATCGCCGCCCGCCACCTAAGTCCTTGTGTTCAGGGGAAGCACTTTGAGCAGGCCATCGAGAGGATCATTGGAGGTGAGCCCAGTCGCCCTGGGGAAGGACGCACTTTTCCAGCTCTGATCCGCTATGCTCGACCAGTTTCTAAACCAGAATTCTGGACTGGGCCTCTCCCAGCAGCTTTCATTTAGGAATAAAGACAGGCCAAATCTTGGATACTGGCTGTGGAAGGCAGAGATGTTTGCTACAAGGAAGAGGACAGGAGTGGGAGAAGCCTTGTGTCATTTGCAGGGGTCATCCCAGGGCTCCTGCTGCCTGGGCTTTCTTGGCACCACACGGATTTTTTTTTTATATGTGTAAGATCTATTTATTTATTTGAAAGGCATAGTTACAGAGAGGGAGGGAGGGAGGAAGGGAGAGAGCTTCCATCCGCTGGTTCACTCAGGTGGCTGCAGTAGCCGGGGCTGGGCCAGGCCAAAGCCAGGAGCTGCATCTGGGTCTCCCATGTGGATGCAAGAGTGCACGTATTTGGGCCGTCCTTGACTGCTTCCCTGGGCACAGTAGCAGGGATGCTAGACCAGAAGTGGAGAAGCAGGCACTCTAACTGGTACCCACGGGGGATGCCAGGATCGTGGGTGGTAACCTAGCTGGCTGTGCCACAGCACCAGCCCCGACCATGCTGATGATAAAGGAATGGATGTTAGTAGGTTGTCTTCAGCTAGGGGCTTAGCTCCCTTGCTGTCCCATCTTCCACTCAGTAGACTGGGCAGAGACCACTGTGCATAGCCTCCAGCAGGTTGGGGTGGCCTGGGAGGTCCAGCAGGGCCAGCAGGGAAGTACAGTCAGCAGTGGGTGGGGGTCTCTATGGCAGCCCTAGCTGCAGGTACCAGGTGCCGCATTGGCTGTGGTGCCCTTGGTGCTGTTCCCGTTTCCTGGGAGGTGACACTCGGCAGCTGTGCTTCTTGATGCAGCCCCACACGGTCAGAGCTGCATTTGGGGCGTGGGTGCCGGAGGAGGGAGGCGGTGAGAGCTTGTCCTTGCTGCTCCACTAGTTGCCTTTTTATTGAAGTATAAAATATGCAGAATATGCAATACTGAATAGCCCAATCTAGATGTGCTCGCTGGAATACTCTGGAGGCCCCTGGGGCTCTCAGCTGGTCATCAGAGAGCCACCGCACAGGAGAGGCCAAACTAGTCCTAAGTCTACTCTGCACATGCCCATTGTCTGTGCTTTTCCTTGTTCCTGCAGCTGCTGAAGGTGGGCCTAGGAATCACTCCTCGCCCACCTTGCTTAGGTGTCCCAGTCATGCTACAGTAAGTGGCTCCCAGAGCCCACTGATGTAAACTGGCCCTCTGAGGCAGCCATGGGATGGAGCCTGGGGCAGAGAGCAGTGGACAGGAACATCCTCTTCAGAGCTGGCACGGGGGTTTCACTGCAGAAGAGAAAGCAGCATGGAGCTGGGGCTTCAGCCATAGTGCCGTCGGGTGTGGAGAGGACCTTGGGGACGCCATGCAGCAGCGGACACAGGCTTTGAGTCTGTGGAGCGGCACCACTGTTGCTCCTGCCTCTCTCTTACTTGCCTGGGAATGTCATTGATAGGCCTCGAGAAGAAGACCCAGGTCCTGCAGCCCAGTGAAAAGGCAACCGTGGCCTACCATGAGGCCGGGCACGCCGTGGTGGGCTGGTTTCTGGAGCACGCAGACCCCCTGCTAAAGGTCAGTTCCTTGCTCTAGCATGCTATGTGGGCTTGGAGAGACCTCCAGGCCTGGCTATCACCCTCCTGTGCGGCTGTCCAGGTACCAGCCCCTGGCCATACAGGCATGGGACCCTGAAGGGCTTGCCCCTTTACTTTTCCAGTACAACAATGGTCTTGAATTTGCTAGAAGATTCCCTAGAGGGTGCGAAGGCAGAGCGGAGTTTCCTGGCTCCAGGTGGGGCCTCACCCGCTGACTTCAGGGAGAAGTCCTGATGTTGCGCTTTGCTCCATGCTTTGGATTTGGCTGTTGTCAGTGGAGCCATGCCTTCAGGTTCCTTCAGAGCCTCTGTGGGGTGTGTGGGACAGAGATGGTTTCTGTGTTGACCTCATGAACTGAAGCTCCCTGAGGTGGGGTCCCACTACTCAAGGTGACCTTACTGGTGGGCCGTGGGCCCAGGGCTCTTCTCCCACTCTTGACGGTCAGAGCTGGGGTGATGTGGGTTGGGGTTGCTCCTGGACAGCACTTGGAGGGAGGCAGCGGGACAGCTGTATTTGGAGCATGACCTGGGTACCGGCTCTTGTCTTGCAGGTGTCCATCATCCCCCGAGGCAAGGGGCTCGGCTATGCCCAGTACCTGCCACGAGAACAGTACCTGTACACACGGGAGCAGCTGTTTGATCGTATGTGCATGATGCTGGGTGGCAGGGTGGCCGAGCAGCTGTTTTTTGGGAAGATCACCACAGGGGCACAGGATGACCTAAGGAAGGTCACACAGAGCGCCTACGCACAGGTATGGGGCAGACATCGCGGGCATGGCCCCAGGTGGCTGTGTGGGGCACAGCTCAGCCTTGGCTCCTCGTGCACTTGCAGATTGTGCAGTTTGGGATGAGTGAGAAGCTGGGCCAGGTGTCGTTTGACTTCCCCCAACAAGGCGAAACCCTGGTGGAGAAGCCCTACAGCGAGGCAACTGCCCAGCTCATCGACGAGGAGGTTCGGCACCTCATCAGCTCTGCCTACGAGCGGACCCTGGAGCTGCTGACCCGGTGCCGGGACCAGGTGGAAAAGGCAAGTAGGGGCGCGGGTCTCAGGGTGGCTCGCGGGTCACGCCCACGCTCGTGGGCCGTGTTTGGAGTGGTGTGAGCCGACTCGGCACCGCCTGAGACATGGGCCGTTGTTGCAGGTGGGCAAGCGGCTCCTGGAGAAGGAGGTGCTGGACAAGGCCGACATGGTGGAGCTCCTGGGCCCCCGACCCTTCGCGGAGACGGCCACATACGAGGAGCTTGTTGAGGGCACTGGCAGCCTAGAAGAGGACACGTCCCTTCCTGAGGGGCTGAAGGGCTGGAACCGTGTACAGGGGGAGGGGGTCCCTGAGCAGCACATGCAGGAAAGCCCCCTATAGCTGTGTGCAGACCTGGCTGCGACCTTGGGTGACCGCTGCTGCCTCTGAGCCTCTGCCGAGTGGCTTCCAGAATCACGGGAACACATGAAAACACCTGGCAACCCCAAGTGGGCCTGTGGGTGAAACCCTGAGAAGCACCAGAGAAGGGCTGCCTGCCAGAGAGGTGGCAGGGGGAGTGTCCTGAGTCTCTGGACCGGGACCAGCAGGGAGAGGCAGCAGGGCTGCAGCCCAGGCCTTTGTACCCTCCTGGGAGCCCTGAGCAAAGGATGCAGCCTCAGGCACTTCTGGCAGAGATAGGACACGAGTGTCCGAGTGAGCTTGCCTCTGGAGAAGTGTTAATGCAGGTCATCTTAAAGTCACTTAGAAGACGAGCCTCGACCCAGTGCAGAATCCCCGAAGTTAGAATTAAAAGGAGGAGAATCTGAGCTGGTTATGAAGGGAAGGTCAGGCTGTGAGCCAGGTGAGTGGGAGGCCCGTATGTCCTCACGAAGCCACAGGTGTGTGGCTGAGGGAAGGTTGGAGGGATCTTGGGGGTCCCTCTCGCAGCAAGGTCTCCCTCCTGTGGCAGTTCTGCTCTGAGTGTGAGAGGAAGTTGGGGTTGGGGCGCCTTTCTGACTAGCATGAGTCAGTCTGATTGCCGTGGCTTGGTAACCTTCCTTGTGATTCGTTTTGTTGGGGTCACAGAGAGGCAAGTCTGGACTGAGCCCCCACTGCCCCACTCAGCTCTGTGGGACCGTCTGCAGGTGCCCCAGTGCTTCCTCTGGCCATAGCACCTGTTGATCAGCCATCTTCCTCGTGTTGGGTAGCTCAATAAAAGGAAGGCCAGTTCTGGGTTGTGAGCTCCATGCCTTTCAGGTGCCTTGACCTGAGACAGGCTTGACTTTTTCTTTTTGGTGAGTGTGGTGTGGACCCAGTGCCGCAGATGTGGTGAAGACATCCCTGTGTGCTTCTGCGAGCACATGAGCCTGCCTCCTGGATTCGCCGAAAGCACAGTGGTCCCAGGGCATGAACCAGCAGCTGTACCAGCCCTGCCCACCTTGGGGTGGGCAGATGATGTCTGGGTCACATGGTGAAGCTCATGACCCTGGGGAAGGGTGGGGTCACTGCCCCTGAATGCCCGTTGGTTCTCTGCATCTCTGTTGGGAGGAGGCCAAGACCAGACAAAGTGTTGTGTCTGCCTCTCAAAGACAGTTTAAACTGGAGACAAGCACATTCAGTTTCCATTATTTGTGAAATGCACAGTAGTTTGTTTTAAAATCTCCAGGGTTTAAGCTGTATTGTGGCCTCTACCAAACCTTTATCACCTGAGCCTCTTGGGGGTCTTCTGGTGAAAGTGTGCTCCCTCCACCCCAGAAGGCCCCTGTGGTGGGTGTTGTCATAGGTCTCATGAGGTCACTGCGGCAGCCCACCCATAGGAGAGCCTGGGGTGCATCTCACGTCGGGGTAGGCCACAGCAGTGCCTCCCACCGTGCCTCTTGCTCCCCAGGCCTCAGCACACCCCCTCCCGTTGCACCTGGGCTGCTGCCTGCACTTGCATGTCAGACCTGTCTCCTCACCTTATCTGGTGCAGGTAGCTCCGCACTCCCTTGCATGGGGCCTTCCCAAGTTGTTGAAGCGTCTCCCTGGGTGGTAGCTATTCACCAGTGAATGGCACGAGCCATCTCCCACTGCCTGTCCCTGCCATTCCAAGTGTGGCTGGCAGCTTGCCCCTCCTTGGCCTGAGAGGGGAATGGCGCTTCCACCCCTACTCTGATGAGTACTGGTGGCCACTGCGCAGTGACCCTGTTCTGGCACGCCAGCCTCACTTAGTGCCTGCTGCACAGCAGGTGATGGCGCCTTCAGGGAGTAGGAGTGAGCTGATTCCTCTTCTGATCTGCTTCCACTGAAGGTGGGTGTTTCTCTCTTGCCGTACTGTGCTGGGAACTATGTACCCTTCTCAGAGAATGCACACAGCACAGGCAGGTTGAGTCAGGTTCCCGGTCCGTAGATGGAGGAGACATGGCTAAGAGTTTTCTTTTCAGGAAGGTGCAGGCTGCCCTCGGGGCTGATGAGGGTGCAAGGATGTGAGTGCTGCTCGCCTCTCCTCGTGGGTTAAGTGGTCAGGTGTGGCTTCATCTTTGCTTTGTGGCTCCCTCCCTGTTACCACAGCCTGTGGCTTCTGGGCCCTGAAGCTCCCTGGGGAGTGGCTCTGTGGGAAGCTTGTTAGCCAGGGGTAACTGCCTCCAGCCTGGGCTGCCTCTATGGGATTGTGTGGGGGAAGGGCTTTTACTCCTTTTTTTCCTCCAAAGATTATTTATTTATTTATTTATTTGAGAGGTAGAATGACAGAGTGAGGGAAAGACAGATCTTTCATCCACAGTTCACTCCCAAAGTGGCCACAACAGATGGGGCCTGGCCAGGCCAAAGCCAGGAGCCGGAAACTCCATCTGTTTCTTCCACACGAAGGCGCAAGAGCAGGGAACTGGACTGAAGTGGCATAGCAGGGACTTGAACCACCACTCTGCTGTGGGGTGCAGGCAGTGCAGAGTGGCCTGATCTGCTGTGCCACAACACCCACCCCACAGCTTTACTCCTCAGTGATGCTTTTGCCTTACTTCTGGATTGGAAATCCAGGGCACTTGTCCCTAAAATGGAATCCAGTTAAGCACAGCCCAGCAGGGTCCCAGTGGCTCCTGAACTCGAGAACTGGCAGAGAGCACGGAGCTCCCTCCTGGCTGGCCCACCTTATACTGCTGCCCTCCCAGCACGGACCTATGTGCCCTGATGTCGGGAAGAAACAGATGAGGCCTTCAGGTGAGGGGGTTGATGCTTTAATCCCACTCTGTAAATGAGCTGTTTGGGAGCAAGAGCAGGAGGGATGGCACAGGAGAGGGAGCCTGCTAGGTAGGGGTAGGCAGGGATGTTTCGCCATGTGGGTTGGAAACCAGGGGCATTTTTCATCTTAGGAGACTTGATTGTGCCTTCCGGGGACAAGAGTGCAGAGGCAGAGGGGGTGCCTCAGAAGTAGGAGAGTCCCAAAGTGCTCTGCACGCAGCAGGAGCCCCATGCATGCCTAGGGCATCTCTCCCCAGGAGTCCAGTGAAGATGAAGGGGAGGACCCTGTGTCCTAGCCAGAGTATTTTAGTGGGGGAACAGGGCAGGGCAGGTTGGCTTGGGAAGCAAGCTTGAACTTTCAGTTTGAAGCCACTCTGACTTTGCTGTCTGGATCCACTGGCCTGGGTGCCCCTGAAGTTCCCATCGCAGCCCTGCCTCCCCTGTTCCTTCCTGGGCTGCTCCTAGGGTAGAGACCCTCCCAGACGAGGCCTGCCAAATGTGTCTGACGGCCTTGGGTGGGCACAACCTGGGCAGTGGGATGTGGAGAACTGACCCAAGTATGCACCCTTGTGTGGGATGCAGGAGAGGGAGGAGTTACTGAGGTTCTGAGGCTGTCTGGCAACTTTCGGTGTTCTGAGCTGGAGAAGAAACGGGCCAACCAAGAGAAGTGAGTGCAGGTCTTAGAAGGGGCCTGGGGAGGAGACCCTGGTGCCAACAGTATCTCCCATGGGCAGAGGAAGGAGGCAGAGTTGAAATTGAGGTGGAAATTTGGGGACTGACCCCTTATGCACATGCCAGACAGCAAAGTGTTCCGGTAGCCACTGCCACCTCGGGGAAGCTCTGAGTGGAGACCCGCCAGGGATTTCTTGGAGCAGCTCCCATAGGCTCAGGTCCCCCTCATCTTGAGCCCACACACGAATCTTCTGATAGGAGCAGTGATCCTACACATGGAAGTTTCTGGAAGGCCTAGGCCACCGTTGTCCACTTGTTGGGTTCCTTGGCAGTGACTCCACAGCATTTCCGTCCCCGTTCCAGGGCTCAGGAACAAGCGTGATGCAAGGCCCTCAGGCTGTGCTTGTGCTGGGGCCCACCGTGTCCCCAGGGGAATGGGCCAAGGCTGTGCCCTGCAGACCCGGCGGGCCTCCTGTGGTGGCACCCTTGGCCCTGACCTGCTGTCAGGTGATGGCTGGAGCCTCATGGGGAGAGCAGTGTGTCCACAACTGTTGGGGTTTACCATTGCAGTGGTGGTCTGGCCCCAGCCTTGTAGCAGCTCTGGGACACCTGGGGAAAGCTTAGTCCTCCTTCGGTCTCTCTATGGTGAGAAACGTGTCCACGATTGCCGTCTGCCGCTCCGGGTCGCCAAGGGGCTGCTTCTCGCGGTTTTGCTCTGCCCTTGCCCTCGTCCAAGAGGGGGAGCGCAGGCAGCCGGCACGGGGTAGCGGGTGCAGACCTGGCAGGGGCAGGGGACGCAGAAGTCAGCCAAGGCTGTGGTAGATTGTTGCGGGGGGAGGGGGGGTACTGTGGTGTCTCTGGCATGTCACCCTGGCCTCCTGTGTCCCTCTGAGTGCTAGATGTGCACACAGGCACTTCTGAGGTCTGCTGTGCATGTTGGGGGCCACCCACAGAGATGGTGGCTTCATGGCCCTGGGCAGGGCTTTTCTCATGTCTTCAGGAGTCACCCATCCTGCTGCCTGGCTCCTCCAGTTTGGTGTGACAGTGACCCTGGTGTGGCCTCTCCAAAGCCTCGTGGTGGCCCCGTGTGGCCAGCTGCTCCCTCAGGCCCTGCAGGTCTCACCCAGCCTCTGCCCCACCAGGAGTCTAAGCTTCTCCAGGGTGCAGGCTCCCTGGGCTGGAGTTTGGGGTAGATTGGGTTCAAAGTCCCCCAGCTCCACTCCCAGCCACAGCAGCCACAGGCTGGCCCTAGCTCGGCACACATCTCCTATGCAGGCTCTTGTACCTGTCTGCACAAGCAGAGCCTGGTGGGAACCAGCTTGGGTCTAGGCAGTGGCTTGGACTGGAGGTAAGCTGCGGGGCTAACTCATCCCCCTAACCAGGGGCCACTGTCATTGCTGGGAGCCCACAGCACCCAAGGGACTGACAGGCTGTCCCCATCCCCACCCTCTGACCTCCAGGGACCCTGTGAGAAACCCCTCCATGATGGGGATTCACAGTGGGGGCTGCTGCCTTTAATGGGGCCCCAGCTGACAGGATGGGGGATGGGGTGGTGCAGGTTCTATCCTGGGCTTTGGGGTGGGCAAAGCAGAGGCCAGGCTGACTTCTGAAGGTTGTGGCGGGGTGGGTAGGGGCAGTGTTCAGCTCCGCTGCTGAGGTGGACGGATGCTCTCTTGGGTCCTTCTATTCTGAAGGGGTGTGTGTGTGTGTGTGTGTGTGTTTCCAGCTCCTCTGCTGAGGTGGGCAGATGTCTTGTTGATGCCCTTTGCTGCCCATGGTCAGAGAGACTAAAGGACACACCACTGTGTCCCCACTTGTGCTGTGAGGCTGGACACCTTGCTGCCTTGGTGTCTTGGGAACTGGAGGTGACCAGGCAGTGAGCTGGGCAGCTGCTCCCACCCCCGTCTTGGTACTTCACCCCGTGTGAGTTGAAGTCACATGTAGTAGTTTTTGCTCTCAGTGGGACAGTAGCTTTGGCTTTGTGTTGCTCATGAGCAAAATAAAGGGGAGGCACCTGTGACAGACATTCCTTGAAGTCTGGCCAACAGGCACATAAAATGCTCAGTAGTGAATGAAGGGGTGCAGTGGCTACATACTCACCACATATTTGAGGTGAGAGTATTTGCAGAAATAGGGATCTGGGGGAGCAGCAGCCCCAGGACTCCCCCCACCCCTGCCTACCATGTTGTGGTGCCATCCTCACCTGCTGGGGAGTCATTGGTCAGGTTCTCGTCATCCGAGTCAGCAAAAACCTCAGCCAGCTCCTGGTCGGACATGTCGGTCAGTTCGGTGAGGTCCAGGAGGTCAAAGTGGACCTCCAGAGAAGAGACGCTGCTCAGGGGCTCTGGAGGCACAGGGAGCACTGTCACCCATAGTCCCTCCCCGTGAGGCCCTCACGGCCCTGAGGGGCCTGGGAAAGTGCACTGCCTCTTCCATGAGGCCTATGCACTCGCCAGAGCTTTTGGGAGAGCCCAGCACAGTCAGGCTAAGCCTGGGACAGACTTGGTTCCAGAAGGTCTCAGCCCTCGAGGCTGGAAAGCCTTCTGGGGTCTTCGTCCCAGAGATGGTGCCACTGAGCCTCAAGGAGCCACGGCAGCAAAAGCTCGGCTCGGCACTGGATGCAGACCCCATTTCCGTGCCGTCTTCTGCCCTCCACACCCCAGGCTGAGAGGAGTGCAGGGTCCCACAGAGTGCGTTGTGCAGGCTGGCGATACTTACGCCTCCTCTCTGTGACCTGCAGGAGCCCTGGTGCTGGTATTGGGATGCCGCCCTCCTCCTCGGTCACAGGTGTGTGGCAGCTGTCTCCCATCTCATGGCCTGGGACATCCAGGGCGGCCCGGGGCACCTCGACCTCTTTAACAGTCTCTGTGACCAAACATGCATTGTCAGCTGTAGACATGCTGGGATTCCCGCACCCCACCCAGGAAGCAGCCAGAGAGCTTGGTAGAACAGGTGACCTGTGGCTCTGGGCCGTAAGCGTGGGTGGCCAGCGGCGGGGCGTCAGACCGGGGCAGGGAGGCTCCTCTGTGGAGGCTGCCCCTCCCCTCAGGCCCCAGCCTCCTTCCTGTGGGTGAGGAAGGGAGAGGTCCAGACGTAGCACTAGACGCCATGCAGCTCAGGGTGTGGGAATGCTACGATGGTCCTTCAGCCAGAGCCTCCACTGTCCTGTTTCTAACTCTGGGTCTGGCCCAGGACCCAGAGAAGGTCGCGCCTGCCTCTCTGTGGACTCTCCTATTAGAAACGCGTGCTGCTGTGTTTGAATTCAAGATCCCACATTCTCAGGCTGTAAAGCAGACAGAAGTGGCAGCCTTTCCATTCTGATTGCTCTCTGCCGACCCCACCTCACATCTGAGCCAGTGTTCCAGCATTCCTCTGTGACTTCAAAATGCAACTGCCTGTTTTTATATTTAGCAACTTTTCTGTGGCTTGAGAGCGGGAGGCTCCTGAGGGACCTGCCTGGGAGGAGGCCGTACCGCCTCGGCACCAGCCACACCTGGTTCAGTCGTTCTGGAGTGTGAAGTCCGTCCCTGCCCACACCCGACAGCTCCTGCAGGCGCTGCAGGCCCAGCGTGGCTGCCCCTCACCCCCTCACAGCCGCTGTCGTCCCAGCAGCCGCCTCCGCCTGGCGCCCTGTTAGTCTAGACTGAGCGTGGCTGCCCTCACCCCGTCACAGCTGCTGTCGTCCCAGCAGCCGCCGCCTCTCTCCAGCCCTGTTAGAGGCAGACAAACCCCCTGGTGCGCTTTCCTCCTGACCCAGGGAAGCGTCGAGGTGGCCACCTTCCCTCCCCTTCCCTGGTCCCCACTGTGGCCCCCAGGCCCCTTCCCAGATACCTCGCTTCCCTCAGCTGGGCCCTGCGCAAGAGGGGCCACTGTACCCTTATGCACCCCAGAGTGAGTAGCCTCGGCATGCGCTCACAGGAGTGACTTCCCTCCCGGCTCACGTCAGCATTGCCTCCCTGTGGCTGCCGGAGGCCCCTTGTGGGTATTTCTGGCAGTCCTGAGTGTTAACTCCAGGAGCTGCTGGGTGTGAACAAGCAAGCAGCAGCCTGAGCCAGGGCTCTCAGCACTGACAGCTGCCTGCCAGCGGCCGGCCTGCCCCCTGGTGACACTGGGCAGCGGCCTGGGAACCGCCAGGGGGGACCCGTGGTCTGTAGTGAGTTCCCGGGTGGTAAGGAAATGGAGGCACAGCTGCAGAGCTGGCTGAATGAGGACCACCTGCTCCATGCCTCCTGTCCCTGGGGCCCAGTGCTGTGTCATTGCGTGGTCCCGTCTCAGGCATGAGGGCTGGCCAGGCTGGACGGGCATGGAGGATCCAATTTCTGGCTCTCCGCCGGCGTCTGGAATGTGGTTTCTTAGCATCCTCGAAAGGTAAAATTACACCACCACCCCCAGCTCAGCAAGGACACCTCCTGTGCAGAGGGCAAAGGGGTGGGATGGGGACCAGGGGCCTTCCCTCACCAGGCAGCAGGGGGACAAATGCCTGAATCGCTTGCCCAGAAGGTCCCAGGTTCCCCTCCTTGAGGGTGCAGGTGGGTGACTTGGGTCTCGCAGGCCTGTGCCATTACTGCAGTTCAAAAATGCTTCCACACATCTCAGAGCTAAGCCTGGGTCCATGGCTGGTGTGACCCTGGCCGAGCTGGCAGACTCAGGAAGGTGCTGCTGTTGGCCTGGAGTGGCCACACGGGATGGGAGCAGAGCAGAGGTTGGAGCAGGCACTGCCCTCTGAGGCGTGGCCAGCCCAGACCTGAGAGGGGAGAAGTAGGGAAACAGGTGCCAAACTTGCTGGCAGTTCCTGCCTTGGAGGAGGCCAGAGACACTGCTTGCCCAGGCTTACAGGCCCAGCACATGCCCCTTTCTCTGAGCAGGAGGACCCTGGCTGGCCCTTGGTCCTTGTCTCCACCTCTGATCCCCTTTGTCTGAGGGACCCCCCCCCACTCCTGACAGCCTCCAAAATCGAGGCGACCTGGGTGGAAGCAGTTCTTCGGGGAGCTGCCTCTGTGGAAGCTGAGCTCCCCCGGGCTGACAGTAATGAGTATTTTACTTTGTGTATCCCCAGTCTCAGTCAGCCAGCTGCCTCCTCACAACCAGATAGGACGCTTGAGTAGTCTTCAGAGGGGAGGAAAAGGAGTCCCACGGGGCCGGTGCTGTGGCATAGCGGGCTAAGCTGCTGCCTGCAGTGCTGGCATCCCATGTGGGCGCCGGTTTGAATCCCGGCTGCTCCACTTCCAATCCGGCTCTCTGCTATGGCCTGGGAAGGCAGTGGAAGATGGCCCAAGTCCTTGGGCCTGCACCCATGTGGGAGCCCAGAAGAAGCTCCTGGCTTCGGATCGGCGCAGCTCCAGCCGTTGTGGCCAACTGGGGAGTGAACCAGTAGATGGAAGACCTCTCTCTCTTTGTCTCTCCTCTCTCTGCAACTCTTTCAAATAAATAAATAAATCTTGAAGAGAAAAGAAAAGGAGTCTCAGAGTCGCACCTCTCCCAGGAGCACAGCACAGGGGCTGGCTAGGGATTGGAATCCAGGCTGCCACCTGCCACCTGCAGGCCCCTGACCTGGCTCGTGGCATGAGTCTGGGAGGCAGAGGGAGAAGAAATCCAGAAATCCCCTAACTGTGGTTTAAAAAAGGCAGGCCAGAGGTAGGGTCTCTACTAAACAACCTCATTCATCCCTCCAACAGAGACTTGCAAGTGCTCAGGCTCTGGGATAGGGCACATACGTGATGTGGGAGTGGTGGGGGCTGCTCTCCCACCCTGGGAAGCTGTCAGGGAGGACCTGAGACTGAGGAGGAGTGGTGTGCATAACCGTCCTGAGGGGGCAGCGGGGGCCCGGCAAACAGCAAGGGCTGGTGATGGCAGGAGAGAAGATGGGCAGGGGTGTGCGCAGTTCCCCGGAGGGGAGAAGTCTAGGTACTGCCCCTACCTTCCTCACACATGCTGGTCTCCTGCTGCGGGTGTAGAGATGGGGGCCGAGCAGGACCCCACACAGCTCCGTCACTGTCTTGCAGTGGGGAGGGGCGCTTGGCACACCAGCGACCTTCCTCTGCACCCTGGATCCCTGGGGCCCTGCCGAAGCCCTGTGAGGCACAGCCTTTCACATTTCCACGCAAAACAGTAACCGCTGCCCCGACGGTGCCCCAAGTTGATGGAGGTTGGTGCCCCTGAGCGCCTGAAGCCAGCAGGTGTCTAGTGTTGATGATTTCCCATCTCCCTGTGGCAGTGATCTGGTCTTTATTCTGTAAAGCCCTGGCCAGTGTCAGGCTGTAGGGAGAAGGAAAACATAGATGGTGCTGCTTTTGCCCTCAGGAACATTAATCTTTTGGCTGGAAGAATGTGGAAACAGGAGATTGAATGCCAGGCCTGAGTCCCTGGGAAGGGCATGTAAGGTGGTGCAGCCACTGTGTAGAAAGCGAGTGGACCGGGGCCGGCACTGTGGCTCACTCTTAATCTTCTGCCTGCGGTGCCGGCATCCCATATGGGCGCCGGGTTCTAGTCCTGGTTGCTCTTCTTCCAGTCCAACTCTCTGCTGTAGCCCAGGAAGGCAGTGGAGGATGGCCCGAGTGCTTGGGCCCCTGCACCCGCATAGGAGACCAGGAAGAAGCATCTGGCTCCTGGCTTCAGATCGGTGTAGCTCTGGCCATGGCGGCCAATTGGGGGGTGAACCAACGGAAGGCAGGAAGACCTTTTTCTCTGTCTCTCTCTCTCACTAACTCTGTCCAAAAAAAAAAAAAAAAAAAAGGCGAGTAGACCTGGAGTTAGCGTGTGACCCAGCAGTTCCCTAAGCATCCACATGAGGATGCCAAGCAGCCCAGCGTGGCACTGGGACCAGTGGGCCAACACAAGCTGGTTTAACTACACAGCAGGCGGTGACAACACGAAAGGAATAAAGTACTGACATGTGTGACAACATGCATGGGCCTTGAAGACAGCATGGTGGGTGCAGTCAGTCACAAAAGACCACGTGCTGTATAATTTCATTCCACAGGAAGTCCCAAGTAGGCAGGTCCACACTAGAGTACTGATTGCCAAGTTCTGTGGGGTGGGGGTGATCGGCATGTACAGGCTTTTTGGAGGGTAGTGGAAAATACTCTAGAAATGTGGCGATGACTGCACACCATTGTAAACACAGTAAAACGTCTGCATTGTCTGATTTGCAAGGGTGAATGTAATGAGACATGAATTAGATCTCAGCTAAAAAACAAGTCTCGTGGAAGCAAAGGATGACTGTGGCTTGAGCTGATGGGAAAAGCCAGAGGGAGGATGTGCTGCGTGCCAGGTAGCAGGCTCAGCCCCAGGGAAGGCTGGGATTAGGTATGAGAGGTGTGCAGTTCTAGCTCCCATGCTGGGGCCTGGAACACAGTAGGTGCACAGTGAGTGTGGAATGGATCATTCCCAGGCCCCACAAGAGGCTGCACTGAGAACCGTCCAGTCCGCTTACACCTATGGACACGCTCTGGTAGGAGGACGAAACAGGATCCTCACTGCTAAGAGCTGCTGCTCTCCTAGGGTGTCGCAGCAGGCTTGTAGGGGCGGGGTGCGGCACCCTGGCTCCATCGTAGCGTGGAGGTGTCTCCCCGGACAAGGCGGAGATAAGGAAGTGTCTGATGCCACAAGCAGGTCCCCGGCATGGAGTCCCAGCACGGTCCTGGCTTCCAGCCCAGCACAACCCTTATTGGGCACCCAGGCCCCTGCAGGGGTGCTGCCTCTCTGGTCTCTGGGTGGAGACAGGAGTTGGGACCCCACAGTCCTGCCCCTCCAGGCTCCCCCGGGGCTGACTGCTGATACCTTGTGCTTTGCCGGTGACCTATTTTCTAGCACATTCGTGACTGGAAAAGTTGGCCCGAATCTCAGGTTCCCTGCTGTACTGTCGGCCCTGCCTGAGCTGAGGGAGGCACTCCGCACAGACCACCGCATGAACCAACAAATGAATTAATGAACTGAGTGCACAAAGGCCAAGTGGCTACTGGGAGGGAGAGATGGTCATGGCGGGGGGGGACACTGCACTCCAGTTCCCCAGTACTCTCGACCTCGACCTTGAAGTCAGGTCCTCCGTCCTGCACACTAAGGGTGCTGGGACGCCTCCCGAGGGCAGGGCCAGGGACGTCGCCCCGCCTTATCCCAAGGCACAAGAGAGCATGTGTCAGTACACTTTGATACTAGGAAATTATTGTTCCCCTCTGTAACTCTGCCTCTCAAATAAATAAGTCTAAGAAAGGGGGGAGGGGTCCAGTGGAGCCGGTGCTGTGGCCTAGTAGGTTAAGCCTCTGTCTGCAGTGCCAGCATCCCATACGGGCGTCGGTTGGATACCCGGCTGCTCTACTTCCAATCCAGCTGCCTGCTAGCGTGCATGGGAAAGCAATGGAAGATGGCCCAAGTCTTTGGACTCCTGCACCCAGATGAAGCTCCTGGCTTCAGACTGGCCCAGCTCCAGCTGTTGGGCCACTTGGGCAGTGAGCCAGCGGATGGAAGACCTCTCTGTTTCTCCTCTCTCTGTAACTCTGCCTGTCAAATAAATTAAATCTTTAAAAATATTATTTATTGGCCGGCACCGCGGCTCACTAGGCTAATCCTCCGCCTAGTGGCACCGGCACACCGGGTTCTAGTCCCGGTCGGGGCGCTGGATTCTGTCCCGGTTGCCCCTCTTCCAGGCCAGCTCTCTGCTGTGGCCAGGGAGTGCAGTGGAGGATGGCCCAGGTGCTTGGGCCCTGCACCCCATGGGAGACCAGGAAAAGCACCTGGCTCCTGGCTCCTGCCATCGGATCAGCGCGGTGCGCCGGCAGCAGCGCGCTGGCCGCGGCGGCCATTGGAGGGTGAACCAACGGCAAAGGAAGACCTTTCTCTCTGTCTCTCTCTCTCACTGTCCACTCTGCCTGTCAAAAAAAAAAAAATAAATAAAAATAAAAAAAATAAAAATATTATTTATCAATTCAGGTGCAAAAATAACATTTTAATGATGCTTTTTTAGACAGTCTCTGAGTTTAGAGCTACCAAAGGGAAGTTGGTGGCTGTCTGGTTGCACAGCCCTGGACACGGGTCTGCGGGCTGGATGTGGCACAGGGGGCCTTAGCACACTGTTCTCTCTGCTTTGCCCGTGCTCCTCACTCTCAAAAATAGTTTTCAAAAGCAGGTGAGAACTCAGATAATGAACGTCATGTTGCCAATATGAGATCCCACAAAGTGGAAATCCCCAGCCCTCATGCAAACCAGAAAGCATGGCCAGGGGAAGTGAGGTCGTGAGCCCTCGAAGGATGGGGTCCTGCTGTCTCTTGCCGTGTCCCCAACCGCAGGTGTGGGACTGACACCCTGGAAAGACATTTGCTTTCCCAGAGTGAATCAGGTATCTGAGGTCCCAGCCGGTAAAAGATGCAGAAACTCAACGTGCTGCCTCTGCCCTAAGTGGCTGGAAGTGCTTTCTTTCCCCAGAGGAGGAGAGAAAGGCCATTCACTTCTTTCCCAAAATGCCTTACCTCGTTAATCTCACATGGGCTCCCACAGTCCTGCAGGGGAAGGGGTGCCGTCTCCACTGACAGCTGTGGGAACACAGGCCCCTCGGGGTCCGTTGCTTGCCGTGCCTCACAGCTGAGAAAGGGCTCTGAGCTCCCTAAGCCCTTGGTCTCCAAACCTGCCCCCTTCCCATCCCTACAAGCCTGCTGCGTGGCAAGATCCAGGGCCTGGGACTGAAAACCCAGATCCACTGGCTGCGGCTGTGTCTGCTGGTGCTTGGGGGGTGTGACAAGGGCTCCACCATCCCCAAGTGGCAGGTGGGCCAACTGCTTGCAGACAACTCGTGGGGTGCTGTCTTTGGGCTCGGGTGAAAGCTGCAGGGGGCCAGTAGACTAGCTGGCTGGCCTATCCTCTAGACACCTGCTGGGTCCCTGGGGTGGGTCCTCCAGGAAACCCAGGAAGTGTCCCGCCTGGCCAGGCAGGTGTGTGGGAGTCTACAGTTCACCCAAGTTCCTAGGCCGGTGGACCCCCAAAATATTTCTGGAGAGGCTTGTGAGAGGAAGGGGGATTTCCGAGGGTTATCCGCCCACTGTCAGCCACCACTCTGCTTGTGGGCAGATTCCAAGTGGGGGGACCAGTGGTTGCAGCTCAGCCCTCAAGGGTCTGTGAGGGGGGGGGGCACTCACGCACCCCTGCAGCCTCCCGCAAGCCACGCCACAGGCACACCCCATCTAAGCCCCACGCCCCTTGCGGCCTCCCGGTGCTGGCCTGCCCGGAGTCGCGGCTGGAGCGAACAAAGCGGTCGCGCGAGAAAGCCGGCAGCGTCACCCCCTTCTCGCCTACTGGGACCCCAAAGTCCAGCCTCTGCACGCCCCTCCCCCGCCCTCTGGGTTCCTGGCTCTGCCGGGAGGGAATTCAGGGCGAAACTCTTAAGCCCCGCACCCAGGAATGCACCAGGGACCGGTTCCCCGGCCCAGAGCACCGAAGACAAGGGGGCGGGGACGCGGTGTGTGCGCCCCCCGGCCCCGCGCGAGGGCCATCTCCAGGAGGTGCTTCCGGCTGCCCAGCTGGCCGGCCGGGCTCTCTCCTCCGCCCCCCAGCTCCGGGACAGGCTCCGCGGGGAACGGAAGCTGCCGGAGGATCTTGGGGTTCCCGGGTGCGGCCGGCTGCGGCTGGCTCCCGGGAAGGGGCGGCTTGGGGGTCTTGGGGTTGGGTTCGCACTTACCTCCGGGACCAGCGCCCTCCGGAGGCTCCATGTGGCCTGCAGGGTCCGGGACGGGCGCGGGCGGCGGCGGCGGCGGCGGTGGCGGCGTCACCCGGCCCGGGCGCCCCAACAGCTGCTGCGGCGACACGGCCCGGGCTCCGGGCGCAGAGCATCGGGGCAATAGCCCCGGGGCCGCGGCGGCGGGGAGGAGCCCGCGGGGCGGGGCGCGCAGCTGCTCCGGGGCGCGGGTCCCCTCCCCATCGCCCCCCCAGCCGCGCTGGACAGGTGCGGCCCCGCCCCGCCCCGCGCGCGCCCCCTGTCGGCCCCGCGTCTCCTGCGGACCTCGGCTCGCCCCCAACCCCACCCGAACCAGGCTGTGGCCTCCCCAGCCCAGCCGGACGCCGCGGGCTCCTGCGTTCCCGTTCGGCTGACGGCCCTTTGCTCGCCACTGGGTGTTTGCAGGGGCGCCGACGGGGGGACGGGGCCTGGCGGGGCTCGAGGCGGAAGCCGCACAAAGCGGGTGCAGAGCGGCGCCGCCGCGCCAAGCCGGGTAAGCCCGGGGCTGCGCTCGGCTCGCGGGGGAGGCCGGGTAGGAGCGAGAGCTGAGGGCTGCAGGGGCAGGGGCTGGGGGAGGGCAGGGAGGGCGCCCTGTGAAAGGAGGGCGGGGCCTGGGCGAGCCAGCGCGCCGGGATGGGTCCAGTCGAGTGCCATTTCCAAACGTGACCCTGGAGGTGGGCCGCGCTCTGAAGCGCTCACAGTGCGCACCAGGCTTTGTGCCAATCTCTCGGCCACCGTCACTCCATCACCTCCCCCGGGCTCTCGGCCACCTCACCCCCTCGCCTCCCTGTGCCCTCGGCCACCTCATCCCCTCACCTCCCCATGTGATCCTTGCCCACCTCACCCCCTCGCCTCCCCCGTGCCCTCGGCCACCTCACCCCCTCGCCTCCCCAAGTGATCCTTGCCCACCTCACCCCCTCGCCTCCCCAAGTGATCCTTGCCCACCTCACCCCCTCGCCTCCCCCGTGCCCTCGGCCACCTCACCCCCTCGCCTCCCCCTGTGGCCGTCCAGATCAAGAAGCCGCACATGGACCGGGGTAGGCTGCCCACGGCCACACAGCCGGGCACTGGACTCGGAAGCTTGGGCCCTGCGTATCTCTGCACTTTGACAAAGCCACAGAGGAGCCTCAGGGAGGAAGAGTTTGTTCCCTGTGGAAATGGCCGGCAGCGGGGTCCAGGGTGTGGACTTCAATGCAGGCAGCTTGTGGAGGGCACAGGCGTCATGAACTTCATCCCCCCTTGTGGCGCCAGGGCCCTGGCTGCACCGCTGGCAGCCAACCCTCAGCAGCCCACGGGCCTTGAGCCTGAGAGTGGCTTTTCACTCTGTTTTCCTTTGGTTTACAAGACCAAGAAAAACACGATTGTGGGTTAAAGCCCTCTGAAATGACTTTGTGACCCCCTGGGACGCGCGGAGGGATGCCCTGAGGGTCCTGTCTCAGGGAAGCAGCTGAGCAGCAGGACCGGTGGTGGGGACGTAGCGGCCCAGCAGCTGCCCCGGAGGCCACGGAGGAGTTTGTCTTGCATGGGGACGCTCCTGCTGCAGCCGTCAGGGCAGCGTGTGGCAGAGGTGGTGCTGTCTGACTCTCAGGTCACGAGGAGTCAGCTGCTGCAGCACCCAGACCTCACGGGCCACACAAGAGGCCACCCGGCTGTGTTCCGGCTGGCAGGGCCCTGAGGACTCAGCCTCGCTGCCTGCAGGTGGTCCCAGACCCCGCCACTGAGCCGTCCTCAGGAGCGGTGTGGAGTGCTGAGTCATGGCCCGGGTGCAGACTTGTGGAGCAGAACACATGCAGGCGTGGTCTTTGGGCTGCTTGTCACGCAGCTATGGTAACGGTGACGCTGATCACTTGAGAATGACTCCCATGAGACACGCGGACAGACGAGACCGAGGGGTCTTATCAGAGGTTTCCCAGGTGGTAACCAGCAGGCCAGGCTGTCTGGCCTCAGAAGCCATTTCACAAGATCATTTCCAAACCCTGAAGTGGAGAGAACTGCACAACCGACTCATCTCCCTGATTCAACAATGACCCAGTCACAGCTGACCTCAAATACTGTCGCCCCTTGGCTGCTGGGTTGTTTTGAAACAAATTCTATACACAGTGCATCATTTCACCTGTAAATTCTTCAGTATTCACCTCTAAAGGAAAATCTAGTTTATTAAACATTCTTTTTTTTAAGATTTATTTTATTTATTATTTGAAGATCAGAGTTACACAGAGAGAGGAGGGACAGAGAGAGAGAGAGAGAGAGAGAGAGGTCCTCCATCCGCTGGTTCACTCCCCAATTGGCCACAACTGCCAAAGCTGCGCTGATCTGAAGGCAGGAGCCAGGAGCTTCTTCCGGGTCTCCCCCATGTGTGCAGGGGCCCAAGGACTCGGGCCATCTTCTACTGCTTTCCCAGGCTACAGCAGAGAGCTGGACAGGAAGTCGGGCAGCTGGGTCTTGAACAGGCGCCCATACGGGATGCCAGCGCTTCAGGTCAGGGCGTTAACTCACTGCACCACAGCGCCGGCCGCAAACATTCTTGTGACACCAACGTCCAGCGAGTTGATGCAGTGGCCCGAGGCAGCTAACCTGGACAACCAAGCGGCTGTGTTAGGAAGAGCTCAACACTCAACACAGGGGTCGGTTGGTTTGTAGGTATTAACGGTTGCTCCGGGATTTTGCTGGAAACTAGGATGCCATTTATCTGGGTCTCTGAGCTGCACAGCTTGATGCTGAATGAAAGTGTCTTAAGCCACACATGTTCAGAACAGGCTCTTTTCTAAAAACCTGAACTCCAATTCCATTTTAAAAGCACAGGTCACAGTAGGCTCTACTGGCAGCCCAGCGAGTTGGCAGCCAGGGCTCCCTAAACTATTATCTCTGTGATCTGTACTGATGAACCCAGCTGCGCTGCTGGTCTGTGACAAACGAACATCCTGTCTAGGCTGTCCTGAACTAACCCTCCTATTCTTGCCCTTCCTGCTGAAAGGGATTACTGGTAATACGTTTGTGTAATTCAGGACTCCCAAGCAGACATCTACAGCAAAAAACCAACCAGCGTGAAGCACCCAGCATATGGGGTCTGTTAAGTAAGTGTTCCATAACAATCAGGATCCTGGGCCGGCACTGTGGCGTAATGGGTAAAGCCACCACCTGCAGTGCCAACATCCCATGGGTGCTGTTCCCAGTCCCTGCTGCTCCACTTCTGAGCCAGCTCCCTGGGAAAGCACCTGGGACAGCAGTGGAAGACGGCCAAGGTACTTGGGCCCCTGCACCCACGTGGGAGACTGGGAAGAGGCTCCTGCTCCTGGCTTCGGCCTGGCTCAGCCCTGGTTGCGGCCATTTGAGGAGTGAACCTGCGCATGGCAGACCTCTCTCTCTCTCTAACTCTGCCTCTCAAATAAATAAATCCTAAAAAAAAAAAAAAAAAAAAAAAAAAAAAAAAGAAGAAAGAAAGAAAGAAAGAAAAAAACATGTGGAAAAGGTTGCAGGAGAACCAGAGTGGGGCCATCACCACTCATTCTCCATTTCTCCCTCTCTGTATTTCAAGTAAGTAAAAGCAATCTTGAGACAAACAGCAAGAGCAACAAGCGAAGTACCAAATGCTGGTGGTAGCACCCGGTGCTACCCCGCTGCCATACACCTAGGCAAGCCTCCTCTGGGAGCTCAGCCTCACCCCCCCAGCCCTGGGGCAGGAGGCCCCCAGAGGCCAGCAGTACTGGCTGCTGGGTGCCCAGGCACAGCGCGGAGCCAGACCCCAGCAAGGCCTCGGGGCACGCCATGGCCTGTGCAAGCCGGTCAGTGCCGTCCCAGCTGGCTGCTCCTTTCCCAGCAGCGCCTGGGGGGTGAACCAGGGGCTCCTCCCCGTGGCTTTCAGATGCCTCCGCTGGCGGGTCCCGAGGCCCAGGCATGCCCAGCCGTCTCCTCTCCCACCTGGACACGGCACGCCTGTCGCAGCGCTCCAGGGAGATGAGATTCTGACGTCTCATCCCCCAGACAAGCGGCAAAAGAAGACCTGCTGCGGGACCCTTCTGGAGAAAGGAAGGACCACCGTGATGCTGGAGACAGGCGCCTGCTCACGTCTGGTGACGCGGGGCACCCGTGAAATGCTTATCAGTTTCAGAGAAGACGTCAGGAAGGGAAAATAAGAGCTTTTCCCTTTCCCCGGGGCTTCCCGGCAGCCTCTGCCGGGGTCTCTGGGTGTTCCTCATCCACTGAGCAATTTACTTATTTTTAAAGACTTATTTGAAAGACAGAATAAGAAAGAGAGGGAGGGAGAGATCTTCCATCTGCTGGCTCCCTCCCCAAATGGCTACAACAGACAGGCCTGGGCCAGGCAAGCTCCATCTGTGTCTCCCACGTGAGTGAAGGGGCCCAGGCACTTGTGCCGTCATCTGCAGCCCCCCAGTGGGTGCAGGGCCCAGGCACCAGGGCTGTCACTGTGGCTTCTCGGTGGGTGCAGGGCGGAGGACCGGGGGTGGGGGTTGGGGAGCTGTCACTGCAGTTTTCCAGTGGGTTCAGGGCCCGGGCTGTGGCCGGACCAGCGGTGGGGGTTGGGGAGCTGTCACTATGGCTGCTCAGTGGGTGCAGGGCCCAGGCGGGGGAGGTCACTGCGGCCTCCACGTGGGTGCAGGGCCGAGGACCAGCGGTGGGGGCTGGGGAGCTGCTCAGTGGGTGCAGGGCCCGGGCGCTGGCAGGTCACGTAGGTGCGAGGGGTCTCCCAGGGTGCGGACGGGGCTGCACGGGAAGTGGAGCGCTGGGACGCAAAAAGCCGACCCGAGATGCGGGTGTCGCGGGCTGACCCCTGCACAGCACTCGCCACGCACTGGTTTTTGGAGGGGACCGTTGCGGACTGCAGACCTGGGAGCCAGGCGCGCTGGAACTCTCTTTCGGCGTCTTTCAGAGGCTCGTGGCCAACGGCCCCTCACGGGCGGGCCCCAGGGGCCGACGCTGGGCGCGAATTTAATCCGGTCGTGCTGGGCCCTCGGGTGCTCACTGGTCCTCGCGCCCCGCACTCCGCGCGGGAGGCAGCCGCACGCACCCTGCCGGAAACGCCCCGGCCCCGGCCCGCGCGCGGTCTCGCGAGGATTCCCGCGAGGATTCCCGGGGCGCGCGCTCGCCCGGCGTTGCCGGGAGACGGCGCAGCCGCGGCGGCGGCTCGTTCGCGCGGAGTTCGCGGCTGGGCCGGTCAGCGGCGCCATGGTGAGGACTGGCGGGAGTCGGGGCCGGGGTCCGCGCCGCGGGGTCTGGGCCCGGCGTCGGCGGTGCCGGCCGCGGGCGTCCCAGCGAAGGCGGCCCCGGGTCTGAGGTGCCGGCCTCGCGTTTGCGGGGGATCCCGGCGCGCCTGTGGGACCCGCGCTGTCCCGCGTCCTGCGCTCGCTGGGGTGTTCCTCGCGCCCGCCCCGCCCGCCCGGCTTGCACGGTGTGCAGACTCGAACGCCTGGGTGGCGGGGCGTCGCCTCGCAGGGGCTGCGGCGCGCGAGGACCTCCGGGCGCTGGGGCGCTGGGGCGCTGGGCGCTCAGAGCGTGCGGGGCCCGTGTCCAGGCGCTCCGGGAGCCGCGGCTGGCCCCGCAGCGGGCCGCGAAGTGGCGCCGAATCTTCCTCCAAAGCCCTGCGGGTGGGGGGTACGCGGACGGCCCGGTACCTTAGGAGTTACGGTGCTAGTTGCTAGTCTTGAAAAGCAACGGGGGAACATCAAAATAAGCTTGCGGGAATGTGGGCGGTTTTCTTTCTCTCGAATCTGCATGTGACATTTGCAGTAAGTCTTGCAAGTGCGTGGCATGGAGGGTGGTTGGGAGTAAGAGAGACAGGATAGGGTTTGGAAGTTCAGTCCGTCCCGAGCCTGGGCGCCCTGGGCTGGGGAAGAAGCCTTGCTCTCAGCCCGGTCGTGATCACTCGCAGTGGGTGCCGTCTGCCCAGGCTGTCTAGATGCGGGTTCTCGGTGGAGTTTCATATTCGGGAAAAGGAACCCCCAGATGGCCAGGACTGATGGTTTTCCCTACGTCTGCCTGCGGTGGTTACCGGGCATTATGGCCGACCCGGTCACATCAGCGAGGGACTAGGGGTCTTCCTTTATGAGCATATACCAAGGGGTGAGTGGGTGTGCAATGGGTGCCTGCCTTTTGGAAGGAGAGCCCGTTCCTCTCTGGCCTCGCCATGTGTGCCGAAGGGTAATCGTGTGGCTGAGGCGCAGGGCAGATGAACACGCTCCGTGAGTGCTCTCGGGCACCCCAAGGCCCTGGACAGAGAGGGGCACGTTCTGCAGCGGGGACTCGAGCCCAGCCGGCCCAGGGGGAAGGCCGATTGACGGTCACCCTACATGGTCACCCCACGTAACCGTCAACAAAGATGGAAGCAACCTTCTCTTCTGTAAACAAGGCTCCCAAAAGGAAAGGGAAGAAGGGCAAGGCCAAGGGCACCCCGATCGTCGATGGACTCGCGCCGGAGGACATGAGCAAGGAGCAGGTGAGCTTCCCGAGCCCGTCTGCCGCCCCTGTGCCCACGTGTGCCCACAGCTCTCCAGCGCGTTGCGTGTCTGCTCGCGTGCCGCGCAGCCGCCTGCAGCCGTGTTCTAACAGGGTGGTAGGAATGTGGAAAGACATGGTGTCCTGGTAGGAAAGCTGTTTTCCGGGGTTGGTGTTTGGCCTGGTGGTTAGGACACCGTGTCCCTTATCCGAGGACCTGGGGTTGGTGCCCGCCCTGGGTCCTGACTTCAGATTCCTGCAGTGCAGAGGCTGGGAAGCAGCAGCGATGGGTGCGGTGACTGGGCCCCTGTTTCTGACGTCCAGCTTTGGCCTGGCCCTGTCCGGGCTGATGTGGACGTTGGAGACTGAGCCAGTGGATGGGAGCACTCTCTCTCTCAGATAATTAAAAAATGAAAATATTTTTAAATGCTATTTTTGTAACCCTTTCAGGTAGCTGGTGTTTGTAGAACTGTTCCCATAGCACATACATGCAGCGCATTCTCTTTTATTTTATTTCCTATTAAGCACTATAGCAAAAAGAAAGTCTTTAAGCAGAACGTGACTTACTTCAATCACATTGTCTGAGTCTGATTAATCATTCTTTTTTTAAAAGATTTATTTATTTGAAAGAATTGGGGGGTAGGGAGAGAGAGAGAGAGTGTGTGTGAAGAGAGAGAGATCTTCCATCTGCTCATTCTCTCCCCAAATGGCCACAACCAGGGCTGGACCAGGCCAAAGTCAGGAGCTGGAGCTTCCTCCGGATCTCCCACGTGGGTGCAGGGCCCGAGCACTTGGGCCATCCTTCGCTGCTTTCCCAGGCCATTAGCAGGGAGCTGGATCCTACGATGAGCAGCCGGGACTCAAACCCATGCCCACGTGGGCAGAAGCTTCCCCCGCACCACAGCGCTGGTCCCTCGTGCTTGTTTTTACAAACGTTCCAACAAGGAGGAACAGTGTCCGGCTGCCTTCGTTGTGGCCTTCTTATTTGGGGCATGGGGTGATGTCTGTAGTTACTTTGAGACATTTTAAGCTGCTTGTCCATTTTGGTGTAAAGGGCTAGAGAACATCATGATGTCATTAAAATCTCACTTCCGATTGGGACACGTGGCAAACGCGGTGTGTCCTGTGGCATCCGTGTTGGCGGGACGCCCCCCCCCCCCCCGTGAGCGTCTCTGGGGCCTGAGGGTGCTGTGTGAACTCGGGTGGCAGGGTTAATAAGCCCGAATATGAAGGAGCTGAAGTGCGAAGGGGTGCTCCAGGGATGTGCGGGAAGACCACGCAGTGCCGGCAGAGGTGTGGTGTGGGCGGGTCCGTTAGGCTGGCGGGGGAGCGTGGGTGCACGGGCGTTGCAGCGACCCTTGTGCTGCTGTCTGCTCCCTGTGGAGGTAGAGCTGCCGCGGCAGCAGGCCTGACACAGGCCTGGTTTACGGCACGTTGTGCAGTCCAGGAGTGAGGACAGGGACTGGCATCACCTGGACACGCGTGCCCCTCTGCTGAGGACATGTGCGCAGTCTATTGGATTCTAGTGCTGTTTTCTAATTTTTCAGGAGAAGCTAGAAATCTGGATATTTATAAGAAATCTAAGTGTTGATTGATGACGAGATCTAACTCTGTGTGAGCCACACAGAGCAGCTAGGTACCCTGGTTTAACTGTTTGTTCTGTGACCTGGTGACACGTGCCATTTTGCTGCAGCATTTGTGAGATTCTGGGGTGGCATCCTCCCTCAGAGGCCTTTGCCCTGCCGAAGTCCTCTGTGCTGCGCCCCCTTTTCTCTTCAAGTAAGACGTAGTGGTTTCCCTCGGGGACAAGGTTTTAGGAGAGAACAAACTTTACAGAAAGTGACCTGTGGCTATACCTGAAAGAGAACTAAGTCTTTATTTTTTTTTTTTAGAGATTTATTCTATTTATTTGCAAGAGTTACAGAGAGAGAGAAAGAGATATATCAATATGAATATCAATCTTCCATCCACTGGTTCACTCCCCCAAATGGTTGCAATGGTCAGAGCTGAGCCGATCTGAAGCCAGGAGCTTCTTCTGGGTCTCCCACATGGGTGCAGGGGCTCAAGTACTTGGGCCTTCCTCCACTGCTTTCCCAGGCCACAGCAGAGAGCTGGATCCGAAGAGGAGCAGCCAGGACTTGAACCATTGCCCTTATGGGATGCTGGTGCTGCAGGTGGAGAATTAACCTGTGCCACGGCGCCAGCCCTATAACTAAGTCTTAAGTGGAATGAGATGCCAGGAAAGCTGAAGCCTGTCCTACTTTTTTTTTTTTTTTTTTTTTTTTTTTTTGACCTATTTGTAGTTTTGCAATAGGCTGTGGGCCAAACCCTCTTGTGTTAGGAACCTTCTGGTTCTCTGTGCTTTTACTGACATTGTGCCTTGAAAAGTGAATGTTCTTTCACTTAATGTTATTTTGTGAACATGTTTACATGCTTCTTCTAATTTACTTTTATTTATCTGCTTAGTTTTGCTATTATAATACTGCTGAGGCTAAATATCTTTGAGCCAGAAGCTCTTGTGTTTCTTTTGAGAAGTTTCCTCAGTATGAATTCCCAGGAGTGGAAGGAAGCTTATAATCGCTTCATGACTTTCAAATTCAAGAGAATTCTGCCACTTACTGCATGTATCCCGTTCTGGGCCCTTCCTAGTACCTATTTTACCTTTTCCTTTTAGCTTCTATTTATTAGTTGAGAGCGGCCCCTCCCACCTTCTGCCTTGCCCTTCTCTGTCCACCCGCCCCCTGCTGTGTGTGGGCCCCTGCTGGGAGCCTCCCCTCACCCAGCTCTGTCCGCCAGGTGGAGGAACACATCGGCCGCATCCGGGAGGAGCTGGACCGGGAGCGGGAAGAGCGCAACTACTTCCAGCTGGAGCGAGACAAGATCCACACGTTCTGGGAGATCACGCGGAGGCAGCTGGAGGAGAAGAAGGCTGAGCTGCGCAACAAGGACCGGGAGATGGAGGAGGCCGAGGAGCGGCACCAGGTGGAGATCAAGGTGAGCGGGCCGGCCTGGCTGTGCCCACCAGCAGGTTGCTGGGCTCTGTCGTCTTCTCTTTCCCTTGTGTCCTTTATCCTGGAACCCACAGGTGTCTTTCTGGCTTTTGTTTTGTTTTCATAAAACTTCATCCCTGTAAGTTCCATGCCGCAGAAGGAGCGTGGGCTCTGGGGGCTTGCGGACCTGTTTGAGGCCAGGCTTTGCCGCTGAGCGTTGTGGGAGCCGGGTATGTGCTCCGTGCCTCCTGTGTGCGGTCGTGTGGACGAGCGCCTGTCCCCCCACCCCGCAGGTGTACAAGCAGAAGGTGAAGCACCTGCTGTACGAACACCAGAACAACCTGACTGAGATGAAGGCCGAGGGCACGGTGGTGATGAAGCTGGCCCAGAAGGAGCACCGCACGCAGGAGGGCGCCCTGCGCAAGGACATGCGGGCGCTGAAGGTGGAGCTCAGGGAGCAGGAGCTGGCCGGCGAGGTGGTGGTGAAGAACCTGCGGCTGGTAGGTGTGAGACCACCTGGTGTGACAGCCAGCCTGGTGCCGCCGCAACTCGGGATTTTTAAACAACCGAGGGTTCCTGTTTTTACGTCAAAACTCTGCATTTTTGTATTGCATTTAAAATTTCTTTGTTCTAAATGTGTAAGTCAAACCTGATTTGGGGGCCAACAGCAGAGTTCTGTCTCAGATCTGAGCGACAGATTGACTTCCCCAAGGGACGCCACCTCGGGACCTTTCACCTGTGCTGCTGACACCTGCCACCGGCTGCTTTTCCTAGGAGACAGCGTCAGACGTGTGCAGAAGCACACACCAGCCCTGAGCTGTGCACCAGGTGAACGTCTGGGCAGCTGCGGCAGTTAGTCCTGCTGGCTGGGCTCACCAGCATTTCGTTTACTTTTTTAAGATTTATTTATTTATTTGAAAGTCAGAGTTACACAGAGAAGGAGAGGCAGAGAGAGAGAGAGGTTTTCCATCCACTGGTTCACTCCACACGTGGCCACAGTGGCTGGGGCTGGTGCAGGGGCTCAAGCACTTGGTCATCTTCCGCTGCTTTCTAGGCCACAGCAGAGAGCTGGATCGGAAGTGGAGCAGTGAGAGGAATGGAGCCTGGTTTCAAACTCCCTGCCCTCTTTCTTGGGCTGGCTCAACCTCTATTCTGTAACCCCTCACCCTCTCTTCTGTTTCCCCCTAAACAAAAGTCTTTTCTACTTAAACAAACAAAAAAGTGGAGCAGACGAAGTCAAGCCATCATTGGAGTTGCCAGCGTTGGAAGCAGCGGCTTGACCCACGTTGACTTTTGCACAGTCAAGTTTTGAGTGAGTCTGGGGCTGAGCCGTTCTGAGGGGTGCTGGAAGTTTCTAGGTAGCGACTGAGACACGTTGGCTGAGTGCACTTGGGTACCAGGCCCTCAAGAGGCCTATTCTAGGGGGCTGGTGATCTAGAAAGGAGACGAGACAGTGCACAACATAGTATATAGAATTTGAGTGACAGACACTCACAGGTATGGCTCAGCTTAAGGGGGGGTCCCTGTTGGAGGAGCAACGTGGTGCAAGAGTGGGGAGCAGGAGTGAAGGGAGGCAGCCGTTTCCTCCGAGGGCTCTGGGAAGCACTCCCGGAGCGGGCAGCGTCTGGCAGAGGCCAGAAGGAAGGAGGTAACAGCCCCAGAGAGGGGCTGGGCCCATGGGAGGGCCCAGAGGCCAGAGGAGCGAGGAGTGAGAGGGCTGAAGGGAAGCCGCAGGGCTCGTGGGCCTGAAAAGCCACAGTGAGTTGGCTGTCAGTAGCGTTTTGAGAATTTGGGCAGAGAGGAGCTGCCTTTGACTTCAGTTTTCAAGGTTGCTCCTGGCTGCTGGATTGGGCAGAGTTTCTTCACACGTTTGTCTCATGTCTGGAAGTAGCCCAGCCTTGACAGAAGCTGGAGGGAACTTCAGTGGCAGCGAAGACTGCATTGTGGGCCGCTGTAGCTCCGACTCTGGTTTTGGGTGAGCTGAGTGATGTGAGGCTGTCGGCATAGCCTGAGTCCTAGATAGGAGGCTGTTACATAATCAGGGCTCTCCTTTCTAGAGCAGTGAAAAGATTGCTCTAAAAATAAATTTTTATTCAAAAACTTGCAGTAATTGCTTATCATGGTACGTATTGAATGCTGCTCTAAGCACCAGTGAGGCAGAGTAGCAGGAGCTGGTGAGGGACCTGGAGAGCCCACAGTCGTGCGTAGACAAGGCACTGCTTCTCAGCGTGTGAGAGATGGAACTGTGCTCAGTGCCTTGTCTGCCGCTGCTCTCTCAAGCTTGGTAGGAGGTGGCCCAGCTGGCTGAAGGAAGTGCCTTATGAGATATGGGGTTGATTGGGGTCGGTACTGTGACGTAGTGGGTAAAGCTGCTGATTGCAGTGCTGGCTTTCCATATGGGCGCTGGTTTGAGTCCTGGCTGCTCCTCTTCCGATCCGGCTCCCTGCTATGGCCTGGGAAAGCAGTAGAAGATGGCCCAACTCCTTGGGTCCCTGCACCCATGTGGGAGGCCCAGAAGAAGCTCCTGGCTCCTGGCTTTGGATCGGTGCAGTTCCCGCCGTTGCACCATCTGGGGAGTGAACCATTGGATGAAAGACCTCTCTGTCTCTCTCTGTCTCTCTCTCTGCCTCGGCCTCTCTGTAACTCTGCCTTTCAAATAAATAAATCTTTAAAAATAAAAAAAGGTGTGGAGGTTGGGGCAGGTACTTGCCATAGGGGTTAAGCTGCTGCATAGGGCGCCGGCAGCTTGTAGCATACCCGAGTGCCTGGTTTGAGGCACAGTCCTCTGCTTCCCATCCAGCTTCCTACTCTGGTGCATCCTGGGAGGCTTAAGAAGTTGGGTCCCTGCCGCCCATGTGGGTGACCTGGATTGAGTTCTTGTGTCCTGGTTTTCACCTGGTCCAGCCCTAGCTGCTGCAGGCATTTTAGGGAGTGAATAAGTGGACATATGGACAGTTTCTCTCTGTCTGCTTTTCCAGCAAAAAAGGTACCATCTTAAGAAAAACAGGAAGAAATGTGTCCCATGTCAGAGTGCCTGGATTTGACATCTGACCTGCCCCTGGCTACACACTCCACTGTTTGCTAATGTAGACCCCAGAGGCAGTGGTGGTGGTCTAAGTCATTGGGTCCCTCACACCCACATGGGAGACCACTGGCTTCTGGCTTGGGCCTGGCCCAGCTCTGGCTGTTAATGGGCACTTGTGGAGTGACCATTCCAGCAGATAGAAGCTCTCTATTCTGTCTCTGTCTCTCTGACTCTTAAATACAGAAGAGGGGAACCAGAAAGCATGGAGGTGACCAAACCATGTTAGCCAGCAGCAGCGCAGGATTTTCTGAGCTGGATGTCTCCTGGAGGGTGGGAGTGTGGTCAGTGCAAAGGAGGGGCGCTTCCTCTGGTCCTGCTAATAACTGACGTTCTCCTCTGCAGAAACACACCGAGGAGATCACTAAGATGCGGAACGACTTTGAGAGGCAAGTTCGAGGTCAGTCTCTCCCATTCACACTGTGCAGCCTGGGGCCAGACCCCGGCATCAAGAAGCAGCCACGTCCAGAGCTTGCTCAGTCAGGGTACATAAAGTGGATCAGAGCAGCCCAGGAATGCAGAGAGCTCACTTCCACGAACGCTTGGGACGCTGCGCTCCCTCACTTACCTGCTCCTGGCTGGGGTCAGCGGCTGCCAGCAGGCATTTGGTTTTTTTATTTATTTTATTTTATTATTTTTATTATTATTATTTTATTGACAGGCAGAGTGGACAGTGAGAGAGAGAGACAGAGAGAAAGGTCTTCCTTTTCATTGGTTCACCCTCCAATGGTCGCTGTGGCCGGTGCACTACGGCCGGCGCACCGCGCTGATCCGAAGGCAGGAGCCAGGTGCTTCTCCTGGTCTCCCATGGGGTGCAGGGCCCAAGCACCTGGGTCATCCTCCACTGCACTCCCGGGCCATAGCAGAGAGCTGGCCTGGAAGAGGGGCAACTGGGACAGAATCCAGCGCCCCAACCGGGACTAGAAACTGGTATGCTGGCGCTGCAGGCGGAGGATTAGCCTATTGAGCTATGGCGGTGCCAGCAACCAGCAGGCGTTTGTTAGTCACTCTGGTGGCAACGTCGGAGGTTCATCTTCTCCAGGCCTCCTGGTCGTCCGGTTTCAGAAGTCGGCCTGGTTTCCAGTAAAGCCTTGTCATCTTTGGCTGCTCCAAGGCCACACAGGCCGTGGTTGGTGCCCGCCGGCACTGGCTGACGCTCAGCTGCTGGGAGCCCTGGCAGAGGAAGGCAGCGTATGCTGAATGTGTCCCCTGTGCACCTCGGCAGGAACGATCCACCTGCACCGTCCTGCTCTCCTGTGCAGACCTTTACGCACCTTGGTCTTGGCCGTGGAAGGTGTTCTGGGGCCCTGTTCACAGACCCCATCTGTGTAACTGCAGGGGCACCTGTTCTTCCTCTTGTAAGCTTCTGTGTGCGCTGCTGCCTTTCAGAAATTGAGTCCAAGTACGATAAGAAGATGAAGATGCTTCGGGATGAACTTGACCTGCGGAGGAAGACTGAGATCCACGAAGTGGAGGAGAGGAAGAACAGCCAGATCAACACACTGATGCAGCGCCACGAAGAGGCCTTCACCGACATCAAGAACTACTACAACGACATCACCCTGAACAACCTGGCCCTCATCAACTCCCTTAAGGTGCTGGGAGACACAGTGTGCCTGTCTTAAAGCCCACTGGAGGATGCCCCTCTGCCGTCCGTCCTTTGAATTCACAAACGTGCCTAACTGAAGCCAGTCAGAGCATCTGCCTGGCTGCACTGTAGAGGGAAGAAGTGGTATGGGAAGGCTCAGGCACACCCGTGGCTGGCATACGGCTGCGGTGCACTGGACTGGATGGCACGGAGTCACTCAGACGCTGGCAGTGGTAAGGTTTCCACAGCAAGCCAGCTTTGATGGAATCCCAAAGTGTCATCTCTCTGCCTGGACGCTGCATTCCTAGAAAATTCAGAATCAGTTAAAACTGTATGTAAATACTCTGTTTATACACGTACCTGTTGGTGAGACTGAGGACAGCTGGCCTTGCCCTGCAGGCCGTAGCCCCTCGTTTCTGCCCAGCTAGCACCTCCCGTACCTCTACTTGTGCTGACAGGAGCAAATGGAGGACATGCGGAAGAAAGAAGAACACCTGGAGAGGGAGATGGCGGAGGTGTCCATGCAGAACAAGCGCCTGGCCGACCCTCTGCAGAAGGCGCGGGACGAGATGCACGAGATGCAGAAGCAGCTTGGGAACTACGAGCGGGACAAGCAGATCCTGGTTGTGAGTGTCCTGCCCACTTCTCTCCTTCCTGGGCTCAGGAGGGAGCGAGCGGCGGGGAGACGGCTGAGATGCCTGAGTGGCCTTTGCCCTTAAGTCAGGAATGGAGGGCTGGGGGCTGCAGTCTCCTGTGTGTGGCTGGTGCCGGCCTGGGGATGTGAAGTTGGCGGGTGTCCTGGGAGATGGCCCTAATCTTTGATCGTGTCCCACCAGCTGGCCTTGGTGGGAGGCAGCTGCTTGCATCTTCACACCGGTGGTTTCACTCGGTTCTCTGCGCCCTGCCTGTGTGTGAGGGATGCCTGTGAGTCCTGAGTGATTTCTAGGCCCCGTTGCCTGTTGTCTCTCCAGTGCACAAAAGCGCGTTTGAAAGTCACTGAGAAGGAGCTGAAAGACCTGCAGTGGGAGCACGAAGTGCTGGAGCAGCGGTTCCTGAAGGTGAGCGAGCACCGGGCTGGCCTTCAGTGTGGCCAAGACCCCTGCCAGCTGGTCAGGGCTGTACTGGGTCCTCGACCCCTGTCACCCGCTCCAGGAGGTTTTGACAAGTGGCTAGTTTCTGGGTTTGAAAGCTGGAGTTCCTTTTAAAAAAAAGATTTATTTTATTTATTTGAAAGAAGTAGAGAGAGAGGTAGAGACAGAGAGAGAGGTCTTCCATCCGCTGGTTCACTTCCCAAATGGCTGCAGTGGCCAGCACTGGGCCGATCCAAAGCCAGGAACCAGGAGTTTCTTCCGAGTCTCCCATGTGGGTGCAGGGGCCCAAGGACTTGGTCCATCTTCTGCTGCTTCCCAGGCCACAGCAGAGAGCTGGATCAGAAGAGGAGCAGCCAGGTCTAGAACCAGTGCCCATCTGGGATGCTGGCACTTCAGGCCTCTGCCACAGCGCCGGCCCTGAAAGCTGGAGTCCTTAATGCTGGCTCTGTACTTCACGCAGCTTGTAGGAGGCAGAACCTTGGGGCCTGTTCTGCAGAAGGTGGCCCGGTGGTGGTGGCTGCGCCCTCTCTGTCTCCTCAGAAGCCGGCCTCTCACACAGGTTGGGGTAGCTTGGCCCCTCACGGCAGCCCTTTTCATCGCCCTGTGTCACGTTCCTGAGCACTAGCCTAACTGTACAACGTGGCACTGTCCATCGTGCAGGTGGAAAGGAGCCGACCTGCTGCCCAGTAGTGGCCCTCAAGGGGGAGGCAGTGTCGTGAGCCTCTTTCTAGACATGGTCTTCTTCCTGTGTGCTTTACTGTAGAAACTGGGATTGTGTTGTAACCACCACTTGCATTTTTTTTTAAAGGTTTGTTTATGTATTTGAAAGTCAGAATTACAGAGAGAGAGAAAGAGAGATATCTTCCATCCTTGGTTCACTGCCCAAATGGCTGCAGTGACCGGAGCTGTGCCAGACTGGAGCCAGGAGCTTTTGCCAGGGGCCCAAGCACTTGGGCCATCTTCTGCTGCTTTCCCAGACACATTAGCAGGAAGCTGGATGGAAGAGGAGCAGCCAGGACTCGAACCAGCACCCCTAAGGAATTCTGGCTTTGCAGGTGGCAGCTTAATCCGCTGTGCCACAGCACTGGCACTGCTTTTGACACTTGTGTGATGTCTTCATTCCTGTACAACACAGTCAGTAGCAGAGTTAGGAGAAGAGGAGAGTAGTTCTACCACTGGGCAGTGTGCTGGCTTCCAGACCGGCCATTGTGGGGTGCGTCGGCAGCAGTGGGATTCCAGGACCGCTCAAGGGGCCCCCCACCTCATAAATGCTTCCTGCTGGCAGTTAGATGCCTTGGATTTCACACACAGGTGGTCAGGGACAGGTGTCACTTGAGGTCAGAAGCAGTAGCTCAGGCTGTTGACCACTTGTGGATTGGCTTTTAGCTGGGGCTGCTCCAGCTCCCACCAGGATGCCCCTTTGCTGCCTGAGACCTTCCTGGGGGGAAGGTCTCCCTCCTGCCTTCCATTTCGGATACAGTTGCACACCTTTAATTCTGTGCGTGGAGGGTAGGGTAGGTAGCGTAGGTGTGGGCGCTCAGGTGAGGTGACCTCTGTCACACAGAAGCAGCATGTGCCCAGCAGGGGCAGGGGTGGGAAATGACCTCTCGCCAGGGACATGTCTGCAGGTAAGCGTCCTCGATGCTTACCCCAGTCCCGTCTCTGCAGGTACAACAGGAGCGCGATGAGCTCTACCAGAAGTTCACGGCCGCCATCCAGGAGGTGCAGCAGAAGACGGGCTTCAAGAACCTGCTGCTGGAACGCAAGCTGCAGGCCCTGAATGCCGCTGTGGAGAAGAGGGAGGTGCAGTTCAACGAGGTGCTGGCCGCCTCCAACCTGGACCCTGCCACCCTGACGCTTGTGTCCCGCAAACTTGAGGTAGGCCTTGGGCAGGCTTCTGAGGCGGCGCGGGCCAGGCTAGCCAAGCGGTGGGACTGCTCACTGCTGCCCCGTGCCTGTGTGGGTGGGCAGAGACCTCGCAGGTGACCGCAGGGGAGCTGCTGGTGGTGGCCTCTCAGGCTGTCGTTGCCAGCTTGTGGACACGTCAGTGGGGCTGCAGGCTGTCAGTCTCCCCCAGCCCCTCCTTCCTTCATGGTGCCTGAGACTCTGAGCCCCTCCCACTGCAGCCACCCAGACTGGCTCACGTCAGGTTCTTGTTACCTGAGCACAGCATGAGGACGGGTTCTCTGCGGGCCTGAGCTCTTCAGCGACAGACCCAGACACAGGCCTGGGGAGCAGCTGCGTCCCTGGGCTCTCCACCTAGGAAAATCACAGCCCCGGGGGCCCCCAGGAGAGGGTGGGTGGGGAGAGCCTTAGGTTGGTGGAGCAGGGGTAGTGAGGTCTCAGCAGACCCAGAACATTCACTCATTTGTGTCCATTGTTGCCTGCGGTGCTGCTCTCCTGGCCCTGGCATGGTGGGGGCAGCCTTGGCCCCCAGCAGACAGCTCGGGGATAGAAGAATCTGAAGCCTCAGACAGCCTCGTAGCTCAGCTTCTGCTGGTTGTCCAGCTTCCACAGCTAGGCCTGCGTCCATCCCCAGTAGCAGCAGGTGCAGCTCCCGCAGGGGCCCTTGGAGACAGACACAGGTCCTCAGCCTCTGGCTCAGCTGCTGCTCCCAAATTGGGCACAGCTGATCTCAAAGCCTGCAGCCTGCCCATCGAGGGGAGTCCCTTGTCCCTGAGATGGACCCTTGTGGGGCCAGTGGACTCCTCTCTGTCCCTCCTCCTTGTGCTGAGGTCGTCAGAGACACAGATGGCCTGGTTACAGATTTGAAGTGTCCTCATAGTTGATGGAGGGGTTTTGTTTTGTTTTGTTTTCCCCTAAAGATTTATTTATTTCAAAGGCAGAGTTACAGAGGCAAGAGAGAGAGAGAGAGAGAGAGATCCTCCATCTGCTGATTCACTCCCCAAATGGCTGTAATGGCCAGGGCTAGGCCAGGCTGAAGCCAGGAGCCAGGAGCTTCCTCCAGGTCTCTGACATGGGTGCAAGGGCCCAAGGACTTGGGCCATCTTCCTCTGCTTTCCCAGGTGCATTAGCAGGGAGCTGGATTGGAAGTGGAACAGCCAGGACACAAACCAGTACCTGTTTGGGATGCCAGCACTGCAGGTGGCATCTTTTTTTTTTTTTTTTAAGATTATTTATTTATTTGAAAGAGTTGCAGAGAGGCAGAGAGAGAGAGAGAGAGAGAGGTCTTCCGTTCGGTGGTTCACTCCCCAAATGGCTGTAATGGCTAGAGATGTGCCGATCCGAAGCCAGGAGACAGGAACTTCTTCCAGGTTTCCCACGTCGGTGCAGGATCCCAAGGACTTGGGCCATCTTCTGCTGCTTTCTCAGGCCATAGCAAAGAGCTGGATTAGAAGTGGAACATCCAGGACTCGAACCGGTGCCCATGTGGGATGCTGGCACTGCAGGTGGCGGCTTTAGCCACTATGCCACAGCGCCAGCCCTGACAGGTGGCATCTTAACCCGCTGTGCCACAGCACCGGCTCCTGTGGAGGTGTTTTATCCTGAGAAGTATTACAGGTAGCATTTTTCAGGTGATTTCATCCACACACTGTTCAGTAGAATGTGAATGCCCAGCACTGACTTTGTGTTGGGCCTCCTTGTCTGTTTGAAGGGAGACATCGTAACAGGGCCCTCAGCTGCACCTGTGACTTGAAGTGATGGGAGCCCCGAGTTGTGGACATGTAGACTGGCTCAGAGAGCCGGAGGGGAGCAGATGGCCAGTGCAGCGTGCATGCGAGCAGAGAGGTGTAGGGGTAGGGAAGGTCCCTGCTTGTGGCCAAGCACAGGGGAGCAGCAGGTGCAGGCCCAGAGGGCAGCTCTGTTTGCAGGACCTTGGATTGCTTGGAATAGGCTAGAATAGGCTGTCAGGCCTGGGATGGTGCAACCACACAGGAGGGGAGGCAGCAGCACGGCCCTGGCATTGGACACTTGTTTCCCCTCTGCTCAGGATTGGACCCCTGTCCTCCGGGCAGGGCTGGTCTCCAGGAGCACAGGCAAGTGTGGGAGTGAGGTCCTGCTTTTGGCAGCAGGTGGAGGGACCTGCCCGTCTTCCTCAGGAAGATGGCCTCTGTGCTGCCGATGGAATGGCCAAGTGTACCTGGGCCAACTCTGCTGAAGTGTTAAAAGTTAGAGAGGCGCCCGTGCTGTGGCATACTGGATTAAGCCTCTGCCTGCAGTGCTGGCACCCCTTATGGGCTCCAGTTTGAGTCCCAGCTGCTCCACTTCTGATCCAGCTCCCTGCTGATGTGATGTGCCTGGAAAAGCAGTAGAATGTGGCCCAAGTGCTCCTACCTAGGGCCCCTGCACCCTGTGGGAGACCCAGAGGAAGCTCCTGGCGCCTGGCTTTGCGGCCATTTGAGAAGTGAACCAGTAGATGGACGATCTCTCTGGCTCTGCCCCCCACTTTCTTTCTCTAACTGCCTTTCAAATAAATAAATGTTCTTTAAAAATCCATATTTTTTAAAGAAGTTACCGAGGCTGCTTGTTCCTGTTCGAGAGGATATCTGTGTGTGTGGTTCCAGAAGTTTAAGAGTGCGTGGGTGGCGCCCTGAGCTCCTCTGGGCTCCCTACTGGAGAGGCCCATGTGCAAGCACGTGTCCCGTCTTCCCTCTTCTTACTGCTTGCTCCCCTCCCAGAGACCTTTCCTGCTGACACACGTCTCTCCTCAGGATGTCCTGGAATCCAAGAACAGCACCATCAAGGACCTGCAGTATGAGCTGGCCCGGGTCTGCAAGGTATGGACACTCACCTCGGTCCCCTCCTCAGGGCTGCTCCCTTGGTGCCTGGCTTCCCAGACGGACCGTCCTGAGGACCCCACCTGTCCTGCTTCATGCTCTGTTGGGTGAGGTGGGCGTGGCTGTCCCGTGTGAAGGTGCAGGTAACAGCCTGCCCTGGGATCGGCCGCTGGTGTTTCCTGCTCTGTTCCTCCCTGACACTGTGGTGCTGCTCTGGCCTCGGGCAGTTGGAGGAGCCACCTCTGCTGTCTCAGATAAATGCCCGCTGTCCCCTCAGCATGGGCAGTCAGGGCCTCACCCCTGCAGTCTGGAAGTGCACATCAGCAGCCTCCTTCCGCAGTTCCGAGGGGGCTTAGACCCCCTGACGCTGGTGCCTGGGCCCCTGCTGTCACCCGTCCCCTGTGCCCGAGCGAGGCGTGGGCTCTCACCAGGTATCCCTCCCTACATGGGGAGACACAGCTGGCCAGTCTGCCGCCCTGGGAGTGTGACTCAGGGACACCCTTGGTTCTGTGGGGTGGAAGTCGTATCCTGGTTCTGTTGTGTGGGCTATGACCAAACGGTCCTGTCTCCCCGATATGTTAGGAACCCCCAGATGAACCCAGCCACCCAGCCCGCCTTGGCCTCTCAGGCCTCCGCAAACCACAGCCAGGCCCAGCTCTCCCCAGCTTCCTGTCTGCCCGTCTCCAGCTTGCCCTCAGATGCTGATGCTTAACCACAGAGTCTGGGCCATCCGCAGTGCATTTCGGGGAGTGCTCATGGCTGCTATGTGGTTCTCAGGAGATCTAAACCCAGGGGGATGGGGTGAGAACCAGGGCCCAACCCTGACGTTCTCTCTCAGGTTCTGTCCTGTTGGCCCTTTTAAAGTCAGGTTCCAAGCCCTGCCTCTTCTGCATAAGGGCAGAGACAGCCACCCCTTCTCAGTCCAGGCACCACGCTTTGAAACAGCCGGTGAAACTTGCCGTTTTATGGGAAGCTGCATTTCCCAGGGGTGGGGCTCCAGCCTGCTGGCATGGCTGCTGCGCTGATGCGACCAGTGCTGTCCTCAAGCCTCATTTCTCGGGTGGGTGGGGTGGTTTCCCTCCCTCTGGGTGAAGATGCAGGGGCCTTGTGTCCACCAAGAGCAGCTGGCAGATGCTGTTGGACACGGCAGGGCGGGGAGGATGAGCCCCATTGGGAAAGGCCTGGCGAGAGCCAGGAGCCTCTCAGGCCACAGTTCTGCTGAGTTCATTCTCTGTGCCTCAGTTTCCCCATTTGTGAAATAGGGCCACCTGCGTGTAGGCATATAGAGTGCTCAGCGCTGGGTCTGGCCAGAGTACAGCTGACAGATGTTGTCTTTTCTTTGACACTGCCGATTCCATCCCCATTGGCGCTGAACTTAGGAATGGGCCACAGCGTTTTGGCCACAGTGTCCAGGTGGACCCCCCTTCCTGCTGCTGCCCTGTCCAGAGTGTTCTGGCCACGGTGTCCAGGTGGACCCTCTTCTGGCTGCAGCCCTGTCCAGAGCGTTCTGGCCACAGTGTCCAGGTGGACCCCCCTTCCTGCTGCTGCCCTGTCCAGAGTGTTCTGGCCACAGTGTCCAGGTGGACCCCCCTTCCTGATGTTGCCCTGTCCAGAGCGTTCTGGCCACAGTGTCCAGGTGGACCCCCCTTCCTGATGTTGCCCTGTCCAGAGCGTTCTGGCCACGGTGTCCAGGTGGACCCTCTTCTGGCTGCTGCCCTGTCCAGAGTGTTCTGGCCACAGTGTCCAGGTGGACCCCCTTTCTGCTGCTGCCCTGTCCAGAGTGTTCTGGCCACAGTGTCCAGGTGGACCCCCCTTCCTGCTGCTGCCCTGTCCAGAGTGTTCTGGCCACAGTGTCCAGGTGGACCCCCCTTCCTGATGCTGCCCTGTCTCCACAGGCTCACAATGACCTGCTACGCACATATGAGGCAAAACTGCTGGCCTTTGGGATCCCCCTGGACAATGTGGGCTTCAAGCCGCTGGAGACAGCCGTGGTCGGACAGACACTGGGCCAGGGCCCTGCCGGACTGGTGGGCTCTCCGACATAGCTGCCCTGCCCAGGGCTGTCCTCTGTAGGATCCTCTCACCACTGTGACAGCAAGCTTTCGTTTTTTAGATTTCTGCAGCAATTGAAGGTTTTGCACATCTGCTGTTGTCTTCTTGCCTGGCTCTGTGGAGGAGCTGCCTGCACAGGCTCAGCCACAGCATCCTTCCCTGGGTGCATGTCCAGTCTGTGCCACAGCCGCCCCTCCTGTGCCTGCTCCAGCCACAGCCAGCAGCACTTTCTCTGAGGGCCCTTCCTTCACCTGTGGGCTGGCATGACGCCAGCAGAGCTCCCGCGTCTCTCCTGTCGCAATGAACGGCGCAGTTTGCAGATGGCAGCGTGGAATTTATTGCAGCCCACTGAGAAACTTCAGGGGGCCAGACCCTCACCCAGGAAGCAGGTGACCTCGGCCCCTGGGATGGTCGCAGACCCTCTGCTGAGGGCTGCGTGGGCGGCTCAGCCAGAGGGAGCGTCAGATGGGCTCCGTGTGCCACGCTGAACTCTAGCTCCCCCGGTAGGTGGTGTAGGACCATGGGCTCAGCAGCAGAGGCACGTGGCACTTCTGGGTCTCGTTCGTGATGGTGAAGACCACCTGAGAGAAGCAGAGAAGGTGGTGAGGGGCCAGGGCGTAAGAGCTGCTGGCCTCGGGCACTGGGCCCGAGGGTGGGGAAGAACCTTCCCTGGGCAAGTGCTCGCCCGAGGGACGGCCCCGAGCCCCTGGTTCTGCTGGCCTGTCACGTCAGGCCCTGACGGCAGCTCCTGGCAGTGGAGGAGGCAGTGAGCTGAGGATGAAAGGGGATGCGTCATCTGCCCACCTCCCACAAAGCCTGACCTAGGGGCAATCTAATGATGCCTCAGGTCCCTGAACACTTTTCTTGTGGGAGCTCAAACAGGTGAGCTCACCTGCCTGCCACCGCCCTGCCAGAAGTGGGATGTGTCTGCCCGTGGCACAAAGACGAGGCCCAGCCAGCTGGACCTGGCCTGCAGGCCAGTGAGTCAGGGGCCTCCACCCCTCCAGCCTGCCCGCGGCTCTCACCTCCACGTGCGGGTAGAAGCTCGCCTGCCCCCTCCTCTCCCAGTAGTCCTGAGTGTCGAACAACAGCTTGTAGGTGCCGGCCTTCATCTGGCCTGGTGTTAAGAGCCCGGGGCACCGACCATCTGCATCTGTGTAGCTGGAGAGAGGACAGGGCTGCAGAGGTGCGGTCAGGAGCCGCCCCACCCGGCTGCCTGGATCTGCAGCTCCAGGGGCCTCCTTGCAGCCTGACACAGACCTGGGGCAGCAGAAGACTGGAACAGTTTCCAGGGTCTGCAGTTCCGCAGCCGAGAGAGACCACAGCACTGCCCACTTGAGAAATCACAACATGTGGGCCGGCGCCGTGGCACAGTGGGTTAAGCTGCCGTCTGCAGTGCCCGCATCCCACGTGGGTGCCACTTCGAGTCCCAGCTGCTCCACTTCTGACCCAGCTCCCTGCTATGGCCTGGGAAGGCACTGGAAGATGGCCCACGTCCTTGGGCCCCTGCACCACATGGGAGACCAGGAGGAAGCTCAGCCCCAGCTGTTGGGGCCATCTGGGGAGTGAACCCATGGATAACACATTCTCTCTCTCTCTACCTCTGCCTTTCAAATAATTAACATTCTTTTTTAAAGAAAATAGATAATGCTGTTCATACTTTTCTATAACATGTTTTTCATGTACTATATTAACTTTCTGGGTTGAACTGTAACTGTCCCCCCCCACCCCCCGGCCACAGACACGCACACACACACACACACACACACACACGGCAGCTGTGTCCAATGAGCTGGTTGAGTGCTCTGAAAGCTTGTGGTTTTGCTCAGTCCCTCTGGAAAACCCTGAGGTTCCAACGAGCTGTCTGGGCCAGACTGAAGCCAGGACCCAGGAACTGCGTCCTAGTCAACTTCGTGTCGGGGCCCAAGCTCTTGGACCGTGCCCCACTGCCTTCCCAGGTGCATTAGCAGGACGCTGGATTGGGAGCTGAGCAGTGGGACTCTGACAAGGCAGGTTGGAGGCTTCCCTTGTGTGCCCAGCTATACGTTCGAGTTGTTTCCGTTCTGAGCATTGGCACAGCAGTGAAGACACTGCTTTGGGTGCGTGCGTCCACGCTGAAGTGCCTGGGTTCAAATCCTGGTTGTCCTCGACGCAGTGTCCTGAGTGAACGCCCTGGGAGACAGCAGGTGGTGGCTCAAGTGGCTGGATCCCTGACGCCCATGTGGGAGGCCTGGATTGAGTTCCCAGCTGCTGCTGCTGCTGCAGGCATTTGGGCAGGGATCACCATCACACTGAAATTTCCTTCCTCCAGATGAGGGGACTGGGGAACCCGCCTGGAGGGCCAAGTCCAGCCGGCCTGGGTTGAGCAATGTGCAATACTGGGAAGCCTCCCCTGGCAGGTCCTGGGCACAGGGCAGGGGCCGAGGGTCAGTCTGTGTGCCCTGGAGGCCAAGGAGCACAGTGCCCCACGGGCCTGGCTGGGAGTCCCAGCTTGCACCCCTCTTTGTGCCACCTCAGTCTCCCCATCTGCCCGCAGGTACCCAGAGGTCACGTAGACAGTGGGGCTCCTCTGATTCCTGCAAGCCCAGGGGGCCGTGAGGCTGCAGGACACCCCGACAGCGGCAGTGCTGTTCCGGCACTCACACCTGCAAAACAGCCACTGTGGCTTGTCCTCGGGTTTTCAGATGAGGCACAGGCTCAGGGTGTGAACCCAGGCAATGCGCACCCAGGCTGAGGCCCTCTAGGACCTGTGGGCCGTCGGATTCAGGGAGGACCTTTTGCTGGGGGGGTCAGGTGCTCTGGACCGGCCTACCTTGTCCTCAGCTCCATCCACTGCTGGTCCAGGTCCTGCAGCCGGGACAGATGGAGGCAGAGGCCCTGAGCAGGAAGGCCTGAGGTGGTGTCCAGTACATGTGTGGTCAGTGGGCTGTCCACCGGCTCCATGCCACCGCCCTGGGCCACAAGAGAGCCAGGAGTGAGCTGCAGGGAGCCCCAGTCCTGTGTCCACACCAGCTGTGGCCCAGATTGTCCAGGGAGCCGGCTGGGTGCAAGGTTAGCTGGGATGGCAGTCCGCAAGGTAAGGCGCCAGCCTGGCCAACAGGGCGGGCCGGGGGCCCTTCTCGCTTGCCCTCCCAGGCCGCACCCCGCCCCTGCGCCACGCACCCTCACCCAGCTGCTAGAGGGCCGCAATCCTCGCCCCTCAGTGCCAGCGGCCAGGGCCAGCCTGTTTGCCCCAACCCGGGCCTCCCCTGTACTTCCGAGCGGAAAGGGGCCCTGAGGGTTCAGGCGTGTGACCCTCTTACCTCAGGGTAGTCCAGGTGTCGCTGGAGGACCAGCAGCCGCGAGGCCGCCCCGGAGCTCATGCCCCGCCCCAAGGCTCCTGTGCCGGGCGGGCAGACAGATCAGAGGTCACCCCGCCTCCGGGTCAGCCGCTTCCCCACGCTAGCACCCACCTGTGTGGCCAGGCGGGGCCAGGGAGCCGCCCTGCCGGCCCCGCCCAGCGTCCCCCTATCAGCGCGGCTCCACCCCGTCCGCCAGAAGGGCCCCAGGGGCCTTGCCCAGACCTGTGGGGCCACGGAGGCTCAGGCTGCGGGGAGTGTGAGGGGGGGGGACGCGAGGGGCGCAGCCGCAGGGGGAGGGGGAGGGGGACCTGGCGGGCCGCCTGTCCGGAGGCCTCTCGGCGGGCCACGTGACCGTGCAGGAAGGGCCGTCGGGTGGCCGCGGGTACCTGGAAAAGATGCAGCTGTCGGATCTGTGCCCCCCACCCCCCACCCCGCTGGGCAGGAGGTCTCTGCTCCGCGGGAGGTGGGGGAGCCGTGTGAGAGGGTGCAGCATCGGTAGCACGAACTTGGGATGTAGGATGTACAGCAAAGAGCTGGACCCGGTATTAGTGACCGGCTGCCTTGCTCTGGCCAGGGGAAAGTTTTCCTTCCTGCGAAGTAGCTTTTCCAATTATTCCAGGGTGATCACGGGTTATTTGTAGGCTAAGGATCAGGGCCCCTCAAGGCCAGGGAAACAGACCCTCCTCAAAGGTTGGGAGTGTTTGCTTAGAACCCCTTTGGAGGAGTTAGGAAGCTCACGACTTCCGACTCCAAGAGGATGGAGTATGCAGGGGCAGACACCTAGGTGCTGTAACCCAGAACAGGATCTAGGTAGAAGCCAGCACTTCTCACTTGAGCTGCTTTTTCACAGAACTTTGCAGGGTGACTCCCCTTGTGACAGGGTGCTGAGAGCAAGCCAGGCCACAGACAAGGAAGGCTGCTGATGCTGGCCGGCCCTCTCCTCCCCCTCCCCCTTTCTGTATCCTGGGCGCTCTCCTAACACCGTGCTGGTGGGGACTACACCTTCTCTCTGTCTACCGTCCCAAGTAAATAAAACTTCCGGAGGCAGCTCCCTACTCCCCCTAGAGGTGGCCTGTTTGGTGGCACCCCCAGCAAATGGACCTTTGGGCTCAGAGAGAGCACCTTGTCAGCTCACTCCCTAAACAGCTTCACACAATGCTTTTCATTTCTCGCAAAAAAGTGAGGCCCAGGCTGGACACGGCCTGAGAAGTTCTCTCCTTAGGCCACGGGGACCCCTGAGGGCAAAGAGCCCATCCTTATAGCCTGAGGCTCTGGTCCCAAGACAGAGATGCCTTGAGTCCAGCCCCAGGCCGTCTGTGAGAGAGGTTTGGGGAGTGCCTGTCCTTGCGGCCTGAGGCTCTGGTCCCCCCTTTTAGACAGAGACGCCCTGAGTCTCGCCCCAGGCAGTGTGAGAGGAGGCCCGGGGAGGGAGCAGTGCCTCACCAGAGGTTCCTCTGAGGAGGAGGACACAGACAAGATCCCACTGTGCGACCTGTGTGCCACGTTTCCTCTGTGGTCCTGGTGGTTTGCCGTCTCCCCAGGGCCAGTCCCTGAACTGAAAATATTGAACCCCAGTGTAATCAAGACCCTAGAACTAATGGTCCCAGGAGATAGTCTGTGGAACTTGCTGAAGGACAGCCAAGCTAAGACTGGGAATTCTACAGTACAGAAGACCTAGTTTTGCTAACAAATATGTGACAAGAAATGGAGGAGGAGGGGGGCTGGCGCCGTGGCTCACTTGGTTAATTCTCTACCTTCAGTGCCGACATCCCATATGGGTGCCAGGTTCTAGTTCCGGTTGCTCCTCTTCCAGGCCAGCTCTCTGCTGTGGCCTGGGAGTGCAGTG